ACACGGTGAAGGTGCTAAACATAAACTTCGTTTTCCTGGGCAATCGTATGTGCGTACCATTGATAATATTTTTAAGAGTCAGCAACGTGTAAGTGATGATGAGCGACGAAAAATTGCGGAAATTAAATTATCGGCCTTTATGGCAGAACATAAAATATCCCACATAGTGATGGACCATCTTGTTGATTTACTTCAAAAAATTTCCCAGATTCTAAAATTGCAAGTAACATTAATCTTAAGCATACTAAATTACAAGCAGTAGTAAACAACGTCATCGGAGCTTCTGAAAGAGAATGTTTAGTAGCAGATTTGAAACACGAAAAGTTTTCTATAATGGTAGATGAAAGTACCGATGTTGCCAGTGTGAAAACAATGTGTATTGTAGTCAAATATTATGATCTTAGTTCAGGGCGAATAGTAAGTCGATTCTGGGATCTTATTCAAATGTTTAATGATACTAATGCTGGACGGATTGGTGATTACTCAGCTACGGCTGAAAAATTATTTAATTCAATAATAAAATCATTTCAAGACGGAAATGTACCTTTAGAAAATATGATCGGATTTGGATCAGATGGCTGTAATACTATGATGGGCTGTCGTAATTCAGTGTCCTCACGGTTTAGACAATTGTGCCCAGGTATTATCGTGCTAAAATGTCTATGCCATTCCTTACATTTATGTGCCTCAGACGCTTGTAAAGAATTGCCTCATGATGCAGAAAAACTGACTCGATTGATTTACAATTATTTCAAAAATAGTAACAAACGTCAAGCAGAGCTAAAAGAATTTCAAGTATTTACGGACACTAATATTCACAAAATTCTACGTCCAGCTCAAACGCGTTGGTTGTCGCTGTCCAGTGTTGTGAACAGAATCATGGAGCAATGGGATGCCTTGCGATTATATTATGACGATAAATGGCTAGAAGAACAGGATTGCCAAGACATTCACAATCTTTTGAATGATCCCATCATCAAGGCATATTTTTATTTTTTATGTTGGATGCTGCCAAAATTTACCCGCGTTAACGTATTCCTTCAAAGTGAAGATCCCGTTATTATTGAAGCCCATAACAAAATGACTGAGCTATACAGAGAACTGTTATCGTTATTCATAACTCCAAATTATATTAAAAACACCCCACTCGACGCAATTGACCCTACTAATAGTCAACATTACATAAATCTGGAAGATATATACCTAGGATTGGGTGTTGCTAATCAAGTTGCTGTCCTAGAGCTACATGCGCATACCGAAGAAGTTACAGTGATGAAACAGAAATGCCTCAACTTTATCGTTAAAGCATGCGTGGGCATTCGGAAAAGATACAGTTTAAATGACCCAGTTTTGAGCTCAATCGCAAAGTTGAATCCTGATTCATGCTTATCAGATAATAGAGAACAGTCTTTGTCTTCACTGTACCCAGTGTTACCAAGGCTGATACCCCCAACTTTAAATGATCAACAGACGTTAGATGACGAATGGAGAAACTTGATTTTTATTGCGAATGATATACATTGGAATACAAGTCAACCAGCAGACTTATTTTGGCATCAGGTAAAATTTAATTATATAAGAACTCTATTTACATAAATTTGCACATATTTATGTTCACATTTCATAAATTTGTTTTTTATTTCAGTTATCTCAAATGAAAGATAGCAATGGAGACATTAAATTCCATTTGCTGCCTCGATTTATGCTGCAAGTATTATCTTTGCCTCACTCAAACGCTGAGTGCGAACGCAAGTTTAGTGAAATTAATAATATAAAAACCAAGCAGAGGAACTGTCTGATCACAAATACTATTAAAGGAAATATGTTAGCTCAGCAAGCCATTCGTCGAAATTCTGAAAACTGCGTCAAATTTAATCCCACTAATGAAATGATTTTAAAGATGAATGCAAAAATTTATCAAAATCATGAGGAAATTATTTTAGAATAACTTACTTATATGTACAAATAAATTAATACTGCATCTTATTTTTCTTTTAATATTTAAACAAACTTTTACTGTAATTTTACTGTAATCGAATTTGGAATCTGCTGTATTGTTTTAAGAAACTACTATATTTTTTAGCTGACAACACTGTAATTTTACTTTTGGGATCTGGAAGCACTGCCTCTGTGTGACAACTGACATGTCCTATATTGATTAGTACATTACCACTGCTCACGTCGCGTCGACGCCCCGTCGCTGTCCCGCCCCGCCCGCTGTTTGATCAAACCTTAAGATCGAATAGAAGAAATATATTTTTCATTGTGAACGCTGCAGAACTTAGTCTATTTGAAAGACCTTCTATGTGTAGGGCCCACTGGAGTTTAATATCTAAAGTAAATCCCAGGCACACGGTATTATCAACAAAGTCTATTTCCTCATCTTTAATTATTCTTTGACTATTGAGCATTACTACTTTCTACATATTTAATAGTTACAAATTTAATACATTTTGTCTTCTTTTCGGTTTGCTTAAGATTATTTATATTAAAATAGTGAACTACACCGGATATGGCATGACAATCCATCACTTGAGAATGTAAACAGTTCTCAAGTGATGGATTTCGTCGCTTTACTTTAAATAAAATATATATATTATAATGAACAAACAATTAGATTTAAAAAAAAAGAAACATTTATTAATTTTAAACACACTTATAATGTCTAATATTTATCTTTAAACATAAAGAACAATAAAATACGATACGCATGGATGTGGAGTGATGCACCCGTCCGTTCGCGGCAAGGTCCCGAGAGAAAAAGGTATGTACTATGTAGTATGTACGACGGCTCGCGCCCAGGGTTCACAACCTGAAGCCAGGCAGTTATCGTACCAGGGCCGTAAAATTATCGAATGTGATCCATATACGATAAATTATCGTACAGTCAGGAAAATGGCTAAAAATACTTTAAAAAATCATATGAAACTGAAAATAAAATGTTGCAAACGATTTATAGTTTTAAATCTTATAAACTTGTGTTTTTCAAATTGAAAAAAATAATAATAATTCAATCTCTTCCGTCAAAGAGGAACAAAAATACGCAATATTTTCTCGTTGAACAATATGGTGTTCGCTCTAAGTGATATACCTATTGTCCGTAAACATCGCATATTATTTTTATCACTTAAAATTCGTTAGGCATTAAAATGTTATCGAAGACTTCCAAATCTGCGTCACCATACAAATCGTGATTTTTTGGCTGTGCATTCTGATGCGTTTTTGTGTTGTACATTAACGTTGTATTGCTGTGCCTTGTGACAGCATAAGTTCTTAATAGAAAAATAAGCCAATGAGCACTGACACTAAAAACTGTAATTGTTATTGGGCTATCTATGTAATCATCAAATTTTTTATAGACTGGAAATTATCGTCAATCTACGTACGAAGTATGTACCATCGTATGGTAGTTATGAAATTATCGCAAATGTACGATAATTATCGTACGGTTGTGAACCCTGCTCGCGCCTCGCTGTGTGCACATCAAAATGGCGGCTTGTAACACGAAGCTAAACACGAATGTCTATGGACAAATGCCACCCTTGCGCCTGTCAGGTTACAATATTATAATATATAATAATGCATTGTAAATATTGCTTATTCTTCACATATAACTAAGTTTCATGCTCATGACCGCGAAGACAAAGTATTAGTACACTATGGTTTGAACTTCAATAAATATATAGGTATATATTATGTAAAAAACTGATTAATTTATACTAAGTATACATACGAAAACTTCCATATTTAAATACACAACAACTTTTTCCGACGGCATTTTTAACAAGCTCCAAATCAGAAGAAAATCGTGGGCCAAGTTAAAAATACAAAGGTATAACGTAAAAGTAATGAGTATGTTCAAAGTGCAGAAATCAAGTCAAGTTGTGAAAAAGTTTACGAAATTTATGAAACAGTAAGAGAACACGGAACAAATTGGGTCCCCGTATCAAGTCGGAAAATGCATATATTATCTATATAATGGTGTTCCTTTTACTCGATTAGGTACAATACTTTTTAAATCATTGAAATCGGTAAATTGGTTGCGAAGATATTACACATTTTGTAAAAGCCAACCGCGGGGTCACAGCCACAGAGTACATTGTTAAGAATTATAAATTATTTTTTTCAACCTTATATCACTGCCATCTACAGCATACGGTGCTTAATAACTCTTAATAAATTACACATAATATTATGTATGAAGTGTTAATACCCTGAAATGTACTCTGTGTTATAAGTGTCATGGCTGATGATTAAATCAATATTGGAAACAGTGATGCCAGCTTGGGGGTTTTTTCCCATCAATCAAGATATCTAGGGGTATTTTTAAGTGGTACTTTAGAAAAAAAAAATATTTTGTTTTACTTAAAATACGCACGGTTCTATAAAACTTATATTAAGCCAAGAACTCCACCAACAAATTAAACCAAATATAAACTCCAAGCGTGGCCATAACGCTATAATATATCAATAAGATATAATAGGTAAGCCAAGATCGAATTTGTATACAATTAAAATGAAAATTTGAAATTTTTGATACAAATTTGAAATTACCTCGCAAGCCGAGTTTACCACAAAAACTTTAGGGGTTTTTAAACGATATTTAGGGATATTGGAGTTGGTCCAAGGGGAAAAAATCTGATCGAGTTGGCATCACTGACTATAGTTAATAAATTAGAGTATGGCCTAAAGGTCTAGATACCAGGATTACCAGGCCGTAAACTCCAAAAAAAAATAACATAGTGTATGTACATTAGGAATTTAGGATGGCTAATACTTAATACTTATTACTTAATACCACAATAATACAAATATAACATACCGTTACTCATCTGTTAATACATATTAAAATAAAAACTTTTGAGAAATTTATTTTCGATCATTAATGAGAAAACCTACTATTGAGTTTAAAAGGTTATCATGTTTGATTATGTTCGCTTCGAACAGTTTTGGTAAGATTATATGGAATTATTATTCATTTTCATATTAATTTACAGAAAATGATGAAAACAGCAATTTCAGTTCTTCAGGAGATGATGATAAAGGCTGGAGAGGTTCCTGAATATGAATGTATAGCACAGGTATGCCTAAGTATCTAATATATATTTTCACTGGAATTCACTTCTTCGAAAATAAAAAATATATATTCTTATTTGGAAATGCTGATTTTGTTTTCTGATGTAGAAAAATAAATAGATGAAATGTATTAAAATTACTATGCATTTTAGGTGCCTTTATGAAAAAAACTACAACCTTTGTTTACTCTTTTGTGTGACTGTGGGCCTGTCAAGTAGACAGATTTGTGGTAGGGACAGTAATATTATAAACCTCACAGTCTTAACTACAAAATATGAAACCACATTTGACTCTCAATAGTATAGTAAGACACTAATTTAATTGTACACATGTTATTATGAATTACCAATGTTATATTATCAAATAGACCAAATTTATTATAAAGGCTTAAAGCAAGACAATAGGGACCTTGAGTTCAGAAATTATGTAATTTTATGTGGGTTCAGGTGCGTAGGTAATCTGTGTCATATGTAAGAAAAATTTCTCTGTTCTTTCAACACCAGTCAGTATAGAGACTGCAATGTGCATGCATTTACACAGTGGCAGTTGACTTTTAAAACAAAACAAAATAGTTCAAAATTATTTTAGTATAAATCATTGTAAGTGGATTCAGTAGGCGTATGAGTAAGAACTGATTTTTTTTCACTTTTTATTCCTATGATAATCATAAAAGTGTAACAACTCACACTGACTCAGCTGATGAATGTTAAATCTTTCTCATATAAATTCACAATGAGGCAAATTCTACCTACCTAGCAAAGCATCTGCTGCTTTAGGTGATCACTACTTTTTGTGAGTCGGTTATCATATTATAATATGATATTATATATTATTTTTATTATATAATATATAAAAATAATCTGTATTCATAGAAAAAGCTTTCTGGAAATTTAAAAATTTTAAGTAGGTATTGCTTACAAATGAAATGATATACTTCATAATTATATTTTCAACTCACTGAAACGAAGCACTCGCTCTAAACATATATTGAGAGATTCGCCAGAACCTGGAATAGTGCCATGAAAATGGCATTAAAATTGAACTCTTTTGGGTGAAGGCGCACGTTGGCACTCCGGGAAACGAGAAGGCAGACGCTCTCGCGGGAGAGGCGGTTGGGGAAACGGGGACGCGGTTAGGGTACGATGCGTATCCGTTTTCCTATTTGCGACGACTGACAAGACTCAAGACTTTAGACACCTGGAACGAGCGCTATGTGGGGGGCGAAACAGCCTCAGTCACAAAAATGTTTTTTAAAGATGCAAATGCGGCATACAAGCAAATCAAGACAAAGCGTTTCGCACCTCACATGGCGCAGATCCTGACTGGCCACGGGGCTTTTGGACACTACTTACACAGACTCAAACTGAAGACAAGCCCCGCGTGTGACTGTGACGACAGAACCGACCAAACAGTGGTTCATTTACTTGTTGACTGTGCGACTTTTGAAAGGGCCAGGTGCGACCTGGAGCTATCCGACATGTTGCTTGAGCACAGATCGCAGCTGGAAAAATTCTGCGGGAAGATTGTCAGATATGTCACTCACAAAAATGGCACGAGAGGTAACTCGGCTGGCGCCGGGCAGCGGGCCCCGACTCGCCCATAAATATTATGATGATATTTCCGGAGTAGTTTTCGCCCGGGCCCGGCGGGTGATGCCAACCCTTCAAGATAACAATGTCCCTTTTTAAGAAAGGCGAGAATTTGACACTCCCCTGCTGCTTAGCCACTCGGTCACATATCTGCCTGATTGCGTGTCTGATAGGCTAGGATGTAGGGGTCCCTGTACATAAAAAAAAACATATATTCACAGTACAATTACCTAGTAGAAAACCTAAATGTCTGTCTAGTTGAAGTCGGGTCGATACACGCTCGATATAGAGTGCAATTTTTTTCCAAAACTATTTAGAGATTATAAAATTTTGGTGTATACATTCGTACAACATAACAAATATACTAGTCTGGCCATAAGTTCTGTTACAATTAATGAAAATGCTTTTTTGTCAACTTTAAATTATTTTGGATTTGGAACACGTATATTATTTTAAAAACTTCTTTCGATTGTCCGCCATTTCAAATAGTTTTTCGTGTTCATTATCAAATTACAATATGAAATGGGATGGTAAAGGAAATAAGATTGCAGTGTTCGCCTTGCACAAAGTGGGTATGGAGCCATCGGTTATATTCCCGACACTTCAATAGCTTGGTATAGCCGTATGTTCCTAAATCGTAGTACCAACAGATACAACAACACTTCGTCTGTCGAAGACCAGAAAATATCGAGACGGCCGCGTGCTGTTAGAACTACAAACTCCATTACGAAGCAAAAAATGTTATCGCGAGAAATGAAGATTCCCGCTAAGACTCTGCCTCGTATAAAACAAGACCTGAAGCTTGTTACTTATCGTCGATATACAGGACATGCCCTAAAGCAATCTTTACAATTACAGAGAGTGGATCGATCAAAACGCCTTCTGTCACGACACGCAGGTAAAAAGCACAGAAATATCCACTTTACCGATGAAAAAAATGACACGATTGAAGAACACTACAATAAGCAAAATGATAAACTGTACACTCACAGTTCTAAAGAAACTGCTCAAATGGACGGAAAGGTACAACGTGGTTATCATCCTGCGTCAGTGATGGTTTGGTGGGGCGTGTCTTATGACTTATCAAGGAGTCACAAAACTAGATTTTTGTGAAAAAGGAGTGAAAACTTCAGTCAAAGTGTATCAAGATGCAGTCTTGGATCATGTTGTGAAACCTCTCAGCAATACAATTTTTGTAAATATACCGTGGACTCTTCATCGGGATTCTGCACCTGGTCACGAGGCACGAACTACCCAAGCCTGGCTTGAAACCAACGTTAAGAAATCTTAAAAAATCTTTGGAGCAAGCAGTGGCGAAATTTCCCTTGGAAACAGTGCGTAAATCCATAGATTCGTGGCCAAATAGATTAAAGACCCGTATAAAGGCCAAAGGTGGCCATTTCGAAGGTAGGTTCGTTAGGTATAAATTTAAATAATATTACATTATGTACTTCATTTAAACTAATGCATTTTCATTTGTAACAGAACTTATGGGTGGACTAGGTAGTTTGTTTTAAACTGGAAATGGCCACTTTTCAGTGTGGACCTCAACACCAAGCGACTTTCGAATATCGGTGCAAGAGCAGCGGCTTGACGGTGACGGCTCGCGCTCGCTCCAAGAAAGAAGCGAAGCAAGAAGCGGCGAAGCGAATGCTGGCCGAGATGTTCGCGCGCGGAGATCCCGTGCCGCCGCCCTACGCTCGCCCTCCGGAGCCGCCCGGTCTCGCCGACGACCCCGTCGAGCCCGCGCAAACCCGAGCGCTGCCTTCGACCGTGAGCGGCGGCGCGGCGGCGAGCGGAGTCGCGGTGGACGCGCGCAGCTATGTCGCGCTGCTAAAGGAGCTGTGCGAGCAGTATCAAGCGGGATGTCCCGCCTACGACGTGGTCGGCGACGCGGGCCCCCCGCACTGCCGGCTCTTCACGGTGGCCGTGAAGCTAGGGGGCCACGAGCGTCGCGCCGCCGCCTCCACGAAGAAGGCCGCCAAGCAGCTCGCCGCCGAGCACCTCTACAAGTACCTGCGGCTGCATCTCGCCCGCCTCACCGAAGACTTCGTCGAGGTACGCGTCGCCGGCGGAGTCGAGGTACGTAAGTCTACCGATCTACTGATCGTGGCTTTCGGTTCGCAGGAGGACGCGCTCAATCGGGCGCACGAGCGGGCCATGGAGCGCTACGTGGAGGAGAAGGCGTCGACCTTTCGCCCGCCTCTCGACCAGAAGATCAGTGAATACCACTTAGGTCTGTTGAGGCACTTAGGTGGGTACCGGCCGGTCGCACGGGTGCCGGGTTCCGGGATTTCTTCTTTTATTTGATAGTCTCAATAAGTGACGTGACGTGTGATTTAATAATACAGCCTCGCAGTAAAATGTAATGATTGAAAATTTTTGAAAAAAAGGAAATAATCGTCCACGTCGTTTATTTTCAGTGGTATTTTAGGCATTAAAGTGAACGGTGAACATTATATTGCTGTTCCTGGCTTAGGTACACTCGCCTGGTAAGTTATTGACACTAGCGTACAAAGAAGAATAAAAGAAATTAATATAGTACCCGCGTGTGGCTGAACTATCGAGGCGTAACCCGGACTCTTTAGGTAATCGCCGCCCTCATACTTCTAAGAAAACCCGAGTGGCATGTTTCGTGGCTAATTGTTCGACCTCATCGCGCCCGGTCTTCCGCAGGATGAGAGCGAAATCGGCTCCAAGCAGACGCACTCGTCTGCGGCTTTCCGAAGAGCGGCCGTTTATTTGTCACTGCCGTTAACGGGAATTGTCGTCAAATATGTGAAATCAAGATTTATGAATAGCACTTTCGAAAATGGGTAAACATATTTTATGGTATTATTTTGGTTTCGAGATGCTCGTGTGGAGCTGTACCTATTGTTCAATCCCTATGTGACATCTCGAAGGAATTAATCTTAATAATAATAAAAGAACAAACGTTTAGGATTCATCAGGTACTCACACACGGCACACGCCAACGCCCACAAGGCGAATCGTGTATAATTGAAATAATCGCATACACGAATTAAGATTAAGATCGACCGATCGACTCACCGCAAGGTTCAGTCGTCGCGGAGAGGAGAGGCGCGTGGGCACACACACTTAACTCTGCGCATTTCAGACGAAGACAAAGTGGCTTCGGGGCGAGAGGCGATGGCGGCCATGGCCGAGGACGAGGACCCGGTCAGGTATCGCATTCGCTTCACGTTCGCGTCGTTCGGTCACATTTGACTAGACCCAAACTCAAATCGACCTCAATCGTGTGCGCAGTGCGCTGCAGACGCTGTGCGCCAAGCTGGGGCTGAACGTGGCGAGCGAGAACGTCGGCGGCCTGAGCGTGGTGCGAGTGAAGCCCTCCGCGCCGGAGGTGGCGGTGGCCGCGGAGGGCCCGAAGGAGGCGCACGCCGCCGCCCTGCGCTACGTGCGTCGCGTCCTCGCCCACCGCCCGGCCGACGACACGCTGATCGGCCGCAAGGCGACCGGATCCTTCACAAATATGCCCCTAATCCCTATAAAGAGTGATGTTCTCAATTAAGTTACGTACAATTCGCTTTGTGCTAAATATATTTATCGAATTCCAAACGCGGTTTGGCCCCTCACGGCACTGACCGGTCGAGTGGTCAAGTTTTGAAGAAGTTTATGTAGTTTTATGTAGTGTGAACTTAGCAAGTTATTATTTTTATAAATCTATCCACAGATACATTTCCATTGCAAATACGATTACGATGATGTAATTGATTATAATAATTATTTACGTCGCCATAACGTATTTTCAATATTTATTAGGCCGCAGATCTAAAAGGCCGGAGGAAGTAAAAATCCTTAAAAGTAAAGGTGTCTGCCCACTATCCCGTAGCATACCATGACCGTGCTAGGAACGTATCCAGCACGGAAAGCAATCCGGTACGCTCTATTTCGCCCACTGAAGCGGGCCGACAGCGTTCTGAACCCGTTTACAACCCGTATGTAACCCGTATTTAATCTGTATGATGCCCGTATGTGACACGGCAGAAATCTTTTCAATACACTTGTAAGGCATCGGTTCATTCTCGTACAAATATCAGTGTTAATATTGGACATTATTCAGGCACTTAGTTGATGACGGAGAAAAGATTTTTTCAGTACTTCCGAATGTGTACATTCAAATTTAACGCATTTAAAACGGGTTTGTAACGGTCATACTCCCCGCTCAGTCACCGGTCTGGCAACGTCGCGTGCCATGCACGTAGCGTGTCCGCACCGGCAAAATATTCCCTCCGACGAATAGTTGACGGCCCGCGCATGGCACGCTACGGTGTCGGCCGGTGACGGAACGGTCTAGTGGGCATAGTCTCGTACTTCTCAATACAAAGAATAGTTTTTTGTCTGAAACGGTCCTAGCACGGTCATGGTATGCTACGGGATAGTGGGCAGACACCTTAATGGTATCGAAGTGTAAAAACTTAATAAGAAGTACACGATAAAGGGTTTTTTCCTATTCCGAGAGATGCTCAATTACGAAAACAATGGTATTCCATTTCTAGCCCATGGGAACGAAGTCGTAAAGCATCATTATGGCTCTTAATATTTTTAAAAAAAATTGATTTTACGACAATTATTTTGTCCACTATGTTAGTAATACTCGATTACCAAATTTTACTTTTCTGAAATAGATCGCAACAATCATAAAGATAGTTTTAGTTAGATTGTAATTCGACCAAAAAATCATAAAAGTTAATGCGACAGTTTCAACACAAATAAAGAGCGGTAACAATATATCTCTGTGTCACCAATGTCATAATATTTCAGCGAAAAGAGTTGTAATACATTATTACGTTCGCCCCAGCGTGGGGCCCACGTCCCACAGGGGGGTAATTTGATTGTTAAGGAATATATATATATATATATAAAATGAAAATGTATTAAAATTATTTGGAAATTGCAGTTTTTTTTAATTACTGTGTTTCGTTCTCAATTTACTAGTAATTTCTTCCTATAACCATTTTCATGTGAGTTTCTAAAGTGAACAATTCAATTTTTTAATATTAAAAATTATGTGAGATTCGGGGGGCATAAGGATTTTAGAAAGGCTAATGTTGAATCACTGTTCTAGCCATTCGTCTTAAGCTGCGTATACATTAAGCGCGGCAAACCATCGAACATTGGCGCGCGCGGCGGCCGCGCTCTATGTAGACGGGGTTGCCGCGCGCGGCGACTCGAACATTGCCGCGCTCGAACGTGCCGCGGGTCGATCCGCTCGCTGTCGGTTTTTGAGACCGCATCAAAGGAGCTTCAGTCGTTGGCTCGCGCGCAGTTGGGACGGTTATAGTTATGGTGATTTGGCTCGCGCGGCGAATACGTAAATAAGGGTGCGTGTACTTATGTACGCGCGTAAGAAGTTATACTTCTCTGGCATTATTAAAAATAGTTTTTGATTGCATGCAAATAATTAATTACAATTAAATAATCAAAGACTGGAAAAGGAGTCATTATAGTCAATAAAGTTCAGTTTACATTTGAAAAATTAAATAAATAATTATATTTATTTTTCTTTTATTTTTTTTACAAATAAGATGGTGAATCACAATGAAAGCGGCAGCCGCCCGACCACGCGCGTCCATACTCGCAGGTTTACAAGAGTGAACTGGTCTGACTATCTGCCGCGGTCTGTTTGTGATCGATCGCCTGCCGCGCGCGGCAGTCACGTCCAACTAAATTTACATCTTCATATTGGCTCGCGCGGCAAATGAAGGTCAACTCTGGTCGAACATTCGCTCGCGCGGCTGCCGCGCTTAATTTATACGCAGCTTTACTGTGTACCGTCATTATGTTTCAACACTGAAACAATCGTAAAACGCCTTTCCGCTTCTAATTATTGTAATATACATTAAGTATTTTTTTTTAATTATTTACACTAAATACATAATAACTATAAAATAGCTTTCATTTTATAAACTGTATTTATCAAATGAAAGGGATTTTGTTTTTTTAATGGGACTTGCCAGTTTATTCTGTGGTCTTTCCTCTTTTCTTTTGGCTCTTGCATTTGATTATGATTGGTCTTTGGGCAACTTTGGGTGCTAAAATCATGGAAAAAAAACGTTTCATCATCCTTGTATTGTTAAAACATGTAAAAAAATTGGTACGCACCATTTCCCTACCAATGAACATCGAAGAGTACAGTGGCTTCAAGCAGTCCAACAAGTAAAACCAAGAACCGTAATCTTTTCTCACGTATGATGGTAAACTCATCATGAGATCGAAGTCCAATAAACAGGCAGGGGTCAATCGTAACGGCAAGCAAACGTCCAGGGTGCACGCGAAGGTCAGTCGAGTTAAAAAGCCAGAACAGTCCAAAGAAAAAGCCAGGGTCGTCGTAATAATAACAAAACAGAGGAGAACAGAACATTCGCGTAACCACCAACTTTTTATCTGTGGCAAGCAATAAGAAAAAAAGGTAAACCCTTGCGAGCAACCGCCATCTCATCGTAGCTTTTAGAACTATCTTTATTTTTTAATAGCTGTCAGAAAAATCCCTCAATATGATGTATTTGTTTACTTATTTAATTAATATCTAGCGATATTGAGGCATCTTCGTTATAAAGCACATGCAAGCAATCCTTATTTGTAAACAAAACAACGGATTTCTTAGAAAGTTTGGTACGTAATACGTATGATGCCGACAGTCGAGTTTACGGGCTAGGACAATAAAGCGACATCTCCGCAGTTTTAACTAATTTCAGCAACTTAAAAAGTTTTCAATTGTTGTCGTTATTAAGGGTAGGTGTAATGCTATGTAGAGTGTATCATTATATGGAAACCAGGCTAAATCAACCAAAGCTGAGTGATTTCGATCCTTTAGGGGGATTGCCGTTAAATCGAAGGACGTTACGGGAGTTTATACTGTATGTGAATATGTTATGTACTTAGTATTATAGTAATAATAACATTCCTTCTTTCACCTTCTTTTATTTTTCCTGAAAAAATAGATTTTGCTTTTACGACTTTGTTCAAGCGATATTATTAACTATAAACTATAAAAAAATAATGATAATATATCATTAATGTATCGCTTTTCATTTCTAAGGGGAATCGGGATAAGGTTTTGTTCAGGTTTTAGGGTTTCGAATAGAGGACAAATCTGGTGACCTTTGCCCCTAATGTTAGCAGCGCTCCGCGCGACAGCTAGTATTTATATACAGCTTAGTGTGAATTAGATGTATGTTTCAATTTATAGCAGTAAACAATCGGTGTAACTAAGTATACCTTTCTAAGCTAGTTCACAAAAGTTCAGTGAAACTATGTCTAAAAACTTGTACTTACTTATTTCTAACTTAATAAATAATAAAACCGTTTATAATATGAAATTCATATATTTGAATGAAAGATATATTCCAGTTGTTTAGTTTCGATTTTTTTTTTGTGTTATGACAATATATGAGAGCTAGTCGGATATTTCAATTTCCGAGGAATCCTTACGGCGACGTAGTGATCTGTCGCTGGTAATAGTCTGGAGCCAAGAGGAAGTCTTCTGTGCGGCAGATCGCTTGGGGGTGCGACGTTCCGGCGGTGGGGCAGGCGCAGGTGACCCGCGGCCTCTGCCACCTCTAGCCCGGCTGCGCCCGCCGCGCGCTCCGCGGCCTTTACCACGCGAGAGAGGAGCATTTTCATCGTCACTCGACACCGTTATGGGTTCTCGCTTTAACAACACTACTAATTGCTTTTCGTCTTTGCGCTTCGCCACCTCCTTGGCGCTCGCGGCGTCGATGAGACTTTTTAATTGGTCGGAGTCGGCCGCGTCTAACACTTCCTTGCACATGCGCATCCGCTCGTTAATTTCATCTTCGGTTTCTGCCGTAGACTCCAGCAAAGACTCGACGCACCGTCGACGATGTGCGTCGAGTACGCGACGGAACACTTCGTCATCGCGCTTCAGTGTAAAATCTCGAACCGCTTCTGTGATAGCTCTCACGGATAATACAGAAAGTTGTTTCTCAGGAGCTTGTGCGGCATAGTATGAGCTCACGAGAGACTCCACATCGGGGGCTTCGGCGGCAGCTATTTCTATGTGAACTTTATTTTCATCATCAGCTGTCTGTTCTTTCCTATCACGTATTTTTTTCTCCTTTTTCATAATTAGGACATCATTAGGATTGGCAATGAGACCATTAAAGTTTTGTCCGAATCTGATACGGTTAAAATCTTGTCCATCCCTCTCATAGAAGACACTTAACCTTACGAGTGGTAGTGTTGGCTGCCTTGGATCCCCACTTCTTTGCTTATCAGCTTCTTCGATAGCTTCTTCCACTTTGGTTTTTAAAAAAAATTGTACTTTTTCTGTCTCATTCACGTCACCATCCCCTAAATTTTCTTCAGATAAAACTACAGTCTTAAAAATAAATGGTCGCACAGTCTTTAAAGGTAGGGGTGTTACAATGTATTCTTTTTTGTGGAGTTGTAGTAATGCACAATGCTTAGGCAAAGCTTCACCAGCTGCCAATGAGGTAGCCACTGTGCTACCGGGTTGAATAACAAAAAACCCACTATCTTCAGTCTTTTTTATATCTTTGATAGGGAATACTTGACTATCATGTTCATGCCCCCATATCACAAGATCTAAAAATTTTGGTAGAACTCCTTCTGAAATGTAATTATTAGGGCCTCTATCAGCTCGGTTCTGATGTAGGACTAGGATATTAAACCAATCAGAGCTATCTTCCATAAGCTCAATTTCCACCTTTTTTTCAGCAAACAATCGAGCTAAACGTTGGTCCTTTAAGTGACTTAGGCCATACAGAGATAACTTAGTTTCTCCTTTTTGTATTAAAACTGGTGAAATTTTAACTTTAGTGTAATCTGTCCATTTACCAAAATAATTAACTAAACCTGTAATTGAAAGTATATCCAGAGAGCTGATACTCCCTTGACCAACTGGATCATCATGATTACCATGAATTGAGAGAATTGGATAGGACACATTGAGATTTGGGTCTTCATAATTTATGTTGCGTGAGAAATTTTGTAATTGATCAGACAAAACCTCAATATTTATCGGCTTATCACCTAAGCAATACTTGCGAATTATTTGTGTGCATTTATACATACAACTTGGTGAGGGCTTAGCTTGATCGAAAAGATCTCCACCAAGAAGTATAAAATCAGCATCATACTGAACAGCTAAAGAAAGTACTTCTTCAAACGATGTAAAACTATCTTCACCTCTTATAGCGTCGTTTTCGTGATAACCTAAATGAATGTCAGACGCTATTAAAACTCGTAATGTATCCTCTGGGGACCAGGAATTATCATTTTGCACCATGATGCTAAGTAAATATCAAATTATTTAATTACTTTTATATTATTAATGAGTATACGATTAGGAGGCAAGTATGTTATAAACGAAAAATAAAAACATTCACAGACTAGGTAGACTATACAGTATACACTATTAACGTATAAAATATGTGTAAACGCCATAGACTAAGTATAGGTACAAATCAGGTAGAAAAAAAATAGGGCTAATTTAATAGATCATAATTAACAGCATCAATATTCAATAATGAAAGTATGAAACGGCGGCTACAATGCAATATTAATTTTTTCGTAGTTCTGCACAATAGCCTAACTTTTTTCAATTTTTATTACATATCTCATCATATTTAGTTATAAGGATTACTTTACTAACAATATATGGATTTTTTAAATGGTCTGAATTAAATGATTTTTATTTTATTTTATTTTTTATTTATTTTTATATCTATAGTATAACGACAACAGAAGGAACTTTTTTTTAATTTTTCTTAATTTATTATAGCTTTATTATAACTTTTATTTTTTGAAGCAAAGATTTAATAGAGATACAATCAAGTCAGCGATGCCAACTCGTATAATGTCATATGGTGTTATTTTGTGGGGTAATGCAGCTGACATTAAATCGATATTTGTAGTGCAAAAGCGGGCTATAAGAGCGATCTGTGGGTTGTCCCCCCGGGAGTCGGTCCGAAGCAAATTTAAGGAATTACATATTTTGACTCTGGCAAGTCAATACATTTATGAGAATATTTTGTATGTGCGGAAAAATATAGATATCTTTAAAAAGAATAGTAGCTTCCATAATTATAGTACTCATAATAAAGACAAAATTAGCGCACCAACCAGAAGGCTGCATAAAACGAGTAATTCTTTCCAAGGCAATTGTATACGTTTTTTCAACAAAATCCCTAGTGAGATACAAGCGTTGTCAATAAATAAATTTAAATCGTACATTAAAGTAAAACTGCTTGCTAAGGCTTATTATAATATAAATGAATATTTAAACGATCCTAGTGCTTGGATATGAGTTGCTCCAGTATATATTATAGGTAACACGACTGAATCTCTCGGCTGCATTTCCAGACTCTGGGGCGATCGTCAACATCCACGACTGTTTTAATGTAAAGTGGGAACAAACCGTGATCCATGTGGTATCCAATTATTTCAGTATTATTATTATTTTCTTATGTAGCCAAGTCCACATTTCAAGGATCGTCATGCTCGCTTAAATGTCATTGCTTGTGGCGGCGTCCATGCGTCGGGTTGTCTCTCTCCCTAAAATATGGCGAGGGGGCCGATGGCTGGCCATGCGTCATACTCGTGAACGGGTGCTACTTGTGGTGACTGGTCGTACTTGAATTCGTGTATGCGGTGATGTTAATTATTTCGACTATGTGTTTGCGTGTTGTTCCCACGAGAATGTAAGTGCGTGCTCCTATTTCACCATGCCTCCTGCTGATAGGGGACAAGTCTTTGTTTTTATTTATGTTATTATTATTAATTACTTAAAATGTCATGTGGAACATGGTGTAATGGTTGCAGCTCCTTACAAACGTTGTGTAAAAATAAAAAAAACATGGCGATTAAAAAGAGTGGCGGAGAGTTTATTGCCCGTTCTTCTCTTCCGTTCTACGCCCTTGATTTGAGAACTGGCAGTAAATGTAAAATTAGAAGCATTAATATTTATTTCTTTAATGACGAATCACAAGTGTACATTGTGTTACCTACGTGAATAAATGATTTTTGAATTTGAATTTGAATTTGTACAAAATATTCCCCACTAGGACCAACTTCAAATACCCCTAATTTTTGACTAAAAACCCCCAAAAACTTTCGTCAGTGAAATACTCATTTACCAAAAAAGTATATAGAATTGGATGTGATTATAATAAAGCATGTTATTCATTTCACCTAAACGACAAAATATATTTATTTTTATGTTGTGCGGTGTATTTACCGCCGAATACGTGTGATACAGAATATATGTTATTTTTCCGAATAATTCTGAATTGTTGTGTGTTAAATATAAAAATGTATTATTTTATTAGGGGATTTCAACTTAAATTCAAATGTTAAACAATATTATGAATTTTTCTTGTCGTTCTGTAAATTCACTCAAAAGTAAGCCGGGTGTTTAATTGTTATGGGAGACAGCTGGATTTAGTTTTGTGCTCGTCGGGTATGAGAGACGGTGTGTTATGAAGCGGATGATTGGTACCGGTGGATTCATAATACCCACCGCTGCAGCGGTGTTGCGGTTGGTGGAGGCACAACTCTCATTAGACCGCATCACACTGTCTGCACAGCCCACAAGGAAGCATGGGTTGGACTTTGAAATCGGTTGCCGAATTTGATGAATACTGATTATGCAAGAGTCTCGGAGGACCTTGATTGGAACACCTCCAAGTGATTTTTGCTGCCGGAAATGCGTCTAAGTATTTGAGAAAAAAATTGACGTTTTGTGTAATGTATTGAAATTTGTAAACAATCCTACATTTTCTACTTTTCTATTGGTTATAAGAAATGTGACATTCTCGGTAAATTAATCGATTGTTTTTTTTAGCATGAAAATCGATGAATAAAAATAATCGATTAATGTTAATTTTAAAGTTGAACCTCATTTAACCATTACAAAATAAATTTGACAAATAATTGATGTCAAACTTCACATTTCAATTAATGTAGGATTCCGAAAATTTTGGAATTATCCAAAAAGTATCCAAAACCGAATCAGAGCACCCCACTATCCACGTGGTCGTGTCTGCCCTACCCTCTGTCGTCAGTGTACATAATAAATCGGAGGCGCGGAGGAAGAGCAGCCCCCACCCGCTGTAACTTGGTTTGGCTTGAATAAAACGCCTGTGCTTTGGTACGCAAGGGTGTAAGGGCTGCATTTACCGTAGCGCCGGAGCTGTCCAAAAAATCTATTATTATTAATTATTATTGTTCGGTGAGGTTAGGTTAGTATATTAATATTTTTTTAAATAACTGTTCAACTGAAACTGATCTATGTTTGATTTTCAATTGTTTTTAATAGTAAAATCGAATACAAAAATCGATTTTCACTTTTTAAAAAATCTATTATTTTTCACATCCCTATTATAGTCCAGGATCCATCGCCCATTTTTGCACTTGATTACTATCAAGCTAATTTTCCGTGAGTAGCTTTATTTTGATGAGACGCCCAATAATTTCCTGTACGAAACTCTCGATTGTGGTAGCTAACAGAAGTAGCAAGGATAAAATATGTTGATTTGATGATTCTCAAATATTTATTACTAACTGAATTTTTTTTTGTTAAATCTCAAGACAATTATCTAAATTATTCGAAAAAATATTTGTCCTACAAAATCTATGGTTTGATCAAGGAGTCCCCTCTTTCCGACATGTATCGATAACGAGGTCATCATGATTACTAACCAGCTGATTTTTTTTACTTAGTTAATATTCATATAATTTAACAGACATATTGTCCTACAAATTGCGCGGTACGTTATCCCGGTCCTACGCTCAGAAATTGTTAATACCACAAGACCATTTTTCTCATTACTAACTTTAGGACAAAAATATCATATAATAGGTTAGTGTGTTCTCTGCCCAAATGAAACAACGTCCTACAAAAAAACAGGTATGTATCACTAGTCCGACAAGAATTGTAATTTTTTCGTTTTCCTATTTGTAAAATAAGATAGTGAAAAAATCTTTTTTAAAATTTAAATAACTTTATTTTTTAGTAATCTAGGTACAAAAATTTGTGTAATATAAATATAATGTAGTTAATCTTCATCAGATTCATCTGATAAATCTTCGCTACTAACATCGCTATCATCTTCATCTGTTTCACTTTCTTCACTCGTGATATCTGACTCTGTAATAACTATTCTAATTCTTAAAAATATACTTAATTTGTCACTTTGCTACTTATTGTCAGTAATAATACCCAATACAATACAAATAACCAAACCAATGTCAGTAACTCCCAAGGGACTTGAATTCAAACTTCTCATTCATTAACAATATTATAATAACTTCTCTAGTATATTGACTTAGTAAATAATTAAAGAAAATATCTGCTTACCATAACTTAGTATTGCTCACTAGATTTTATATTTCCAAAGTTCATAAGTATAAATCCACTTTATTTGATTAATTTAAATCAATGTTATATCATTAGCTTCTATTATAATTACAATAAAATATATTTAGAACTTCTAATTATGTTCATTAGTGACCGCTTTCTCTTCTGAAATATACTAATAAAATGTACAATCATTTTGCAATGCAATATTAAATGGTATATGTATTTTTTTCAAATTAAAGAACAATTTCATGAACTTACATGCAATATAAATATCAATAAAAGATATCCAATATAACTAGGATTTACCTCTACTAATTTGCTGATTTTCTTGATATTTTCATTTTTATCTGTGTCTATTATGTTATCCTCGCATTGATTCATAGAAAAACTAAAACTCTTAACTCAAAAATATTAACTCTAGTTTAAATTATTATAATAATTACACGAGAACGTTAAAAAAAGACAGATAACAAATTAAAACCATTTCGTTAAAACGTCCAAAATATGACATGTTTTTAAAACGGTAGCCATTAAAGATGGCAATAGTTGTACTGAATTATTGCAAACAGCAGCTTTTGAGATCACGCTAAAACATGGCGGAGAAACGCCGTTTTTTCTACACTGTCGAAACATTAATTGTAAGCCGTTGGCTACCGAATAACGTAAGCGTTAATGTGTGTCTTTTCGTAGCACTGTCATGGCGTCGCTTATTGTATCCCGACTCACGCCTTTAGGGCCTAGGCTACCGACTGTCGACACGAGCTGTCATTTTCATACAAATTTAGTTTTCGACTTTCTACATACTCTACTGTTAACTGTTAAGCCATCTTGGCTAGACCCCCTGTATGGAATATCGACCAGCTATACATTAGACCTCTAGTAGAATAAATAAAACAAAAAATATGAATATGTCAACGTAAAATTGTAAAAACCGTTAGATTGTAATCTATCTCGCGAGATTGTAAACTGTCGAAAAATTCTGAACTCAACGTAATGCTTACAATTTAACGTATTATTATTCGGTAGATTATAATCTATCGAAGTGAAATCGTCAAATTGTGAAACGGTACGCACCTCGCGCGCTGATTGGTTGAACGGAATGTGCCACTCGCTGATTGGTTGAACGGGATATGCCATGGTGGCGACCATATTTGTTTGTTAATTCGTTTGTTGTCGAATGTAAACAAACGGTGTTTTGGTGAATGTAAATTGATGTCGTCTTGAAAGTAACTTACAGCTTTAGGATGTTGAAAGTGAACGTGAAAAGTTATATGAAAATGTTGTGGAAGTAAAATTAATCTGTGATTGACCAAAGAAGTGCAGTTTGAATGATAATTAAGTTAGTGTTGGTCTCCAAACATAGTCTAAATTACATACATTTTCCGTGTTTTAATATTTTTTATTCGCGTGAACCTTTGTGATCTCGTATTACCAATGTCGGATATTGAGCCTGTCGATCAACAAAACTCAGAAATATTAGGTATTGTTAATAAAGAAGAATTTACCATAGAGTTACAAATGCAACAATAATTGAACATTTTTATTGATGCAATTTACTTTCTTATTTTTTATACAATAGACAATTTTGTTATGTTTTCAAAAACGTTCATATGTTTTCGATTTGTTTTTTTTCAAATTTTGATTTCATTTTGTGATCGTTTTTTGAGACAATGGTTTGGTCAAAGCACCAAGTCATTGTTTAGAAGCGCGGCATCCAAAATTAAAATAGCCATGATAATCGCCAACCTTCGCAAGGAGATGGCACTATAAGAAGAAGAAGATCGTTTTTATCTAAAAGAAAATTTCATTAATTTTTCAATTTTAATTTGTGTTTGAAGAGAAAATATTGTTACGTTTCTGATTTTTTTATTGATATTGATTACTAATTTTTGAAGTGCATTCATTTTATTTGACAGATACCCTTGTTTCATTCCTAACTCTATGGACATAATATAACGGTCTACTATAAAGCCGACCAATCAGCGCGCGAGGTGCGTACCGTTTCACAATTTGACGATTTCACTTCGATAGATTATAATCTACCGAATAATAATACGTTAAATTGTAAGCAGAACGTTGAGTTCACAATCTTTCGACAGTTTATAAACTCGCGAGATAGATTACAATCTAACGGTATTTACAATTTTAAGTTAACAAATATATGTGATAAACAAATTCCAACTGTGAAAAAAGCGCGGGAAACGTTGGTCGTGGCGGGAGTGTTTTTTCTTGTGAAATTTTTAAATTTAATTTTACTTGTGTAAAAGATCAGTTTGTATATATTTGTATGTAGTAATTTAATTTAATAGTTTAGTTTATTCATTTGTGTATATATTCTACAGTATCTGGTAAGTTTGTATACTTTTTCCTCAAGGCCTGGAGTCAGGCGAAAAGATGGACGAGCCCCCGGATATCGGGGGCTCGCCCCCCGAGGTAGCTTGTAATATTATAATAGAAAATAGATTTTCTAAACTGGACGAGTCCAGTGTAGATACAGATGTGGATCAACGGAATGACCGAAAAAGAATGCGACTAGGTAAAATTTGCAAACACTGCAACAAAAGGAAAAAAAGATTCGATCCGACGCGTCGGAACAAACAAAAGGACACTGATTGTTCGTGCCAAATACCGGAAATTGAAATTCCCTCAATATATACTGGGCTTAAGAACGCTAATGCTCTAGATAGTTTTCAGAACAAAGTAGACCGTGTAGATACTACAACTGTTAATACCCAACAGCACCCATCACCACCATCAGATGTTTCTCAGTCTATAAAAAATCCTATAGGCCGAACGTTTTATGAGACCTATGACATAGGGCCATTCGTAGTTCATGCGCAAAAAGTTTCCCTATCATTCTCAGACTACAAATGTGCAAACGAATTTATTAATAACCCTTGCCTGGCAAGAAATAATTACAAAGCTTTTATTCCCTCATTTAATGTGACCCGAATGGGCCTGGTGCGAGGCGTTCCCGCGGAATGGTCTCCCGAAGAGACATTAGACAACATCTCTCTGCCTGTAGGCAGCGGAGGAATTATAAAAATTAGACGACTAAATTATAAAGTACGTAAGGGTGCTTACATAAAGAAACAGGTTACCGGTACAGACAAATCTGTACGGGTCGGTACCGATCGGTACAGTGTTGACTCGCATAAAGAAACAGGTGAATCTGTCCTTAGTGACAATCATGGCCTCCAGTTCGTCGGACGAAGATTTTTTACTTTTAGAAAGTACTTACGTCAAATATAGAAAGAGAAGAACAGTTAGTGTATCTGATATTAACAGAAAAAGAACTAAATATGGAACATATTATCATTTATTCTTAAAAGATATAAAGGACGATGAAAAGGAGTTTTATGATTATACAAGGATGACTCAAGAAACATTTTACTACATATTAAATTTAATCGAACATCGCTTAATTAAGAAATGGTGTAACTGGCATGTTCAACCAATTTCACCTGAAGAAAGACTCGTTATCACTATTAGGTAAGTAATGAATAATATTTATTAGTATAAAAATATGCGTAATATAGGTACTGGGTGGTATAATTTCAAAATGAAATGTCTTCTATACCGCTTATAATCGGGGTGTCCACAGCCAATGTTCAAAAAAATTCCTTGACCTTTATTCATTCAGTAGGCTAGTCCATTTTTAATATTATTAAACACACCCTACACCAGTAAATGCTTAAACCCGTATGGCACGGTCCAGGTAGTCGGCACCGACAAGTTACAACCTGTTTCTTTATAAGTGAGTGAATAGGATTATATTGAAATATTATACCTGCGCTGATCGGTACCGACCCGTACAGATTTGTCTGTACCGGAAACCTGTTTCTTTATGTAAGCACCCTAACAGCAGCCCTCCTGAGTGGAAGCCATCACAGACTATTGTAATAACTTTCGATGGTCAAACCCTACCTAAACATGTATTTGTCTGCTACAATGCCCTGCCCGTGGAACTTTATGCATATCCCACTATTCAGTGCTATTCTTGTTGCCGATTTGGTCATACTAAGTCTAATTGTAACTCTCGGCCCCGCTGTTACAAGTGTGGCCATGGCCACACTGGGGACACATGCAACATACAAGATGATGCCGCGTCTTGCTGTCTATGTTCTGGTCTACACTTTGCTACAAACAGAAAGTGTCCAGAATATGAACGGCAGACTAAAATTAAATTGTATATGGCTCAGAAATGTGTATCTTACGCAGAAGCAAATAAAGTATATGATCCAGTTTCAAAATCTTTTGCTGATATAGTTAAGTTTTCAAACATCCAGAATACTCCTAATTCTCCTGTCCCACATGGATCGCCTTCCTCTCGTCGGATAGTAGATCTTATAAGAAAACAATATTTGCTAAACCAACATCCCCTAAACCAAAACGACTGGGGTATAACAAAACAGAACACTTGAATTTGATAAAGGACTACGACGCTCCAGCTCCTTCTAACGGGGTCGCTTTAATAAACAGTAACGTTAACAATAAGGACATAATCTCTGATTTAATCCAATTTCTTACTGAAATTAAATCCAATTCTAACTCTGACAACAACGTAACTGAACAACGTCGCCAAACGATTGCTTCCATAACTAAATTAAAATCCGCTTATGCGTCACGAACGCGAACAAATAATCCAGTGGAATTGCAGAAGCGCTATCTGCAATAAAAATGATTTAATCCATTTGTAGGTGATTTAAATCACATAATGTTTGTTTGTCCTCGGCGCGACCGGTCGGCTCTTCTCGAAGGTCTCATTTCCCTTTAAATTCCGTTCCCTTCATCCATATCAAGTTTACTTTCAACTTTACAACCCATATGTATATAAACTTTTCGCAGCTTTTATCTTAAGTAATAATATAAAATTTTAGACAATATGAACGTAAATATATGTAAATATGTTTTCTTACACTCCTTTTGTATGTAGATTTATAAAAATTGATCTTTTATTTTATAGTTTTATTATTTTCTATTCCTAAATTCCTTTCCAGTCGATAATTTTATGTTTTTACCCGTTTCCCTGTTTTTGACCCTGGGCCACAATGCACAAACCGTGCGGGCCATATAAAAAAAAAAAACAAATTCCAACTGAATCTAAGGATTGAATTTTAGTTCAGAGGCTGAACTTAAGAGGGCGTAACATAAAATTTTGCTTCGAATTTTGTTCTGAGTGGCTTCAATATTCCCTACAAGGCGCTATATTATATACACTTTAGTTTACTACTAAAATCTGATTATCGAATGCAGGAGAATGGAGATAAAACATTAATGATTGAAAGTGTATAATTATTTGCTGTCTTTAAAAATATTTGAGAATGTTGAAACTCCCGTTTAAGTTTTTAAGTGCCTTAAAACAATGTGTGTGGACATAGTGTGACATTATTTAAATCTCTGTTTTTAATAACAATATTGGTGTGGCATTGTTTCTCTAAGGATCGACTTTTTTATATAAAGTCATAAATTAAACGACTGATATAGTGCTAATAATGGCTCTAGGAGGGTCAAACTTCTTGCAGGATGCTACGATGCTGGAACAGCTTCTAGAGGAGATTAACTTTCAGCGTACGAAGGAAATGCGGCAACTGATGAAAGACGGTGAGTATTTTTCTTATAATTATAAAAAACACACAAAACGTTACTTTATATATAATCATATTTCATATATTGATTTTCAGAAATTGACTTGGTTACACTTTATAAAATTAAATCAAAATGACGTGTTGTATTTTTATTTGTAAATAAATTTCTAAGAATACACAAATTTTATATTGCAAGGCATTAGTATATTGGTATCTATAAGCTTGACTTTTGTAGATAATCCATTCTTCTATAAAATTATTATTATCTTAAGTGAGTGAAATCCAATAATATAACATTTTTTTCAAAGATTTTTGTTTAGCTTCTAATGATGTTTTAAAATGTAGCCTAATGAGCAAAATAATTAATAAAATTATACTTATGTTATATGTGTACAATATCTAAGTCAATACTTTTTTATTGTACTTGTACAAAACTTCTACTTTTGATTTTGATGACATTTCAAGAAAACATTTTTTACAATAAGAATATTGAAGAAGATGAAATGAAACTATTATAATATATAGAAACAATTTATTGATCTTGTATTTACAACAACAATATTTTATGTAACAGAATTTTTGTGTAGTTATGTTATGACATTCACAATAGTCTTTAAAGTAATAATATTGCCTACTGTTGAACTTGATGAATACTCATTCAAAATGCAACTTAAAACTATTTGGAATGTTATGTTGTGAATTATCAACAAATCGAATGAAAAATAAAAATTTTGGATATCACAAACAATTTGTCCTAGCATTATATCGGTATAATGATTTGAGTAAAAATAACAATTTTGTGTTCAAACTATTATGAACATATTAGCAACAAATTCAAAAACAACAAACAAAATTTTTGGCATTGTGACTGTGATACAGAGACATTAAGGTATTTAATAATACAAAATTTATAAAACTTTTTCTTTTCCTTCAATATATTTCTTTCCTTCCCATATACCTTCTTATTACTATATACATATGTATTAAAAGCCTTGACAATCATTGTTCAGTAAAAAATTATTCTAAATCAATACATGAATTGGGACATATTAAGTGCAGCCACAAAAAATAGTACATTGACGATTATTAAATTACACACACGTATATATATATATTAAAACACATTTTAAGGCGTAGCATTAACATTAAGCTTAAATAATCATATAACAAAGGCACTCTGCCTACGAAACTTCGTACTCTATTAATTTAATATTTAGGACTTTGATAAACACGGGAAAAATATAAGATGTGCAGTGCAAGTAAGATGCTGTTTGTGTGGTATGGAAATATATCACTGCTGCATCAGTTAATCCTAAATATTTCAGAATCTGGCTTTGTAGTACTTCAAGGAACCACATATTGGACTGACTTGTTTGTGCGCCACTTCCTGTTCCAGGAAGACCAGTCTATAGACTGTGATGACTTACTCTTCTTTGTTCGCAAGAGACATGTTAAAGGGTCATCACGATATCTTCCTAAATACGAAGTGAGTACATATGAAAACAAACTATAAACCAATTATTTTTGTAACCACACATATATATAGTATATATATTTTTTATTTTATTCTTTGATTATATCAAATGTAGGTTTATGTTAGAGAAGAGCTATTTTAATATTTTTTTCAATCTGCTGATTGTATTTAATTACAAATTTAACTGAGTATCATCATATAATATATTTTATGGACCTGTATTTCATAATGATGTGTGAATTTAAGTGACACAGAAAACATTGATGTACTAAGCAACATCTTTTCTTTAGCCAGAATCTTTAAAATTAGCACCATGTGGATTTAATCTATATATATATTATGTAGGAAATAGAAAACTTTTTTTTAAAAACAGTTATAATGTACTTTATTTAAACAATATAAAAATATTTTTCTTATTACATTAGGCAGGTATTACAACAAGAATGTACTTAGAAATTCATCAACATGAGCACTCACTAACTGCACACTAAAACCTCAGTCGGTCACTCTCAAACACGAATCACAGTATATTTTGTTAATAAATAGAATCTTCTTTGTTAGACTCGAGATTGATTGCTATTAATAACTACTTATAAAATATATAATACAAAACAATTAAATCAAATATTTTAGTTTCTACAATTATTGATCTTTTGTTATTGTTCACGGCCTTATTCTAACAATAAAAGCATAGAGATGAACAGGGCATTAAGACGGGAGCCACACGCGACACATTCAGATCCACACTAAAGCGCCGCGGCGCTGCCCTGTGTTCGCAGACCGACGTCGAGGTCTTCCGCAAGGACTCCAAGAAGCTCCCGATCGGCGACCCCGAGATCGACTGGGAGGAGACCGTCTACCTGAACTTGATCGTCCATCAGTTCGACTACACGCTCACTCTGGCGATTTGCACGCGAACCAGCCCCAAAGAGCTGCAGGTGCTGAAGCGGCATTCGCAGAAGGTGAGCGTCATACGCGTTCCGGTGGCGGAGGCGACGGCGGGCGCGCGCGTCACTAGCTGAGGCGGCTAAAGAGCTTCGTGCGCGGCCAGAAGAGCGGCCAGTCGTAGCGGCGCGGTACGGGGCCGCGCACGTTGCCCTCCAGGTACGTGAACAGCCAGTACCACCACTCGCGTTGAATCATGTAGTGGTTGTAGCCGCCACCGGCGCGGTGCGGCGTCACCAGCAGCGAGTGGAAGGTCCAGAAGAGGCGCGTGGTGATGTAGTAGGCGATGACCACGTCCACGGTGTAGTGGCCGTGCGCCACCAGCACGAACACCACGCCCATGCACGCCGATGCCCACATGGCCCAGTGCATTGGCCACAGCTTCTTGGGCGAGTACTCCGCCACTATCAAGTAGCTCAGCACGAGGATCATGGTGTGCCCGGAGTAAATGAAGTCTCCGCAGTAAGTATGCTTGCCGTTGATCGATAGCCCGAACCCGGATATCAAATAGAACATTCGCTTGATGATAAGGAGAGGCGTAGTGTTGTTGCTCTTCGGACTGCAGTAGTACGTGGTGCTGGACACGGGCAGTACCGTCACGTACATGGTGAGAGATCGATATAAGTAGAGTAGCCCGATGATGAAGAAGAGGCGGCGGGCGACGATGAAGCGATGCTTATGCAGAATGACGACGAGCATCGCCACAGTGGTCGAAATCATTATGAGGTACTCGGAGACGGACAGGCCCCAGTCTCTAGCGGTCACGTTGTCGAGAACGATGTCGCTGAGCGGCGCAGTGGTGTTCCTGTCCGGGAGGCGCTCGTGAACGAGCGACAGGGACATCATGTTGATACACACGCATATAAATAGGAAAAAGAACGACACGATGGTCTTGCCTATCTCTTTCGGGTAACGCTCTTCCCTGATGGTGCCCGGCGGCAGTTCGACGATAAAGTCACCGGCGTGGGTGCGCTGGGGCGAATGCTCTGGGTCCGATTCGTCGGTCGTGGGCTGCGGGGCGTCCGCCTTGCGCGACAACAGCGGTTGTCGCTGCAACAGTTCTGCTAGGTTAGGCATTTCACGCGATTCGTTCTGACGGGCGGACGCGTTATTGTTCAGATCATTCCGACGAAGGCGGGGCTCAAAGTTGATGCCTTTGATCTCTTCGTGCGCGGTGTCGGCCGCTATGTCGGCATGGCAGAGCGGGGGCGAAGGCGAGGGCGGCTCGGCGGGCAGTTCGCGTGACAGGTACGCACGCACCGACTGCACCAGCGGCTCGGCGTGGCTGATCTGCTGCGAGGGCGGTTGCTCTTTGTCCGGCGACCGACCCGAGACCGTCATCCAATCACCATTGGACTGAACGTTACCTGGAACAGAGATTAGTATCTTTTATCACCAATACTTTACAGTTCGACCGTTACGATGCCGCCGATAAGAAATAATCAGGTATGAGTTTTATAATTCTTAATCGCATTATCCATTTTACAGATTGACAATTATAATGCTTCATTTGGACTCAATGCAATATAGGTACACACAGCAAGTATAGGTACGATGTGAATCACTACGGAGATATCAACACATATCCATTATTTGAATTTATTTTATGTAATAATTAACAAAATATTTTTTATTTACTAACTTTTTGAACCTTCCTATTATCTAAAACTTGTGTCGAAACGGAATCTATAGTGAATAACATTCGGAAAAACCACCTTAATTTACCTAAATGTTTACGAGATCATTCGGTCATTCACTCGTGATTTGTCACTTGGCTGATGAGTGTTTGGCGAGGCGAATCTTTAGTTGACTTATCGAGATTTCTCCGATCGCACGCAAGTTCATTCAATTCGCACATATTAATACTTAGACGATAATAAAAACTCACTCGATCAATGTGCGAGTTGTCATTCTGGCCGACCGTTGTTCTTCATCGATTCGAGACGGCCGTCCACTTCGCTAGATAGAAAGTCGCGCTTGGGCTTACGATTGTAGGCGAGCTCGACCACGCACAACTTTCAATATGTTTTTGGAAAACAGAAATAACTAACACGTAAAACCTCGTTCACTTAACACTATTTCCTCTAACCACTGATTGTCTATATCGCGCAAGTCTTTGCGGTGACGACTTCGCACACTAAAAGTCGGACGAGTACTAGAAAATAGAAATCATGTAATTCTGGTTGGCTCGGGGCGTCGCTCGGTTGGTATCGTTTCGCTTCGCGCAAGCTCGGACCTGGGAGAATGCGGGGTGTGACGTCACCGCGGGCGCGGGGCGACGGAGGCCCGTCGCCATACGACCGTGCCGCGCTCGGCACTCGCCGTTGATTGCAATCGTTATACATTTATCATTTTATAATACTAAAATATATACAAATTTTGTTACTGTAAGATATATACGGAATATCCCCGATAGTCGATATCAGTCTAACTTTAATAAACACTTCTGAGCACAGGCGGTCACAGGATTTAGTTTTTGAGAGACATCTGCCCCTATGGCCATTGTCGGCCGCCATTCATAATTCCTTATTTCAAGCTGCCTTAAAAATGGGGTTAGAGCCACGTACATCGACGTTTGATTTTATCAGTTCTTAAAAATGCGCTCAATGCTTATCGGCAAATAACGCTGTGGAATGTGGACTGGTTTTCAAATTAATTAATGCTTATGAAATTCTATTTTTGACGTTATTAATCACTTTAGTATAACGACATCATAGCGTTGAGTACTTAGATTAATTTACAATGAAACTTACTACAGGACACACTATATACTGCTGTTGTTCAATACGATGGTTTATCGCGTAATACGTATAATAACGGTTTTAGTGCGTATATTTTATATTATTCATCTACAACTAGCCCTGTCTTTACAAACAATAGAATAATAAACTTATTAAATGCGAAATGATTCACCTCTGCGATGTTAATTTGATGCAAATAGCGATTACGATGTTGTATCGAGTTGAAGATGTTTCAATAAACTGTTGTCATCCCTTTTACGAGTATTGCAATCCACAAATTCCTTAAGCTTCTTCATTTGGTACTCCGGTCGGTTTATCAGCTTGAGTGCATTGCAGGTGTACGCTTCACCGTCGAGACGCAAGATGGACACGAAGGGCGAGGGGGAGGAGATGACCTATCCCCACATTTGCTTCATGGTCGACAACTTTGACGAGGTAACGTCATCCACATTCACAAATTCATTGTATATGCCCATGATTTGTGCGCAACGGCTTTACAAATGTTAATTTGAATTTTATCCTTCTTCACAACTATTTATATAATCAATATTATTGTATCAATAATAAGGAAATCGAACAAACGGGAATAACATCTAATAACTTCAATAATTTGCACATTTGGTCGTTCCGTCTAGTACCATGAGAATAAGTTATGTGTTTATTCGTACCGGTTTAAAAAAAAAGGAGATTATTATATTTCCGTTCGATTATTTATTCATTCGTAAGGCATACTAAAAACACACACACACAGACAACACAACGGCATGTAAGGTATATACGACATATAAAGAATATTTAAAAAAATTGGCAAAAATCGGTAGTATTTTTTGGGATATGGGTGGATCCACGAACTTCTGTATTGTCAGTGTACAAAGATGCAATTAGGATTTATTATGGAAATTTTTGATATAATATGTATTTGTAGCATGAAACTTGAGTATATATTTTAGAGAAGCGCGAGCTAAAACGGTAAAGTTTATGAAACAGCGGCGCCGACGCAAATCTAGGGCGAAGGAAAACTGATCCGAGAGACTGGGAGTTGTATGAATTATGGTATATTTTGCATTTACCACAGTTACGTCAAAGTATGGTCAAATCGAAACTGTCAAATTAAATGGTGATGTTATATTAATTATTGAGTATAGGTGTGGTGTTCAATAAATAGTGATATGTCGATTGGCGATACAATACCGCACAAGTCATATTTTAGCCAAATGACTTTTAACCATTCGATGTACTTTCCCGCGCGTCTAATGAGCTCTCCTAGAGGTAATATCGTCAATAAGAGCGCGTTATTCAAAACTAGTAACACAACACAACTCATGCTGCCTAACACCGCGCAAGTCATCATAACCCATATAATTGCGTGCCGTCGCACCTTAAGATCTTTGTCTTTTTATAAAAGGGATTTTTGTACGACTGGCCCCACTGATGTAGTTTAAAGTAAGGTAACTTAAATAAAACATAGTATTCAATATCTATAAAAACTAAGATTGCATTTAAAAACATGAATACTTAGCGTGTGGATGAACAGTTTGAGGGCTTGTTGGTCGATGAAGACTAAATCGTGATTTGATGTGGGGTATTCATCGATATAATGGATTTTTACCAGATTTTTAAATTTCTAATCGTAAAATAATTTTACTTCAGAACACGAAAATGGACAAAAGGTCGAAATAACCAGCTGTGACTTCAGAGTAAAAAAGTATACTTGGTACTTACAAAAGAACATAGAAAAAAAATTTTATAAATACAGAAAATGATAAGAAAGGTACGTGAATTTCTGAATGTAGATGTAAAAGAACTCTGATAGAGCGTCTAGAATTTTAAAACTCGAAGATTATGTCTACTGTGAGCAAACTCATCAGACATACCTAGAACCAGTATTCATACCATGCACAATTATACAAAGAAACGTCATAAAGCAATTAATTCCTTAAAAGTCTTATAGGTTTTTGACAATGTATTCTTAAAACAGAATCTTATCTTTTCATCCCAAAAAAGATCAATGCGATGTATGTGTCATAAAGTTGGAAATATAAACATACTGAAATTGCAATAATCGCATAGGAAAGACAAAGCTAGAAAAGAAAAAGACATGACAAAAATTCGCAATAGAAGGAAAACGTGTCAGTATTTACAAGATGTTCAATCAGTAAAATTAGCTCCCTACCTTCAGGTTAGTGCCATATACTACAAGACATTTTATCTGTTCACAATTTTACCATGTATAATTTGTCAAAGTAAGTGTGCTACTGGTTCGATGAATCAAAGCTTGAAGCTTTTTTCGATGGATTGTGGATCAACTAAGATAATTTTAAATAGAAAATTACTACCGGTAATATGTATTCTGATGGTGCTGGACAAAATCGAAATTCCATCTTAAGCAATGCTCTTGCGTTTATCCATCGATAAAAAATTAAAATAACTCAACAAATCTTAGAAAAAGGTCACAGAGATGGAATGACTCTGAAGAGCCATCGAATGTAGATTAAAGGGAAAAGAAATTTACCTTCCTTCCCAGTATGCGAATATAACAAAGACACTAGAGATAACCCAATCCATATGAGTCTGATTATTAGAATTCTCTTTTTTACCAATTTCAGTAAGGATTTAATTTACAAAACCATTCTCGGGCAGAAAATCCACTATTACCGATTTAAGGTATTAAAATATAAACCAGATGAACTATTTGTATGCTTAAACTTTGACGAACCTTTGAGCCGTTGCCTCAGCGTCCAATGAAAATTACCAATGTTAAACCTTTAGAAGAGCTGCCGAAATTATTTTCTGAAAGACTGCCAATTTCCCAAAAGAAAATATAAGATCTCCAAGATTTAAAGAGTATACCTTCGAATGCCACGCATATTATGATGAGTTACTTATAAAAATTAAATATTTTTCATTATTAGATCCATAAACATTTTGTATTATTTTTAGAAGTAGTTAAGTATTCGAAGTGTTCTTATTGTCTTGTATTGTTTGTGTTAAATGACCATTTAATTAAGTTTTGAGAGTTTAGAATTATTAGAAGTCATGGAAAAAATTACCTAAATTACAAAAGGTTTGTCTGTTTCCATTGTAACTTAGATAATTTTATTGATCTCAGTAGGTAAGTAGTTGATCTGTCAAAAGTACAGTGTAAAAGTCAATGATTCCTATAATATATTATAATATTAGCGAACCCGGCAAGGGTTTCCTGTTGGAATAAGAAAATAAAACGGAAAGAAATGTGTTTTTTTTTTGATAAAAAGCTAATTTAGCAATCTTTTTTATTTTATTAAGTTAATAATTGTTTTAAAAACTTTTTTGAAAAATGTTTTTATTATATTAGAAAGATTTTCTAGAAAGACTTATAGAGCTTAAAAATAAAAGGTAAAAACACCGCGTAAGTCTTTATTTGTTAGAGTAAAACTCTCAAGTCTTGAAAATTACCTAATAAGACGATATTTCTTTTATTTTTTTTATAGTTATTGTTAACTAAAACAATATATTAAAATTTTTATGATGTAGAAAAATTAAAGTAAAATTTTTAAAACTAAGATTGCTAGGGTGTGGATGTCGATTGGCGATACATTTTATAGCCACTATTACGGGGACTTTATACGCAGGCCAAATAACAAAGTTGCGTTTCTCCCCCATTCGCAAGCAACGGCGTGGCAAACTCGCTAAAGTTGTTCTGTTTAACCAAAATAACGCCCACGCGCACATGTCCAGAGATGCGATGGCTGCCATTCAAGAACCTGGCTTGGAATTTATGAACCATCGTCCATATTCACCTGACCTAGTTCCTTGTGATTTCTACCTATTAGCAGTAGTCGTCTCGGTACACGTGTGGTTAAAAATATTTAAGAGAATAAACCTGAAATAAAAGATAATTGGGTTTTTGAAAAAAAAAAAATTGTGATAAAGGGAAAGATCATATATTAGGTCCTTACATATGAAATTGGCGTTTTGTATGGGAGGAACAAAAAGTCGAATATTTTTAAATACATATAATATATTTAATTAATCAAAGTATGAACCATTGTTTTCTATGCACTTTTACCATCTCATAGGTAGTTCATTGATCCCTTTACTAAAAAAACCAGTCGGACGGGAATCAAAATCTGTGAAGGCGATTTGGACTGCCCCATCAGAGTTAAATTCCTAATGTCCTAATTTCGAAAAAAAGGTAATCTGTTGGAGCAAGGTCCGGGGAGTACGGAGGATGTATTAGACATTCCAATTGAAGCTCTTCTAATTTGGTAGCCGTCTGTTGTGCAGTGTGTGGTCTAGCGTTGTCGTGAAGTAGCAGTGGCGTGGAGCGATTGACCAGCCTAGGTTATTTAGCCGCTAGCTTTTCCATCATGGTTTGCAATTGCTGACAATAGACATCAGCAGTAATAGTCTGGCCAGATTTGAGAAAACTGCAATGTACAATTACAATACCGGCACTAGTCCACCAAACGCTTACAAGTAACTTTTTTGGGGTTAATTTTCGCTTGGGCAGGATTTGGCTGGCTGGCCAGGATCCAACCATTGCGCTGAGCGCTTCGGATTATCGTAAAGAATCCATTTTTCATCACAGGTAATGATTCGGCTTAAAATACCTTAATTATTGTGCCGGTTCCGTAATGTAACGCAGCAGTCGACGCGCGTTTGCCGCTTTGCTTCAGTCAATTCGTGAGGTACCCATCTTTCAAGCTTTTCAATCTTCCCAATTTGCTTCAAGTGAATTAAAACAGTTTTATCACTAACACCGCAGCCTGCAGCTAACTCGGACGTGGTTTGCGATGGATCCGCTTCCACAATAGCCTTCAATACTTCATTATCAACTTGGGTCTCAAGCCGTCCACGGGGCTTGTTCTGCAGGTCTAACTTTCCAGAACGAAAACTTTGGAACCAAAAACGAACTGTGTTGCCACGGCGGAACTCGTACTCGTAAATAATGCGATACTTTAAGTTTTCCATTTAGTAAAATGAGTGACGCAAACAGAAAAAAACAAATGAATGACGGTCATCGAAGCACAAATACATGAGTAAATAGCTGTACAAATTTGAATTCGGAATTCCTTACCAAAGAGGAGAACATCGTGATTAAAGTGGCCAGTACGAAATACGCCAATTTCATATGTAAGGACCTAATATAAGTTTTATATCAAAACTATTTTTTTCGCAATAATTCAAAAGTTATCTCAAAATAATAAATAATTTTTGAATCCAGTACCGAAAACACGCCGAACAAACCCGAGCGCGTGTGACGTCATAAGTTTTTTGCTTTAAACATCAATATTATTAACAATAAAGTTTTAAAATACATTAAAAAAATCAATATATTTTTTTTCAAAAACCCAATTGCGTCGTATTATTCGTTATCATATCATTATCACTTTTTATTGAACACCTTAGTATAGGATAGTCTGAGCGCTAGAGTAGTAAAAACAAGATTGTAATATGAACGTCGTAGAACCGCCGAGTGCTCGGCCAATTAGTTGAGTTTCCACTGAACTCGTCTGACTCCAGTTGTACGACTTCTTTGTACGCAATCCCATTACTGAATTTCATAGTTCCGGTGTTGTTTACGTCGTAATGGGATATGGAAACAATGATTAGAATGTGTAGCTTGCATCTACTAACAAGAAATATAATCGTGGTTCTGTTCTTATAAACCAGTTACGCGTAGATGGCTGTACTTAACTTGTTGTTTGAACCGAAAGAACTCAATGTCAGCGAGCGGCCCTCAAACGCCGAGCTCGCGAGTGCATGCGCACTGAGCTGATACTTCCCAAATCCTATCGGCCAATCGCCTCGGACGCTTTCGCTTCGTATATTTGTTATCAATATAGTCTATTATTTAATCTTATTTCGTATAATATGGGCTGAAAATCGCAATTTTAAAACACAACATCACCGTCCATGTTTCTTAGATCTTTACAAAAATCCTTGATATTATGACGAATGAACACAGCTCTCGATTTCCTTGTTTATCGTCTGTTTCTGTCGGTGAGGCAACGACGCATATCGATGCGGGCTACAAATACGATAAAAGCTAAACATTACCGATTTAAATAACTAATTCGTTGAACATGGCCAACTGGAAGCACGATTATTTACAGTTTATGCAGTAGTATTATTATTTAGTATTATGTTTAAATATATCGCTTACCCTAAATTTACGTATGTTATGATGCGATCGAAGCCACGCCAAAAGCCAGTTGTTTAGGTAATAAATGAATAATAAAAACTGCCTTTGTGATATGTTTGACCTGCTTATTGTCAAGTATAAAGTATCAATAATATTTTATACAAAATGAATACAGCTAAGTGCTGTTTTAATGAAGTGTAACTGTATTCTTACTAACGTTTTCTTAATTGGTTGCTTCATTACGTAATATATCTATGATGTACTTTGCCACATTTTTCTCATTCCTTTTGTATCAACTAACAATAATTGTTAGTTTCCGGGAAATAGGTTGATTCTTTGGATAAATCCAGTATCGAGATGAATCATGCGGTTGAGTCGAGCTCGCGTCATAATAAGCAAATTTTATATTTAGGTTTGTCGCGTCATCTGTCAAGACTAACAGCTAATCTATTCGTTATACATTTTTAATAAATATTTTACGCTCTTCTTACCAATTATTCTACATTTAACGACGATATTGACACCTGGTTCAGACAGAGAACTTCCTCGTTTTAAGTAAAACGCTTATTTCAACAAACTCTACAGCCCTTGAGACCTTAGTATGCGAAAAAAACTTTCATTTTGTAGTGGGCTAATCTTATCTCGTAGAAATATTTAGACTTTGGAACGTTGTTATTCTCTTGGTCTATATTTACTATTTTATTTCAAAAGTAAATATTTGTGGTTTTGTATGATTTTTAAATGTTTTCACATTCAGAAACGTTTACACTTTGAGCATAAAGAGAGTTTTGAGTTCAAAGTGACGAACGGAGGAATGCAACAGGTGTTCTGCGACATCGTGGTGCGCGACGGTGAGATGGTGTGCGTAGAGCTGGTGGCTCGCGGCAGAGGCGGCGCCGCGCAGGCCGTCATCTTCCTCGGCTCCATCCGCTACGACGCGCTCACCCGGGTTTACGACGCCAGGGTAATGATGACATTTTTCTTCTCAATATGCCATTAGGTACTTAATTTTAATGCGAGTTCATGTTCATGTCGTGTGAAATAAACGATGCATTTTTAAAAGTGTCAATACCGTTTCCACTTTGGAGTAAGTATTGTTGATGTGTTATTCCAGATCTGTACCATATTGCTCATATCGCTATCGCTATCGATATAAACAATAAAATTAAACTCAATTTCTAACAATCAAATGTGGAGTTGTTTGTGAAATAGATATCAATTCGAGATTATGGTGTTTTTCATTTGCCTTTTTTTGCGACTAACGCTCGCGATATCAGGTCGAACCAAAGCGCTTATTATAATTTATCATATCATTATTAGCCTCGGTCATGTGATAGATAATAATGCATATGTCCTCTGAAAAGTATAAATTTTCGCTTCTCCAGCGCGAGTTCGAGGGTTCATTCTGTGCTCTTCTTCGCTTCGGAGCCGACAAAGTGGGTCAGTGTGACGATAGGTCCTATGAAGTCACAAAACCCAACGTGCTTAATGCTTTACTTTTTCATAGTTGTGTTTAGTCTTTTATCTGCATTGTCATCGCTAATGCTCCACTTTCCAGGGAATAAGCTATTTTTAGAATAAACTGACAAAGTGCTTTTGATAATAAAAATGAGCTTTTCATTTATTTTCACTCTGAACAATAATTGTTAGTTTATGAAAAGTCTAAAATGCATTTTGCAGACAAATATTCCACTCAAATCAGCATAATTGCTACATAATATTTTAATAAAAATGTTGTCTTTCGAAACCTTGCGAAGTTCACTATTTTCTAATACTATATTAAGAGAAAGTGCAGTTTTTTGCTATTTGAACGGACTCCAGTCGGTGAGCAATAGTTTGCGATAGCGTTATTGATTTCGGAGCGTTGAAGCGACCCGGACCGGGTTCGTCTGGGTGGTTAAGGGGGTGAGGGGGGTGAGAGGTGGCAATATCAACAAGTCGCGACTTCGCGTCGCCCGTTGCTAATGAGTCCAGCATTCAAAAACAACGCCGAAACTGGCGCAGCAGACGCCTTATTCCAATACACGCATAACGTCCCAAGGTCACGGCTAACGGACTGTTATTGCTCAAAAGACGATACACGAACGGTCTCTTTTACACGAGTCGTCATCATTTTTCTTTGTGAGTAGATGACCGGCCATCTTCTACCGAGCCGAGAGTGACCGGCGTCATCGGAAGGTAATTGTAATTGGAAAAGTTTGCGTTCCAGCAATCTTCCCTTTCGACGAAGGTGGCGCAACGTATGTCTTTCGGTCTGTTGGGGGCACGCGGAGCCGGCGCGGCGCGATGCGAGTTCGTTCGTATGCGGGGACCCGGCGGGAAGGGCCACGCCGAGGTACGTTCGGCCTGTATTTACTAGATTCCGTGTTCAGTAATACATTACTTTGCCTCGGCCCTAACCTTATCTAATTAAGTAATATAAGTTGGTAAGGTGACGTTTTCTTATTTCTTGCGCTCGCCAGGTGGCGGTGTCGCGACCGCGCGGCTCGGGCGCTCCGACGCCGAGCTCGGAGCCCGGCCTGACGGCCGCCGAGCTGTGGGACAGCGACTGGGAGGACGACCCCGACGACATGTTCCTCTACCGCCATCAGGTGATCGCTCGCTCGACGTCGGAACGCCGATCGTCAGGCCGGTGAACACTAACTATGCTTCGATGCCATCCGCAGCGACGCCTGAGCGACCCGTCGGCGAACATAGCGTCGTTCGTGCGCGGCGGGTGGCGCTCTCGAGATCGAGCGGGCGAAGGCCGAGACAAGAGCCGCTCTGAGAACGAGGGGCTGGACTCGATGGTCGACGGCCTGGCCGAGGTGGAGGCGGGAGACCTGAGAGACGGTGAGTCGTCCTTTTCAGCTTCGTGAGCTCTCAAAAGACATTCAATACACCGTAGGTATAAGAGCGCCATCTAGTTGAAACCGTATCAGTTACGACAGAGGGGGTGTCTCCGCACACTTCACCGCCGCATTTTATTTGTTTATTAGTTTTCGTTCCCAAACGTTCGAGTCGTATTTGTGTAGCAGGACAAAATAGATTAGTTTTGAAAGTGGTATTAGATGTGGCTTTGCATGTGCGTCCGCGGCGGAATCCCGTCGCCGGAGCCCGCCCCTCTGTGACCGCCGCGCCCCGCGACCGTGCACCCTCGCGAAGACGCGGCGTCGAAACGGCCCAAACTCGTATAAATGCGCCTGCAACGCACGACCGCTCGGGGGAGTTTTCCGCCTGACGATCACTTTCAAAATCACAAAGCGGCCGAAGGCTCCCGCGGGAAAAGGCGAGGGCGCGGCGCGTGACGCGAGTGTCTGGTCCGTAGGTCGCAGAGGGTCGGGCTCCTCGCGAGGCCGCGGCGAGTGCATGCGCGCCGTGGCCGGGCCCCCGGCGCGCCCCGCGCCCCTCTCCCCCGCCTGCCTGCATCGCCGCGCGCCCGCCGCCGAGCACGCCTCGCGAGTCGCCCGCACGCCGCCGCCGCTCCGCCCGCTGCCCCCGCCGCCTCCGCCGCCCGGTGCGCCGCGGGGCTCGCCCCGCTGCGAGATCGCCTGCGACGTCGCCTCGCTCGACGGGGGCGACCTCGCCGCCGCCGAGTCGCACCTCCGCCCCGCCCGTCCCTCCGACCGGGCGCGGACGGTGCGCGGCCGCGAGGAGCTCCCGGGCGAGCTCGGACCGCGGCCGCCCTCGCCCGGGCGGAGGGACGGCGGCGAGACGGTCGCGGAGGGAGAGGGCGGGGGCGCGGGAAGCTGGAGCGACAGCGCGCGGGCCTACGTGACCCTGCCGCGGCGGCGAGGCGTAGCGGCGGCTCTGTTCCGCGCCGCTCGCCTTCCGCCGCGCCGCACGACGCCGGACGGCACCGACGTCTACTACTGGTGCGATCTGCCCAAGCGCAGCGTTCACGGTACGCTCCGCCCCCGAGTCGCTCCGCCGGCCTCGAGGCGGGCGAAGCGACTCGATCGACTCGTCGCATTGCAGAGCTGGATGACGGCGCCTACAACCCTCTGTGGGCGTTGCGAGGCTTCACGCAGACGTTCCATCTGTGGAAGGAGGGCAAGCGGCAGCAGAGCGCGCCCCTCTCCGCTTTCCTCACCTACGTGACGCTACCCTGGTGGGCCATCGCCAAAGGTGAGCGAGGGCGGATAAGATGCGCCCGACGAGAAGCTTCGCCGAGGACTATTAAATGATTTGATTTCAGATATTTTGGATCATCGCGAGGAGCCGATCTTGACCTTCTGAGACTCGCCGGGCCTCGTGGAAGGAGGACGGGTTTGCGCTCCTTAGTTAAATTAACTTTTAGAACTGAACTGCTTCTGGACAGAACCATAAATGATTAATTCTTAAAAACTTGTCCCGAAGGATATTTTTCTACATGCTCAGCGATGAGTGAATATCGCCATCTTTCGTAACATTCCCGAACTACATTCCTCCGCGACTTGTCGACGTACATTATCGGAAGAGGGCGTTGTCTCTCAAAAGACAATCACAAATGTAATATAAAATAATCTTGTTGTCGGAGAATTGTCTAAAAAACTATAAAATGTCTGCGGTGTGTATACAATATACATATATTCATATTTATAATATATATATTTAAGTTCTTTATTATTATTATTATTAGACACTTAAGTAATACTCGCTTCTAACGAAAGAAACATGCTCTAGTCTGTAGGGTTTAATTTTATACGAATTTCTTTAAATTTCGGGCGTCAAAGGCCAAAACGGCAGAGACACTTTTTTAAAATTCTGGTCATGGCCAAATGCGCTTAGTTGTTTCCGAGTGGTGATCATTAGTTGGCAATAAAGGTTCCGCCCTCCCGATGGCTAACCTCGACTACTAATTCACGAATGCGATTAGACTAGGTTTCATATAGTTAAACCTTTCAACGCTGGATGTGATATAAGTATTGGCATATTTTGTGATCAGTGAGTGAACGTCAAATCAGGAACGAATCATTATTTTTTATATAAATGCGACGGTTTTTAAGATGAGTGAATCGTATCGGAATATAAACTACAATCCGACGACAGTGTATGTATATCTAAGTATAAATTAAGTTAAGAGAGAGTGATTTTGTATCCGTGTATTAATTGTATTGCCTCAGAGAAGACAGAGCTAGTTGCATCGATCCCAGTAATTCTAAATATTTCTTCAAACTATTCTCTTTGCCTTCACGAAGACCGTCTCTCGGTGGATGCGACTAGTGCGAGTGTTGCGAGGCGTTTTCTAGTCCAGATGATCTTCAAATGTGTATTCTAATATGATGTTTCCTCGAATAAATTATTTCAAACAAGTCGTTTATTTTTAAAACCCTGCTCTATTATATATATTTTATTAGAGAACGACTGCTTTAGGGGAATGTAAATAACGACATGTAGTGAATTGAATACGTTTAGTTTTCAATTATTATCTTATCTACTTTACACATCTACACATAAAGGTCATCACAAGATAAAGCCAAAAATTAAATAAAAAAAAATGAGAATTTTGAGATGTCTTTATATACGTAGGGACCGTCGATTTGTGCACTGCTTGCACTAAAAGTTATGAGTTGTGAGCCTTATTGGTCGATGTATATACTCTGGGCTTAACACGTCTCGTTAAAAGAAAGCGTGTAGTGTCGGTCACGCACGAAGGTAAATATTAAATAAATAAAATAAAAAGAAGAAGGTAAATATTGTCGATAGGTATTTATAGAATAACAGATACGCAAGTTCAAAAAAATGGATTCTGTGTCTTGTTGGAAAGGATCTGCTGATAAGCAGGTGCTCGTTCCGAGGTCATCGACGAAATGTCAAGGAGTGACAATGAAAAGGCGGGTCTTTGTTCGATAAAAATCTGAAGGATTTCGGCCCAAGCGGGCAGAAGTGTGGGCGCCGCCGACAGTTTGGGCGGCACGCGCCGTTAATGAGCCGGAAGAGAGCACTTGCACTGATGACGGATGCTCGAGATGTAAACCCGACGACACAACGGTTCCTTTCCTCCTCTAGAGTAAACGAAATCCATGTTTTGCGATTCGAGTGCTAGGTAGTGGGTCGGGTCAAACTCGATAACCTAGAGGAAGTGTAGATGTTTTATTTTAGTAAATAATAATGTGTTATTATTGAGTCCAGTGGTAATAAAATAACGGTTTCAATCATAATTATTTCGGTGGGAGCGATAAAGCCCTCGGGACATTTGACCCGTTATCTGCTCCGCGCGTATCACTTCGCACTCAGACTCGGACCGAGCGGAAAAGCATTGTTACTTGTAAGTAAATTATTTTATTTATTTTCAATTTTATTTATTGTCTCTCTTCTTCAAATCGAGTGATATTGAAACATTCTAACGGCAGTTTATAGGCTATTCGATAGCTATAATTGTATAATGGAATGAGTGCAGGTACGTCAGGGTCATGTTCTTGTGGGTGATGTTAGCGGCGTTGGCCGCGAGCGCCAGCACGTGCGAGCTGGGTCCTCCCGAGGGCGCAGGGGGATCACAACGCTCCCCGGGTGACAACCACTACCGCTTGATCGTCAACGGAGAGGTGGAGCGATATGCGCCGGGGCAGAGATATGTCGGTAAGGAATTACAGTTCGTCCGACCATAACGTTCCATAATATAGTGAGATCACTATATACATTCCATTCTGTTATATACATTCAGTTCTGCAGCTTATACGGTTAAAAAGATTCGCTCACTAACTGATGTCGATACAGCTAGACTTGTTTATTTTAGTTACTTTCACAGCTTAATGACTTAAGGCTTATGATTATGGAGTCATGCTGCTGATGTCGAAACTATTTTCATCCCGAAGAAAAGGGCTATTCGTGCAATCTATTAATATAATTTAAAATGTAGGGAATCTCTGAGAGATAAATTTAAGGAAATTAATATACTTACCTTTCCCTCGCAATATATTTATGAAAATACTTATAATGAATGTATACAAAGATAGCGATAAGCTTACTAGAATAGAACATACGCACAATGTTAATACACGGAACAAACGCAGGCTGCAATTTCCGCGTACTAGACTATCTAAAGTTAGTAATTCTTGTTTGGGAAAAGGTATACTTTTCTTTAATAAAATCCCAGAGAGAGAGAATTGCTGTGGCTTGAGATTTTAGATTCTTACCACCGACAAAAGAGACCCTTTACCTCGCAATTACATTTGTATTAATGCAAATTGGCCATTATTTCGGCGGCGTTTCTTGCGATCGAGCTAATCATCCAATTGATGAGCAAGCTTCGCTAAATAAGATCACGTTCCGTAGCGTATTGGCATCGTATTAGATTGGTTGTACTGATTATGACAGTGACACTGGTGGGTGCACGCACGCATGATGTGGTGCAGCAATTCAGCCGCTTCCAGCTGGTGGCGGATCCCCTGGATCCTGCGCAGCCGCGTTCGCCTCGCCATCAGGGGCAGTTTCAGCTGTTCGCTGACACGCTCACCCAGTTCGACGAGGAATGCACCAATTCGGTGGTAGAATCGGACGACCTGCCCAAAACCGAAGTCCAGGTCATGTGGAAAGCGCCGCCGGCGGGCTCCGGCTGCGTCCTTCTGAAGTGAGTTTTGTAATGTTGATTTGATCGACGGATTAATATTTTTAAAGAACTCTTTGTTTAAGCATTTTTTTACGTTTTCAGAGCCATGGTATACGAGAACGCCAGTAAGTGGTTTGCCGAAGACGGACAATTGACTAAACGAATCTGTGAAGATACATCTCTGTCCGCGCCCGATTGCTGCGCTTGCGACGACGCCAAATACAAGGTGCCGATAAATTCTTTCGTGACTATCATCGTCACTTCGACGAATAAAGACATAAAATTATATTATATAACGATTTTTTGCAGATTGTGTTCCAAGGTCTGTGGTCACCGCAGACTCACCCCAAAGACTTTCCGGTGCAAGCGATGTGGCTCACTCACTTCTCGGACATAATCGGGGCTTCGCATCCCAAGAACTTCACCTTCTGGGGCGAAGGACAAATCGCAACCGACGGCTTCAGGTGAGGGATTCTGTTGAATAGAAATATGCACAAATATCCATCACCGAGATTAGCGACAGAAGGGAAGCGCCGTGAATAGGTTGTTCGAGTTTAAGCAGACAGTGAACGGCACGATCGTTCGCAGGTCGCTGGCCGAGTGGGGCTCGGTGGGTCTTCTGGAGCGCGAGCTGCGGCAGCGCGGCGCGGGAGGCGTCCTTCGCTCCTTGGTGCGGGCTCAGGGCCTGTGGTACCCGAGGGTCAACGCCAACACTACGGCCACCTTCGACGTCGACCGGCGGCGGCATTTGCTGTCTATGGCATCCATGTTCGGTAACCGATAGCGGCGAAAGCTCCGCTGGCTTCGAATCCAAAACGAAAATTAAAGCGTCGAATGCGTCGATGTCTTTCAGGGCCCTCTCCCGACTGGGTGGTCGGGGTCAACGGCCTCGATCTGTGCAACGCGGACTGCTCCTGGGCCGAGTCCGAGACGATAGACCTGTACCCGTACGACGCCGGCACCGACAACGGCATCTCTTATATGGTAAACCGCGAATCCTTTTCGCCGCAGAGACAGAGCTAGATCCGACGATTACGATATATTTTCGATATCTCTGCAGTCTGCGAACTCCGAGACTTCGCCCCGCGAGCGCATGTACCGCATCACGACAATGTACCCGGAGGACCCTCGCGCGCCCTTCTACGACCCCTCCAAAAAGGAGATGCGGCCTCTGGCACGCCTCTACATCACCCGGGAGAAAATCGTTTCTCGAGGCTGCGACGAGGAGACGCTGCAGACCCTCGTCGCCGAGGAGGCCGAGAACACGCAGTCGGCCGACAGACGTGAGTAGCCGTCTTTTCCGTTTCGGTTGTATTTGGTATCGCTCCCGGTTAGGTTCAGATGAGAAGCCGCTCGCGTGTGCAGACGTAACCTCTCCTTCGGCACTTTGACTAAATGAAATAATTGTAAGAAAACAGAGAATCTATGTACGAGCCAAGGCTGTATATTTTGCTCGCTCAGGCTTCCTTAGTTTTATAAGCTTAATTATTCCCTATGTAAGTACGTGCCAGGGCTCGTACATTCCAATCATCTACAAGCGTGATGTTTTTATTATGTAAGTACGTGTCCTGGCTGTACAGTTTGATCACTTATAAATATGACGATTTCCTAAATCGTCGGAGTCGCCCGCCCGACGCAGGCACTCTCTTCGACTGTTACAGCAGTCATTCGTATCATTACAATTAACTGTATATGGATTTACCCGGGACATACCAGACGTCGGCACTCTCTCTGTTTGTTGATTGCACTTATTATTAGCAATTAACATAATAGTTATTATTTCGCTCATATTCTATTGTATTACGCGAGTGATAAATATAGAGTTAAAGTTATTCTATTATTTGAACCCCTGATGATCCAGGAACCGTACAACTAAATTGCCTAAATTGTGTAACTGACTATTCGTTCGGCAGCGGAGTGTGCGGTGACAGAATGGACCGCGTGGTCGCCGTGCTCGGTGACGTGCGGCAAGGGCCTGCGCATGCGCACGCGGGAGTACCGGCTCCCGCAGAAGGCCCAGATGTTCCAGTGTGACCGGCAACTCGTCTCCAAGGAGATGTGCGTCGCGGCCGTGCCGGAGTGCGAGTGAGTATCGCCGTTCGAGCGACTCGACGAGTTTTGTTTTCTAATTGTACACCGCAACGATAAACTATATCCGAAGGGGCGAGGTCGAAGCGGCGGAGGAGGGCGAGTTCGCGGGGGCCCCGCAGGAGCGGTCGCCCGAGTGCCTGACGTCGGAGTGGGGCGAGTGGAGCGAGTGCTCCGTAACGTGCGGCATCGGGCAGTCCACGCGCAGGAGGCACTTCCTGGATCGCCTGGGGCCCAAGAAGTGCCCGCTCGTGCAAGTCGGTCGGTAGAGTTGGTAGTGCGGAGGAGTTTCTGCCCTTTGCGTGGCGACTCACGGAGGTCTCTGTTCCCCAGAGGAGAGCCGCAAGTGCATGGAGCCGGCGTGTTCGGAGGCGGACGCCGCGGGAGTGTCGGACCCGCTCTGCCCCACCACGGACTGGTCGGCCTGGTCTCCCTGCAGCGCTTCCTGCGGCCGAGGGGTAAAGTTCCACACTCGTCTGCTGCTGGTGCCAGCCGATCGCCAGCAGGAGTGCTCCGCGCGCGTCGAGCTCATGCAGCAGCGCGTCTGCCGCGAGAGAGAATCCTGCGACGTCGACATGCTCACCGCCAAACGTGAGATTCGCTACTTTCCTTCGTTTCGCGCCTCGGGCTCCATTTATATGATATGCGTTCGTAGGCATCTGCATGGAGTCGGCGGAGCAAGGTCCGTGCCGCGGCGTATACCAGCGATGGGCCTTCGCAGCGGCCAAAGGCATGTGCGTGCCCTTCACGTACGGCGGATGTCGCGGAAACCAGAACAACTTCATCTCGCAGGATGACTGCCTCGAGACCTGCGGCTTCATACTAGGTGAGACAGACGCGGGACATATTCATATTGGGGAAACGGATGATCCTCGAGGTCGTTTTAATGTTTGAAACAATACTTCGTCGGGGTAATTGCGTTCGTGATGTTTAGGTGCCAATGCCCCTCCGGCGGCCAGCGGCGCCAACCCCGGACTCAACTCCACCTCCGTCGCGCCCGGATCACCCACCGGTAACTCTTTTTCTAGTTCCGTCGCTCGTTACTCTCTAACTCTCTAAGACTCCGAATAATGTATTACTGAATTTCGCGTCCACGCAGCGGCGACCCCGAACGGCGACTGCCGGGTCGGCGAGTGGGGCGAGTGGAGCCGCTGCAGCGTCACGTGCGGAGTCGGATACCAGGAGCGCTCGCGCCCCGTGCTGGTAAGTATACTAATCAGTCACTTGTATACAATACATTGATTCTTCCTCAAGTATATACGGTCAAAATAAAACAACTCGTTCGAAATTGTAAGAAGCCTAGACTACGAAGATACACAATTTGTTATCCATAGCCATTTGGCGTACACTTTAAATGCATTCTTAGCCACGACTGCTCATGATTTTCTTATATTTTGTTTAGAAGGCTTTGCAGTCTTCTCTGTGCTGACTATACTAAATGAATATTTACTATCCGCGATGAAATGCTGGTGTTAAGTCCTTGTTCGAAATATATTTTTGTTAAATTAACCTTTAACCCCTAGACAAATCTAGGGTAATCCGTATTTTTGACACGACGATCGCTACATTTGATAACATTAATTTGCATTTTTTTTTACATTTTTTCATGTTACGCTGGTGTACACGCATTGAAAACAGTTTAGATTTTTGCCAATTTAACTTATTTAGTTAGTTCAGCTCAGCGCTCTCAGTCATAATACTAACAATGATAATAATTTATTTGTAAGAGTATGGTACAAAAATGTTGTGATGGTACAATCTAAAGTTAATAATAAAAATAAAATATTCTGCTACAGATAATGGCGTGCAAATTTGTCTTAAAAGCTAGAATAGAAGTTACAATTACATTATGGGTCGTATCATAATATACAATTATTATTTTATCACTACATAGTACATATACTGTTTAGTGAGTGTTTAAAATAAAAATTCTTTATTTGCCTTGAAATAACATTAAATGAATTGAAAAAAGGAGAAAAGCAATTAAGAGTGCCAATGTCTAATTATAATTAAAAGCAATTAAATGATTTGTTACGTTATATTGTTAGTAAGTCAAAACTTATAATGTAAGAACTCACTAACACACTCGGAACACACTATAGAAGCACCCTGCCCTTTTACGATAGATTTCTGTAATTTGTGGGAAGATTGATGGTGAAGAGTATTTGTGCGTATGATGACTAACCTAACCTCTCTCATTGTCCCTATACTAATTGTTTAATAATTTCGGTATTAAGTTCGAAACGAGGATATATATGTATGTACTTTGGGCTAATTATGTGTCAACGGCCAACGAACCGTTCTTTGGGGCACAGTTCGGCGCCGAGTTATAGGCGCCAGCCTCTCACAAACATAGCCAATACCTTTAGTATGTAAAACGCGATGTGTAGCTGCACATTATTTTAAATATAATATTTCTACCTCAGGAAATTGATATCAAATTATTGTTGATTAAATACAAATTCGTAAATGATTGTTCGGAGCATTGTTCTTTCGAATAATATAAGAATGTCTTTAAATGTATTTGCTATCACCAGTATCACGGCTTCCTAAACAAAGTCACAATCAATACAAAATATAAAAGTCGGTTCACTCTCGTTCACATCGACCTCTTCGCTGGCCTCATTTCAGACTGTTTCTCGAAGGATACTGAATTTAAAGATAAAAGCTCGGTCGGTAAACAGCGAATCCACGAAGTCGTAAATACTTCAGTCGACGATGTCTGCTATACGTCTCGTTACCTCGTTACACATAATTGTTCGATATCTTATTGCATTACGGCGTTCAGCTGTATATGAAGCCGGGCCCTTGAGAGGAACTAGAGGCATAAATCTATTTGTGTGCCTGTACATGTAGAGGTGATCTAACGCTGCTATGTGTTTGATAATAGAGACGTCGAAATTCACACTCTAATGTGTTTACTCTGAGCGCATAAAATTTACGTGTATTTTGAAATCACTCAATAATATTTCATATACTACGATAGCCGAGCTTCGGGTTTCATGATTCATGTTGCTCTAACATCGCTCTTTGAATATAACACATGTTGTATACTTGTATTGAGTTAAATGCCTGTTTGTCCGGCCATATGTCACTGCTACTTTATTCCAGAAACTATTAGGACTGCACAGTAGGTAGATTATTTCTGAAAATAAAAATGAAGGGGCAATCCCCATACAGGAGTCTATAGTTCTTAAAACTATTTTTAACTGATCGCTTTTAATTTTAAAAATGAGAGAGTTTAATATCTAAAATATATGCTGGAGATCGCAATAAATATGTAGATACAAATTTTCTTTTGCTGGCCATAAATGGTAGTAGTGTAGAGGCCTAGGCCTAGGTCACAACATATACGTCATCACAGTACAATTGTTAGTTCAACCCTCCCCTTGGCTTTGCGCGTAGAAATGTGGCTGGCCCACTGGATTCGTCAAATTTCCACGCGTATCTCCGCGCAGGCACTGAGGCGGGTATTGTGTGGACAAGGTCAAATCTATTCATTTGGTTAGAACAATTAAAATTGTTGCTTCATTTTAACGTCTCAGTCTAAGTCATACAATAGCTCATTTCAATATCAACGCAGAGAGTTTCACTCGTGTGTTTTTCTTGTATTAAAAAAAATCAAAATGGTCTGTTGCAGTCCGTTCCGGGACCGGGAGGAGCACCTTGTCCGACGAGACTTACGCGAAGAAGACGATGCCACAGATATTGTTAGACATCTCTGATACCTTTTTGCTAATAAAATGAAAGAAAATTACAAGTAAAATAGTGTTAAAGTTGGCACTTTGTAACCGAGTAGGTACTGAAATACACACGAACAAGCTTAGTTAGACTAAATTAGGAGAATATATCGGTTAATAAAAAGATTTTGAATTACTTTGTCTTTTATTAGTAAGAATTATGTACCAATATGAAATAACCAAAAGAAGAAATAATACATTAAATACGTAAAACATAAAGGTTACGGCCTTGTGTTGGTCTTCCTAACTGCTGTACTGAACAGGTTCAGATTAATATAGGGTGTCTCAGCGCCGATTTTAAACTTAAAATATTTATAAAAAACAACTTGTATTTGTAATGGCGCTTCTAAACGGGCCATGTTTTGCTGCAATTGATGGCAGCAACACTGTGGCCAGCAACATTGCAAACAATAGCAGCCACACTATGCAATATTGCAGTAATGTCAACATGCCAAACCAAACATGTTTTGTATAGCCACATATGGCCGATGTTGCCCCGATGGGTGGCCGGACGATCGCTAGGCTATTGGCGCTTCTAAACGGGCCATGTTTTGCTGCAATTGATGGCTGCACTGTTGGCAACTAATTGTCCGGCCATTAGAAAAATATGTTAATGCAGCGAGGCCGAACAATCTATGGCTGGGCAATGTGTTGCAATAGCCAATAGTATGGCCCATTTGCAGATTCCTAAACGGGCTACACAAACCGGAACAATGGCTGTTGAAATCACACTTGTCGCGGCGGTTATATAGTTCTAAAAAAAAAAGGTGGGGTCACCCACTAAATAGGGGGGAAGATGTTGTAATTGTTTCAGACTAGTGTCAAAAGCAGTCATTTTTACGTAGTAATTTAACGTCAAATACAGCGATCGCAAACACAGAATATAGCAACAGGCACACTTCACCCATAACAAACTTTCATGTCGCGTACAAAAGGATACACTGTGCCATAAAAAGAGAGTGACTGAAACAACAATAGAACTGGCTGCAATATTGCAGTTGAATTCGATAGCCTAGCGATCGTCCGGCAACCCATCGGGGCAACATCGGCCAATGTGGCTATAAAAACATGTCTGGCATATGGCCGGGACATTACTGCAATATTGCTAGTGTGGCTGACTATTGTTCTGCGACATGTGTGATTTCTTCAGCCATTGTTGCCGGTTTGTGTAGCCCGTTTAGGAGTCTGCATCATGGGCCATACTATTGTTGACATATTGCAACACATTGCCCAGCCATGGATTGTTCGGCCATCAGCTGCATTAAAATATTTTTCTAATGCCGGACAATTAGTTCCAACAGTGCAGCCATCAATTGGCAAAACATGGCCCGTTTAGAAGCGCCATAAAGTTCTTGAATAATTTATTATCAAGGCTTATTTCTAGACTGAAATTGTCTACAGCTTCACGCCTATTTAAGTAAGGTCGAATCCACAATCTCTTCTTTTTCTGTTTCTTTTTTTAAAACAATATAAGCTGCTGCGACAAGTGTGATTTCGTCAGCCATTGTTGCCGGTTTGTGTAGCCCGTTTAGGAGTCTGCATCATGGGCCATACCATATTGCAACACATTGCCCAGCCATAGATTGTTCGGCCATCAGCTGCATTAAAATATTTTTGTAATGGCCGGGCAATTAGTGGCCAACAGTGCAGCCATCAATTGCAGCAAAACATGGCCCGTTTAGACGCGCCATAATATTACAATTGCAGTAAATTATAATGTATTAGTGCGGATTTTATGTACGGAATTAACACCGTCAAGTAGTCTTCCATTACGATGAATGCACTCTTCAAAGCGGTCTAGCAAATTTGCAGAGACACGCCGCAGAATTTTTTTTTCTTCAACTGCTCAAAATTCGTAGGATCACAAACTCTTAAGATAACCCCATAAAAAAAGTCAGCTGGGGTTAAGTCGGGAGATCTGGATGGCCACAATATGTCTCCGAATCGGCTTAGCTTCCGCTAGCCCCGTGTGTTACCGAGAAATTTGTGTTTAAAGTTTAAAGTCGTCGCTGAGACAACCTTTATCATTGGTTTTTGTATTGGCTTCACTGTGAACAAAACATCACTATTCTGCCATAAATATACCGAACTGCACAATAAAAAGGAAAGGAAAGGAGTCTTGTATTGTAATGTACTTGACCCTGCGGCGGCCTTGATCGCTGACGTCATCGTAAGGCAGTGCGCTGTGTGACGTCACAATCCGATGTCACGAGCCGCGCCCGCGGGATTATCCTTGCGTAACTATCGCGATCTCATTGGACCCTATTTCACGTGTACGATTCTGAGCATCTCCAAGTCGGGTTGAACGTAAACATTTGATGAATATAACTCGTTTCTATGGCTCTTAGTTCAGTATTCGGCTTTGTATTTGGTTTTATTTAATTTCTCGCTTCTAAATGAAATATTATTTAAAATTACGGGCAATAAAGTTTCACGGTCACTGGTTTGTTGTGATCCGTTCACACTTCGCCAGTCAAGTGGATAATCATCAGGTATCATCAGTCGAGTCAGCAGTCTATTCGAATGTCAACGTCCGCGAGATGTAGGTGAGATGAAGTGAAGGTGGCGGTGACGCGGACGGGTCGGTGTTCTTGGCCCGGATACTTGCAGCCCTATTTGTGTACGTCTCAATACTTAAGTATATTGACTCGACGCGACCTTGAACGCTACATTATGAGTTTTAAAGTTTCGTATGTTTTCGTCGACAGAACAAATTGTTTATTTAAAGGCAAAGCCTTATAACGTCTCAGTAATAGTGATTTCCAGCAGAGAGTAAACATCAGATCCTATTAATGTACATTTAAAGAATTTTTACATCGCATGGCAATTGATGCGTGACTTCTTAAATTAGGTCTGAATGTGTTTCAGATTATCCAGCGTGGTGTTTTGCACAAATATTTCAAAATTAGCCATGACATAGTGAAGGCAGTTGCGTGTAAAAGGGCAGTATTTTAGTGAATTTTTGGGAGCGGCACGAGACAGCGACGATATTACTGATTATAGGCAGAGAATAGAGGGAGTACGGCATATTAAGCTGTGGACGTCATCAGGCTCAGCGAGTGTATGATAATGAACATGACATCAAACGGAATATTCAATACATCTTTGGGTTAAAGCAATATATGATATTTTCTACTATTTAAAGCGACTTGTATCTTATGTCCCTTTTTTTTAATCATCATCCAATAAAACATCACAGTGGAACAGTGACTGTGCGACCGCACCCCGACGGTTCCGCACCCGGTCAAGGTTGACCGATTGACATTTTGCCGCGTCTTATGTAGTCCAGGGTATATGCCATGCCTGAACTCTATTTTACTAGATAAAAAGTGATGACGTCACCTTCACACTATTTGGAAAGACCGGTTACTTAATGTGCAATGCTGTCCATTAGCGCACCTTTTCCTAAATGGCTTTGCACTTAGGAGCTACAGTTTAATTCAATTGGGGATTTGGACTTTATGAAATAAAGCAAAATCGTAGCAAACGGACGGAAAATTGTTCACTAAATTTTGATAATATTTTGAGCATTACCTTTGAAGGTCTTGGAATGGGATGCGTTTGAAAAATAATAATTTCATTCAGTGGCGATAGATTAGAAAATATGCCCGAACCTCCAAAAGATGTTTTATATGCACTTAAATATAATATACTAAAGCATAGTCTACCCGGATACCTTAATGACGTAATTTTTAATACCTTGCAAACCTGACTAGGAAAAAACTAGACAGACTCCACTCGTCACCGCATACGTACCACCATATATGCAACTCTATTTACCAGTTTTTACACAATGAGGGCTTAACTAGACGAGTGGACAATATAACCTGAGAAGGGCTGTCTAACTAACTCAAAGGGATCAAATTGAAATTTCAAGACTTGATTATATTGTATTGGGATTATTCCTTTGTGGTATGTATATATCTACCGCATTATAAAAGTAACATCATTATAGCGCCCGTACTTATTTCAATATCGCTCAGGGCCGCGCTGACCTTAGGCAGAGCCTGTGTGCGAAACCTATGAAGCGCCTCTTTTTTTAACGAATTTTCATGATTCAACGTATTTTTTAAATTATTATTTGTTAATTTTGATCGACAAATGTTCTCCAGTTTTACTTAGATTATGTTTTCCTAAATAGGTACAACCAGTCCAAACACAAACGTAAATATTATCTTGGGAGGCGTGTATTAAGGGTAATAAGGTAATAAGCGAAATATATGTTTTGTTTTTAAAAATTGCGCTTATTATACCCACTTACTTCTCGATACTCCACTACAAAGAATATGTTGTTGTGTAAGTGTAACAAAAATATTTCGGTGGCGGCGACCTTATTGTGTTGGCGCCTGTGTGCAACGCACATTTCGCACACAGGGGCGGTTCAGCGCGGCCCTGCTTCGGTGCAATATACATACAATTATTTATTTTTTTATTTTTGACTAAGATTATATTATCTAACACAACTTGATAATATTTATTATTGTGAATCTCGTGTAGATTTACAAAGACAACCTCTGCTTGTGTATTACAATAGTAGTAGCTCTTTCACACCGCTGTTAGAGCTTTATTTCGTCTCCGAGTAAGTGTTTTAAAAATGTGCACGTGCAAGGTTAATGATTAGGTCTCAGAAGTATGTTGCATTCCCCGGTTAATTGCTTCATTATCTCTACATTTTCCTTATCTACTATTGTTTCTAATTTAAAGAAGTTTTAACATTGTTTGTTGTTTTCTAACTAATGCTTTATCAATACAATATACATACCATTTAAGTTAGTCGTTGTCGGTATAATAAAACGAAAATGCGTTTAGTATATAGGTAGGTGCACAGAGTCTGGAAAGTCGATTATTAAACAAAACAAGTAAGTATATGGAATGAGAAGGTCGAAGTAACAAAATACGTACAGGAATTCACACGTGATACATATCAGACGTTGAGAATAACTCTTCAACAACAATATAATAATATGTTGTATAAACCTCGCACAGGTTAAACGAATCGATTGAATTCGTATTCTGCATGTTACAATTTAGTGTAAATTTGCTTCAAATTTCAACCTGTTGAATAAGAAAAAAAGACTAATAAAGCTATCCTTCGTATTGGTCAACATTGCAATAGTAGTAGACAAGGGTTATCCATTTGCCTAATGGAAGGCTGGGCCTCTTGCAATTTAATGGTTATGTTATGCCAACCTAGATATTTATGATCGTATACAACTTCTATGTCAAGTGTTGCAGGTCTAGGAAACGGCAAAGGGTATGCTTAGTTTTTGTCGAGAGAAAGTCGTGACGTGGAATAGTGGTATAGCTAAGTTTTCAATACGTTAGATTAGATCTGTCTCATTGGGCATGTTAACGATAGGATAATCCCTAGCAGAGACTCAGTTTACCTTTCGTATTGGTTTGAATCTGGATTACTTGCAGTGAAAGTTTTAAATCTTATAACATCACAGATTATGAACGAATCAATACCAAAGCTTTTTTGTTAGTAATTGTGGAGGTCGGTGAACGTTATGTAAGTACTTGAATATATTAAGCCATCGAAGTGAAAAACTGAATACCACACTAAAGCCTACATTGGTCTGAGAAATTGGAATTTAAGCGCTTAGCCGGCGTGCGTAACGTTGGGTTCGTAAACAGCATACATTAAAAATATCAATTGGATCGCTAAAGATGGGTGACCGAACCGTCTTTCATTTTGTTCACTGAAAAACTTGACCTTCTCCGACACGCTCAGTGTTGTGTCAGGTGCGTTCTCACACGAGCTAAGTACTTACAATAATCACATATGTACGTACTGTGTAATTTTCAGAGTGGTACGTATGCTACGTATTACTCGATGCTGCACCATACAGAGAGACATATATCATTTGGTGTTCAGTGTTCACTACACTTTTGCAGGGTGACATAAGGCACACGCAATTCAAGATTTAGGGCCGCTGTGTCATGTAGCGTGTAAAGGTCAATTGCCGTTCCCGAGGAGATAGGTATAGTGGGGCAGGACAGGTGTATCTAGTAGTTCCCGTCTGCCCGCACTGGCTCAAGGCTGTCGCTAATGGCTATCGCGTTCGTAATTCGATCGAAATATATCTGGGTTAGCGCTTTTACTTTGGAATAAAAGGCTACAGTAAAAAAGGTTTTACTTTAGTTATCATTTATCAAAGGATTAGCATTTGAAGCAAAATCATGTAAAAATCGAATCGGTCGATCGGAATATTTACGCCTAAGCTGGGTTGGCTCAATAACTTAGAGAAGGCATTAGCACCTCAAGTTTGTTCAGAATGTGCAAGGTCGAGCTGAGCGCGAATCAAATATTATTCTTTTACTTGTTCAGTATTTACGTAAGCTGTTCAAATCGAATCTGAAGTACTTATTTACGGGTTTAGCCAAAAAATTATAAGGACTACAACATAATTAAGTGTCACACTGAATAAACAATTGGAGATCTTTACGTATTATATTATATGAATGATATGCTTTTTGTTTTTGCGTAGATTAAATTATGCTCATTAACGATCTTTTTTGGTGTACTTATTAATTAATTGATGCGTGGTAAGAGCCGAGATCGACGGCTCACAAAATTATGATTATCGTTATTGCACCTTTGTCTTTTAGAATATATTTTGGAACTTTTAACTATTTAAACACATTATACAGATTACACCATCCCACCTTTTGCGTAAAGTTGAGCTCGGATCCTGGTGAGCTCCCGGGAGTGGCTCCTGCTGCGGCGATGAGCCGCCTTGGCCTTCGGGGAGCGCGCCATGAGAAGGGCCGACACTCGCCTAGTGCGCTTGTCACATGACTTCGCAAGCGGCGCGTGTCGCGGGTGAAGCGCGCCGGAGGACTGAGGCTCTCGCGGCTCGCAAAGGTAGACGGCAGAGGCGCGACCTTAACGCTGATAACGTTGATAACGCTGATGAGTGCACTCTTGTTTACGTTTCTAAGGTGTCGATATTAGTGTAAACATTTTAAGTACATCAAATCATTAGCGGTGAATAGGTGATATTGCTGTCGTTACTGTTTTTCTTTGACAATCGGTTTGAACTGAAAAAGTGAATAGCGTATGCATGTAATACTCGCTCACTTCCTTAATCCTCCGCACGTCATCGTCGCGGCGAAGGTCTTCCTGCAACAGGCTTATCGAAAACTGTAATAGAGTTTAACAAAATTAATTTAAACGAAATTAAAGAATTCAGTCTTATTGCATTATAATGGGTAACATCATTATAAAATATTTAGGCACATTACATTTATAGCTTTTTCTGCTGGGGCTTAAATAAATAAATTTTCAGCATTGGTGATCTCCGAGGTGGCAATCGCACAGCTGTACTTGAGGAATAATAATACAAACTAAAACTATGTAGTTTGAGGCATACAGCCTCAGACAATATTTTTTTGGTATGAAGAAATAGCGTTTTAGGGCCATCGATTTCTTATGATGAAAAGGTGTTAAAGGTGCACTACTTAGCCTCTTTAATTTTTATGATTTCTTTAAATTTTAATATTACTGCAGATATTTCCAGGGCAGTTGCCAATCACTACTGGAACAAACTGGTGTAAAGTCGCATAGTTTGCATGTAACGTAAAGTAATGACAACGGCCTCTTCTCTCTTCATCTATAAACATAGTCATAGGTGGGACAAAATTTCCTTATAACTAAGAGAACGTGGGTGTAACCAAATGGTAGAATATCCGAAATGTAACCAAATCGATCATCCATGCGGGTACCCCTACTGCGAACCATGGGTCCCGGGCACCCCGCTGAGACAAACATCGATGTGATGAGCATTTGGTGTTGTGCTTAGGTCTTGGGTGTTTAAATATGTCTATTTATCTATAATATGTATGTATAATGTATATCCGTTGCCTAGTACCCATACCACAAGCTTCACCAGCTTAGCATGGGACTAGGTCAATTGGTGTGAATTGTCCAATATAAAAAAAAAATTCTCATGGACGGACACACCACATTTCCAAACTCGCCAATTTTATGACTTGTAGAGAAGCAAATTTGGACTCCGATCACTACCTTGTCATGGTCAAGGTGAGGGGTAGGTATGACATCCAATGGTAAAACACACAGAGCCGACACACTGCATAAATTTAATACGGACAAAAAAAACCAACAAAGTAGACACAATACAAGAAGAACAAAACACAAACACAAGCCAAGGCACCCCAAATAGCGCAACCACACAAATAAAGTACAAAAATAAGAAAAAAAAGAAGAAAACCAAAAAAAAACAAAAAAAAGAGAAGAAAACCCCGAAAAAAATGAGAACAGCTGAGCCGCTAACGAAAAAGGGGTGTTGAACAAAGGAACCCCCCCACACCAAACCACCACAACAACGCAGAAAAAATAACCAAAGAAAATAGAGACCCAGATTATTGCAAAAATCTAAAGGAGGGCAAACTCAGCAGGAACAGAAATTACCGGACAAGAACAGGGGACCAAAACCAAAAGTAACAGAAACATAACAAGAGCCTACATGACGAAGTGATAAGGTGAAAAGTAATAGACGACGTGTAACTAGGAAGTCCTAGCCAGTTGCAACCATAGGATAGGTGCCAAAAAACGCTTCTACACCAAGCGCTGATATAGAACCAAGCGACCACACAGGACGCAATATTCGAGAAAACGTACAGACATGTAAATTAATATCTGGGACAAATTCCACAAACGCAGGACGAAGCCAACACCAAAAGCCCAGTAATACACAACAGCAAGTTAAAACGCAATACCACCAGAACACACTAAACCCGAAATGGCTGACCCAAGTAAGCCTGAAAGATAGACTCTGTGGCGAGCGTCCGAACGAACAACAGAACAGACAAACACCGTTTAAACTACACCACAACAAATTTCCAGACATTGCAGTGACATTGTTCCCGGGTGAGTTCACAGTCCTAAAAAAACACAGCGAACACAAGAATTTAGACCCTTGAACGCAGTTTCCAGCGTTGAGAAGATAAAAGAATAATGGACCTAAGTGTGACCCTGAGGCACTCCAGATAGGCAGGAATTCGACCCACCAACACAACTACTGACGCCATTGACAGGTAACTGCACCAAAAAAATATGCCATCAACCAAAGAGGAGAGTGTGTACAACATAACATGCCACCCGAAGCCGGAAACGGTAAACATAACCACAACCCAGCAAGACCCCACAAGGAAACCAAAACACGAAGACAACCCCGGGAAAAAGGAATATATTATTCACAAAATAGAAACGCGAAAGTGGAAGTATAGAACAAAAAACCTACCTCACCACGAACAAGGTAACAAGCCCAAACCGGAACCAGGAAAGGAAAAAAAATGACCACACAAGGACCACAGCACCCAAGGGCAGAAACAAACAGAGACCGATAGAAGAAACAATAACAAAAACATATCAGTAACCAAGAAAAAGCGAAAAGAAACCCCCGACAAGTACACCTAAAGACACCCGCCAGCCAAAGTACGAGAAAGAAGAAAATAATAGCCCCTAGACAAAGAAAAAAGCCACGAATGTGGACGACCCACCACCGCGAGAAGGAAAAAGAATGTGAAAAAACCAACCAAAGCACAAGGAGGCATGCAAATACTCAGAAACAACAAAAAAACAACGGAGGAAGAGGGAACACAAAAGGACCCCAACAGGACATAGCATAGTAAATTCTTTTTGTTAAGGATTATTATTTAGTTATTTAATAAAGTTATAATTTTTTTAAATTTTCTTATTTATAGGATTAAGTGCACTAAGCACTGAAGTATGAAGCGCTGAAAGAGCTGTGTTCGAGCAAACTGGAAGATCTACTCCCTGCAGTCAACATACAACATACCTGCCCAACAGAAATCTCTAAAAGACAAAGAGGGAAATAAGGAAGAATTGGTTTGGCTCAGTGTGCAAAGCTGCGACTGTATCTACATAAAAATTACGCATATTTTATGGAAAAAAGTATACGACGGCAACACTAAGGCATGGCAGAAAGAAACCCCTTTGTCGTGGAAGACGTAACTTTTGAACAATGTGAGGAGTTTGTTTACTTGGGCTCAATGTTTACTAGTGATAATAATCCCAGCCGACAGACACATTATGATAGCAAATCGCTGCTACTTTGGCCTTAGTACATATACTTGCTCTCCTTATTCGCAAGCGGAAGATTCTTCGAAGAATCTTTGGCTCTGTATGCGACAGTTCATAAAATGCAACCGGCTCAATTGGTAGTAAATGTAAATTTACAATTAATTTAACTTGACAATTCATAAGTGTACTTGTTTACCTACATGAATAAAGATATTTTGAGTTTGAGTTTGGTTGGGACACGTGCACCGAATGGTGAACGAGAAAACCCCAAGGTCCTTACTGAACTCGTTTCACGTTTTTTTGGTCACTATGGATGGACTATGGACTATAAATAAATGTAGTTGAAACTAGTTTTACTAACCAGTCAAAATCAAGCATATTAGCGAACTGTTGTTATTTAATTACTTATTTAACTAATAATCTCCCAAGCGTTTTATGATAGATATCCTATACAGTAACCTATTTATGATATTTAATTGAACAATGGGTTCAGTTGATGAGACAGCTTGTGGAAAGTTTTTATGAGATTGTAAAATGCTGATGAGCCAGCGCCAGGAATACATCGTAAATGAAAATCTTTGTTAACAAATCATATGGTCTGCAATAATTACTGCTAACTTTATTAACCTTGATCTTTAACTTTAAAGTGCGTACATTTGGCGTACTATATTTACTTTTAGGACCTGTATTTTTTATTCAGCGTAGCTGGCAGTGATGTCGTTCTACGATATGTTTTTATTATTGTTTAGGATAAACAAATAATTCGTCATTTTTAAATTTCATTGTTTTCTTTCATACAATTTTGTCTAATAAATAATATTGAAATAATGTCTGAATATTAGAAGTTATCAATTCATATTAATAATTTTAGTGAAAATGTAAGAAACTATAATGTAATAAAAATAAATCTTAAACTTGAATACTGTCAAAAGCGCCCTCTTTTTAATAGTATCAAGCTTTTATAATAACGCATGCGTATTAGGTCAGTGATATGCCGCAAGATGGCACTTGCAAATTCATTCATACTAGACATAGGTATTCGGTGAAGAACTAGCTAGCACAAGAAGTGCTAGCACGTTCTTTCGGTAGGATGAAACGAATACCTACAACCGCTACGTAAATATTATCGCTAAGTTCACTTGAGTCGAAATCATAACAAATTAAGATTAATAGGATACGATTGTATACGTTTTAGATGTTCGGAAGTGTCTTGTGAATATTTAAATGAATCTCAATGTATGCCGTGTAGCGACCTATCAAATATATCGATAATAGCAACCCATAAGTTTTGTGATTATTAGAATCAGAAAACATGTGATATTTTAGGTGCATTTAATTTTTAAACATAACCAAGTATCTAATCTCGATGTTTAAAAAGTAGAAGCTAAAATTCTTGATGCCATCATTATAATTTATAGCATACCTATCAACCTAACTTGTTTTTTTTTTTGAAATTAGAATCTGTGAAATTTGTGGTATTTATTACAAATAAATTAAAAGCCTCAGCAGGGTAGTCTGAAACGTTCCTTTTTTGTGTTTAAATTAAAAAATTCAATTTGAGGCAACGATCCCAAAATTATGAATTACATAAATATATTGATGGATTTTATTAAAGTATAGCAAAAAAAACTGAAGAAAGTACTATAATTATTGTAAACGTAGCATGTTTAATCTATTTTATTACCATAGATAAAAACCAATTCTAAAGTTTTGATTTTATTTCAAATATCTACAATTTGACCATTTTTGCTTGTTTTTTTATAAAATTTGGAGGTTTGCTGAACTCCACTATCAGCAATTTATATTCTTTTATTACCATATAAATATATTTTATTGAGAAAATAAGAATATTTTGTTTGGGACAGGAACATAAACGGAAGCATTGGTAACAAAATAAAAAATATAAGTAAAGTTGTGTCTAAAATTCAGGTTGACTAAACGTTAAGTACTCCATGCTGAAATATAAGTTTTCTTTTTTAATTTTTTAAAAGAGTGGCAAAAAAATATAGAAATGCTCAGAAACGCTCAAATAGGCTGGCCTGTCTCAACAAATGTGTTTTTTCTTAGACGACTATTTTTTGTACGGAAATTATTATTTTATGATGTAGTCCTTTTTAGAATACAACGTGAACCGTCTTTAGAATAAAATGCACTTTTAGAACAAATACAATATTAAGGGTTTAGTAAGAAACTTACTGGTGTTTGTTTCAGAGGTTTTTACTCCTTTTTGCGGCACTTCACTTTAACTTTTAACTTATAGGGACGCGTAAGAAATTTCTATTTCTTGTTAGCAAATATTAATTTACATTTATTTGTACCTATAGTTTATTGGTGTACCCCTAGGGTTTTAAGCTACTACCACTATTATCACACCTGACTTATTAATTCAAATTGGGTATATGAAGGTATCTTTATCTTGTAAGCCACTAGTTTAAATAAAACACCAAATAGAGAACGGGAACATATAATATATTTCTATTACATCCACATTTTGCTTATTCTACCAAATAATCGGCTTCGGAACGCAGCTGCATGTACATTATTGGCTATAACGTTTTTTACTTTTGCTCGTCCGTTGTATGACAAATATTTATTAAAATATTGATCCCATTGTTATAACATATATATTATGTGTAGGCATATACCGGGCGAGGTCTCTGATCGATAACAAGGACTTTTAAAATTTATTTACACCATTCAATAATAAATGCATCACAGGCCTGCACGAGGTGTCAGTGCGCAGCTCAGCTACGTCCCTTCGGCCTTCGCAGATCGCTTAGACGAAGTAACAGTTAACAATAATAAACTGTTAGAGGTATATACGTGACAAACATCAACACACCGTCCAAAAAACCAACTAGCAGTCGACATTGTAAAGACTCGGAAAGTTCATAGCCAAGTTATATTAAATATCACAATAATTTAAGTTTTGTATGATCACACAGAAGCCAGTTACTGAATTTTTTTAACTTTTACCTTTCGACACAAACGAAAGTGTTACGTCGAGTTTTAAATAAATTTTTGGGGCTGCGTTTACGTTAAATTATGAAATTTAAAGCCTGTAAACGTAGCGATTGTGTCGATGTAAAGCATGTCATAAACAACTGTGCAGGGGAACATCGAGTCGACTACGAGGACGAGTTAAAGCTTGATATTCGCCAATCCACGCGAAGTGGAGGACAAAAATAAATTCTAAATTAATTTACGATTTCTTAAAGAAATGTTCGACCAGTGCCCTATATAAAAATACTTATACCAACGTTAAGTTTGTGACATAAATTAGGGCCAATAGCGAAAAGCTTCCCTGGATATTGTTCAAATTCTGAAAATTAATGATTTAATATACAACCTTGTTTTTATAGGTGAAACTTAATTTTCACGAGGTAGATGAAAATATTTCCCGTAGGCGCAAAACACTGAAGATGCCTTTGGTTCAAAGAATACATATATACAACATATAAAATATGATACATTTAAAATGGTTAATATTATAACAAGATCATTATTTTATTTTTCATTAATCTAATATCAACAAAATACTGGTTATACGAAGACATCAAAAAGTATTTAAAGCCAATACATTTCACTAGTCGATGTCATACTCTAAACAAGTTATTTACCGTTCATTGACTACATGGTTATCTCTAACACGGCCTCTTAATTCTCACGACATTTCGCTGGTATGTGATCCATTTCCGTGTTTTTGCGGAATATTTGGAAAAGTCTGACATCGAGTAGTATTCAATTAAAACTAATGCAGACATGGACTAACGGCTAATGTGTTGCAATTACACATGTATTAATATGATAAATTACACGACGAAAATACAGAACAACAACGTTCTGCAACCCTTAATTTGCGCTATACTACGAACTTACATGTCCTGTCATGTACGAGTCGGTCTCCGAAGTAGTGTAACGTGTAGGTTTCATCTACTACTATTTAGATAATTTATTTAGCAATTAATAAATACAAACTATGCTTTTGTACTAAGTTAAGATAGTCATTTCGGTAATTTGGCCAGATAGCCAATATTATTAAGATAAAGTAATCTATACCAAACTTAAATACCTTTAGCAAAATAACTCTCAAAAATGTTGGTCGATCCATTTGTAATTCTACTGTTCAAATGTCCACATCTGTGTCACGGCACCAATGCCTAAGTGGCTGAGTGCCGCGAAGCAGACGCCCCGACTGCGGCAAATACCATTAACTACAGTACATCGAATAAAAATGTCATAAAATATTGAATATGCCCATACACTCGAGTGCAACAGTTAAAATTAGTGTAAAATGATATAGTGTGGGAGTGCGTCAGCTCAGCAACGCTCTCTGGGCTGACTCGTGTCGTAGGCGCGGATCACGTCGGCCTGGGACACGCTCGCGCCCTCTTCTTGGGAAAATGCGAAACCATCTGTCACACATAAAACTCTGTTAAAACGTCTCGTCTAGGCTTAGCGTGTGGCGGTTCTAGGCGCAATGCATGGCGGGCTAACGAGTTTATGAGGAAATGAACGGTGTCGAACGTGTGATGAACGATCTGAAGCTAGTCAAGTCTCAGTGAAAAGTGATGGAATGAAACAATGTTAGTAAAGTAATATATTCCTCTCAAAGTTGGGATCTATATCTCGACGTCGGAGGAGGGTTGCGAAACAAAGGCGTTGCACAATACTAGTGCAGCGAGTGGGGAGCCGTGCGTGTCGGTGTGTGTGCGTACTCACGGGAAAGCTCGAGGTCCATCTGTGCGCGGGTGTTAGCTCGGCGGCCGAAGACGCTGCGGACGTTCTGCAGAAGCCGCGCCGTCTCCGTCAAGCTACACACGTCACTCACGTCACAGAAGCGCCTCCGCGAAAACCGAGTGCATCGCGGCAAACGCTTATTTTACTTTCAATCATAACGCAGTTTTATTTTCGTAGTCGCGATGCACTCGACCGCGGCGGCACCTGCTCGTGTCTCTTATGCCGTGGCCTCTAATTTGAATCATTTAACTAACAAAGAAGCGTATGTGAATGGCGGAAGCGTCATGCGAAGCCATGCAGCGGTTTAGTCCCCTTTCGATACTTACACTGCGCCAGTCGGACGAGGGCGTGGCTTGCGTCCGCGCGGCTAAAATACACCCAGTTAGTGCCTTATTACCTCTGAAAAGACCCTTAGGCGCTTGTACATGAACATGTCGCAGCTTCGAACGAAGTCACTCAAAGCTCAAAAGAAATTGTTATTGTACCTGAGATTGTTACTGCTCAGCTATGCAAACGTATGTATACGTACCGACGTACGCGTGACGTACGTACCAAAGTGTGCGTTTTAAGATCTTAAGCAAGCGTCTAAAGGTCCACCGTATAACATTTATACAACAATATTATAAATAGACGGCCAATAATAGAAAGTTACTTTGTTCCACGTTTTTGGCGTACACTACAAAAACTAACAATTTGTAATTCAACAATTTATTATAAATATAAATCCATACAACACATTCTTAGCGATAGCTATTACTTCTCTCGTTTGATCGAGAAGACTGCTGAATTTGTTACCAAAACAAGTCGACTTAAGTGCATCAGTCGCCTTCTCCATCGGATGAGATGAACCATTACACTACGCTTAGGTAAGTAAAACATAAAATAAAATCGAAGTTTTTGTGACTTTTACAAATGAAATGATTCCATCGGGAGGTATTTAAGGATGCAAACGATAAATATAAGCGACGGAAGCATCGGGGAACATTCGCTAAGGTCACCTGCGCCTTATCAAATTTATGCTTTCGTGATATTTACGCATTTTCTTAACATTTTATTGCTGCATAAGACGGGATGGAAGAATCATTGTTGCGGGAAGAGCGGTAATGGCCGATTCCGAATTTGTACCGCGAGTTAATTATTACACAAAAGATATTTTGCTCCAAACATATTAACCCTAAACATTCGTCTTCCGCTAAGACAATTCGTAGTTTTGATGTAACTAGCCATTGTAGCGAAAATATTTTAAATGCACTACATTAACACGCACTCGAAGCTTTTACTTAGCTTGTATTTCTAAATGTAAAATAATTTAACATTTTAATAAATATCTTTATTGGTAAAAAAGTCCCTCAGTCTAATTTTCTCAATTGCACTAATCGTATACATGGAATCGTCTCTGGGTCGGTAGCGAGCTACACTGGCATACGGAAAAGACAGCAGTCAAGATATAGTTTACCACTTCATCACAGAGACCCCGGCGACCGCGTACTTGAGGCGCTTCCAACTCGCGGTGAACACTCTATTGACATTGAGATATCGTGAAACCGAGTCGACAGAATACGCTTAACATAATGCTTCTAAATACTTCTACTAGGTACTGTTATTGTTTCTTCTTTCGAGATTCGCTAAAAACGTTTCTAATACCCTAATTATCGCGACAACAGTCTTTACAGCGGAATGATTTCAGTCTGAAGCGTATTTACAATTCGTTTTGTGTACGACAATTTGTGTGTTTCTGGCGACAGTCGACATTATAATACATTAATGCAGTGATAATGGTAGATCCAATATGAAGGTCGAGGAGGCCGCACGTGATACACTCGAATGGAGACCTTTGGAGAGGTTTTAATAGAAAATTGTGTAACGTCGGTCGAGTCACGTGCGCTCTCTTCGACCGACGACTGTAGACTGTCATACGACGTGCGAGACGCGTGGGCGCGGCGGCCTGGGGCGGCGGGGGGAGGGGCGTCCGCCATTTTGTAGGCCGTCAGTGACGCCGTTCCGGGCCTCGCGGTGCGGACTCGGCCACTCTTCGGGAGCGATGCGCCGTCGCCAGACGAGGCCCCGCGGCGACCCACTGCGCGACAATTAACGTTCAACTCTACCCTACGTGCTCGCTAAGGGACGTGCGTGGGGCGCGCCCGTGCTGAGATAACGCCGTCGCACACTCCGGGAGTCGCGTCAAATTCAAATGATAATCTATAAGAGAACGCGGAGACGTCGAAAGGAAAAAGTCAAAGAGCCGCATCGCAAGCCTCAGGGTTATTCTAACATCGACAAACCATGCGTTATGTTTACGTTATGCGAGTTATCTCAGGACGGACCGCAAGCGGTGCGGCGCAGTGCCAAGCGAATAAAACTAAGACCATCTTCACATTGCTTATGGGTTCCAAAGATTTGAACGAACCGTGTCCACGTAATAACTGAGCTGAACCGGAACATTGTGAGTCGTCAAGGGACGCCTCGCAGACGTGAAACATTCAATTTATTTTGTACAAGCGATAAGCATAAAAGAAAAGATTACAGGAACTAACATCACATAATAAAAAATATTATTATCCAGAAAATGATGACGAAATAAACAATTATTTTTATTAAATACAAAAACTGTTTCAAATGCGACAACTCCCAAACGCGTCGTCACGGCGACGATCGGTTAACTCGCGGCTAGAGTCGAAAATGAAAGAAAAGAACCCATAAACAACGCCACGTGGTGCGGGAGTGAGAACGTAAGACAGCCAGGTGTATGAAAGTATTTTTCTTGGCATAAATTTACTAGATGCAACGAAATAACAAATATTAACAAGAGTCAAATAAATTATAAATTAACAGATGAACATACGAACATAATATTGAAGATTGTATTTTGTGAAGAAATGAATGAATTAATTATCAACGTAACAGCGACTCGAATCTGCGTAAATTTAAGTTACGTTCACGAATGTATAACGAGTACACGATGTGAAATGTGAAAACAGGAAATGCGTCAACTCACGAGTGCCGCGGGTGTGCGAGGAGTGCGGCCGGATCACGCTTCTTTATCTCGCTCTCTCTCACGGCCTCCGTCGTGGTCTTGAAGGCCGAGTTGTGGATGCTGCGAACACGAATAGACACCGCGTTACGAATTATGAATCGTCTCCACTGAGCAAAGAAGAGCACGACCGCCTGCTCTTAGAATGCCGTAGATTACGTATTACGAGATGTACACACTTCGGTCTCCTTTGCAATGTTGAAACGGACGCCCGTTCTCTTCGGCCTCTTCTCTTTCGCCTCCTTCAATCTCCCACATCGGAACCGACCTCTGCCATAACTGCCCGCTATTCTATCTATTCAGAGAAATATTATTGGAGAGACGGGTAGGAAAGGAGAGGGGAGGAGGAGGAACCATAGAGAGAGAGAGAGAGAGACACTCACACGGTGATGATCAGGTCCGGGATGAGCGTGGCGGCGGGGATGAGCAGTAGGGCGAACCAGAAGACCAGCGAGCTGAACACCATGCGGTCCATGCCGCGCATCACCGCGCCTATCAGGATCGCCGGGTACAGGTTGCTGCGGCAGATCGGGCGATCGTTCTTTATCTGACTTCACTTTTAATCAATGCGACGCATAGTTCTCGAAAAGGCGAAAACGTACCTGTAGATCAGTATGAAGACGAACCAGAGCGCCAGGGAGCCCCAGATGGACACGTGCGTCACCCAGGTCCACGAGTGCGTCGCCAGCCCCGCCTTCAGGCAGACCGTCGCCACCACGTACTGAAACGGAACGAGCCGGTCACGCGTCTACTCTCGCGGCCGAGCCTCGAGGCGGCGAAGGGAGCTCACCGTGTACACCAGGTTGCCCAGCACCAGGTAGCCTCCGTCCCGTCCGCTGGGCCACAGCACGTGGTGCGACGCCAGCAGCACGGGCAGCCAGAACAGCAGCACCGAGTGCAGCAGCGCGTTCACCGCCCACACCCAGAACACGCGGACGTTGAACAGCAGCCCTTGCTGGGAAGGCACGTACAGCACCGGATGCTGCCGCGGACATCCGTCGTTCGTCAGTTACACACGGACACGCAGATATCATTATGTCAGTCGCAAGCTAGAGAGCCACTCACCCGCATCATGATCTCCGGCGAGCAGATCTTGTCGAAGAGACCGATGGCGAAGGGCGGTAGAGCCGTGAAGATCACGTTGTAGAAGCCTATCGTCCAACGCTCGAACAGGATCTGACCGGACCTGGAGGCGTTCGGGTAAAAGAATCATCACATTTCAGAGCCACGAGACGTTCGAGTGGAATTAACCGTATCCGGCACTGACCATGCAGAGTAAATCGCGAACCACAGCTCGATGACGTAGAGGCAGATGTTCTTGTAAAAGGAGTAGAGAATGAGTTTGCTGATGCGGGAGTAATTCCACGCGCCGTGCACCAGCAGAAGCCGCAACAGGAAACGGAACTGAAACGGTGGAGTGAAAAGAGTGAGTCTCATCGTAATTGAATAGAAGTTTCTCGAAGGACGCGGAGCGAGACCTGGGCGATGCTGTAGTCCGAGGCGCAGACGGCCTGAAGCCCTTCCACGCCCGAAATGCCGATGCCCACCGACGCCCGCTGGATCATGGCCACGTCGTTGGCTCCGTCGCCTATGGCCAAGGTCACCGCGCCCGTCGCCCGAGACACCATGTCCACTACCTGATGGAAGCGCCGATTTAAGTATTTTTGTAAGGAGCGATCGACGATCGAGAGTTCCAAGTCAGATCAGATCAGATCGACAACCTCGGCCTTCTGGATGGGAGAGACGCGGCAGCAGACGACCACCTTGCAGGACACGCACAGGTCGATGAAGTCCTTCTTGAGGTCGCAGCCCATGGCGTACTTCAGGGTCTTGCCGTCGATGACCAGCGCCACCTCGTTCTGCTTCCGAAGGCCGTCGCCCAACTCGGCGCACTGACGGGACAGGCACTCGCGCGTTCCCTGGATTTCATTCCTCGTTAAGTACCTTCGAGACCCGCGGTCTCCCGATGTACGGAACCGGAAGTGGAATCGTAATAGACAAATAGATAACGAAGGCATAGCGTACGTCCAGGCTGTCTTCGTTCAGCAGCAGCAGCGGCATCGCGGGATGAATGAGCCTCGCGGAGTGGGCGATGTTGATGGCGGTCTCCTGTTTGTCTCCCGTCAGCACCCACACGTTGATGTTGGCCTTCAGGAGAGACGCTATCGTCTCCGGCACGCCTTCCTGTCACCACAAGCAGAATCGGTTAACGGACACCCACGCGAAGACCCGAGACGTCCTCGAACCTCAGAGGTCTACCTGCAGTTTATCCTCGATCGCGGTTGCTCCCAGCAGTCTCAAGTTGTTCTCGATCAACAGAGCGGCCTCTTCGATCTTCCGCTCTCTGTCCCGTATCGCGATGCTGGCTTTGTGGTAGGTGTTCGACCAATCCTGGAACATCAGACGCGAACGGTCAGCTCGAAGAGAGAAACGCGGTCGGTCAGAAGCGGACGAGCGACGCGTGCCTTGTAAACGTGCTCCGGGATGTCGGCGACGGCGAAGACCAGGGTGCGAAGGCCCTCGGCGGCGAAGAGCGAGAGATGCTCCAGGGTGGCGGCGGCGTAGGGCGCCGCGTCGGGCCCGCCCGCCAGGCGAGGGTAGATCACCGAGTCGGCGCCTTTGCAGAACAGCTTGATGTCACCTGAAAGCGGAGACGAGCTCGTCGTACAGGCGACGTTCTATCGGTCCGTCACCCCGGCGACGTCCGGAGTGCACTCACCGTTGGGCGCTCGCACGACGACGGACATCCGCTTCCGCGTGGACGTGAAGGCGATGACGTGCAGGACGGCGTACGTGAGCCTCTGGCCTCGGGCCATCACCGTGACCGCGGTCGGAGTACGCGTCTCGAACACCCAGCCGTACGAGGCCGCCCCCAGCACCAGGGCTCGCTCGTCTGGACAAGCGACGGATGGAAATCGTCATTGAGAGAGAACTCGACGAGTGAATTTAATGATAAGAGAGATCTACGGACCGGGTGAAGCGGCGTGGTAGTTGATTTTGCCGTTCTGGTGCTCGGGAATGACGGTGTGACAGACGGCCAACATGGTGAGGAACTCGGCGATATCTGGAGCCGAAGGATGTTCCCGGAGATTGTGGTACAGCAGCGTGTCTTCCAGCCGATCGTCGGGACCCGGTTTGGTGTACGCGATCTGAGTGTGCGAGAGACGCGAGTTAAAAGCGCGGTTCGCCATCGGCGACGGCGAGGGCGGGCCGAATAGGAGATAGATACCTCCGCGATGGAGCACTTGTGGAAGTCCATGACGTTGCAGGTGAGCGTGCCCGTCTTGTCGCTGAAGACGTAGCGCACCATGCCCAGCTCCTCGTTGAGGTTGGAGGTGCGGGCCATGGCCGGAGTGTCGGACTCCGCGTGGTACATCTCGCCGTCCATGGCTATGAACTTCGCCTGCGAACGGGTTCACGCGTGAGTGGAAGGGAGTGGAACGGAGTTAACGGAGGTCGATCCTCACCGAGACGTGCGAAATGAACTCACTTGAAAGAATCTCACAATTTCCGCGGTGACTTGTAGAGATATTGGTATAAGATTATTGTATAATATCAAAAACGTTAAAAAATTAAATCCGAAATTTGCATTCTGGGCCCCTGAAACAGAAGATACGAATCAGTCGTATGGAAAAGAGAATTATTATTTTTTATTAGGTATACAGGTTTCCAACTAAAGTTCACCTTCTAAAGCGATGTACCAGTCGGTATTGGCGCGGCGCAGAAGCCAGAGCTCGTTGAACGCGGCGCTGATGAGGGACAGCACTATCAAAATGATGAACAGCATCAGAATGTGCGTGTTCGTTTGGCGATCTATCGACGAACGCTTCAATGGGGCTGGAATTTATTGAGTTTCCGTTAGTTATTGTTTCTGCAAACGCACTATGTATCTATGAAATGTGAAGAATTTCCTAGATTTTACCTGCATCGCCACCAAAACCATTCCCAAATTTTTCTATTATTTATTCATTCATTTTAAAAAGGCACACTAACGAAACGTTATCGGGGAACACACAAACAACGAAAAGGATTTATAAAAAAAGCTTCGTACATTCTGCTAAATGACTGAACCAATTTGAACAAGAAGAGGCGGCGCACCATTCAATGATAATAATAAAAAATCGCTATTCATTCCTCATATTCGGAATGAGTTTAAGGTATTAAATATAGGGTGTCTCATTCCAGAATTTAACTTTAGTAAAATAATAAAAAATCAACCGTTGCATATATATTGTTTTAATTAATACAAAATCCAAGCTCACTAATGCGGATATTATTTACGAAAAATAACGTCGTCGAGATGACTTCCACCACGGCGTATGCACTCCTGCCAACGTAGACGCATATTTGCTATAACGCGTTGCAGCATTTCTGTTGTAATCGAAGTCACTTCTTCCTCGATTTTTGTCTTCAACTGCAAAATATTCGGCGGCGTCTCGACAAAAACTCGACTTTTTAAATAGCCCCAGAGAAAGAAATCAGCTGGTGTTAAATCTGGGGACCTAGGTGGCCAGGCTATGTCCCCAAACCTGCTTATGACTTTACCAGGAAATAAAGCCCTGACCCTGCTCATCGACACCCTAGCAGTATGAGCGGTAGCCCCATCTTGTTGAAACCACGTTTCCTCATCAGGCCCGTTATTTTCTTTGAGCTCCGGCACAACAAAATTGTTTAACATCGCTACGTAACGATCGCTAGTAACAGTTACTGCGGTGCCGCGATTATCTTTAAAAAAATAGGGTCCGATTATTCATGTCGCAGACATCGCGCACCAAACGGTTACCAAAGCCGGGCCACATTTGTAGCATTTCGGTGTATCGTATCTCCGTTGCGTGGCTTCGGCGCGACAGATCGTAGTTTGGACGCAAAATGATACCCGTTATGATACATGCCGTATCGGATACGGCCCGACCGCACAAGGCGTATCTTGATACACCTCGATCCGATACGCGATAACGATCGGTGGTATGGACGATTTTGATACTGTATCACGATACGATACTTGATACACCGCGAACCATCCTGTGTCGGTTTTTCGCGACACAAAGGGAATACACAACACAATGGGGACAGCGAGTGAAATTTTTGTATTTTCCGCTGGTATGCTGAAATTTAAACTCGCATCAATGGTATTTCACCATGTTTGTTTCGGTTTCTAAACACTTCCAGCGCCGTCTACGTCTAGATTTAACTTTTTTAAATACATTAATGATAATATAACAGGCGCAGTCACCGCCAAACTGGAACAATTGCTGACATGGTAAACCGTTTGGGAACGAAGATATGACGAACATTGCGAGAAGGGAAAGGTGCACTGAAAGACACCGCACATGATACACGGAAGAAAAGTGAAGCGTCTATATTTGTAAAGTTAAAGCCGAACACTGACAGAACAGCATTTGATAAGTATGGACGCGTTTTTTACAAGATACGCCAATAGACAGGACATGCGCCAATTTATATACAGACAAAACTGAGAACAACAGACAAATGTGGACCCGGCTTTAGGACTGTGTAATTGCTTCTGATGCTTTTGCTGTGGGTTGCTCGGCGACCAGTAGCGACAATTCTGTCGATTGACGTAGCCTTCGAGGTGAAAATGGGCTTCATCACTGAAGAAAACCTTATCCAGGTCATTTTCCGGTCCAAAATTCTCTAACACAAAATTACTGTGAACAAATGTTCACAGTAAGTTTTTCGCTTTGTGAGGTCTTCAGGTTTGATTTTTTGGACTATTTGAATTTTGTATGGATGGAATTTAAGGTCTAATCGCAAAATTCGGTGAATGCTGGAGCGATGAATATTCAACGATGCCGCAAGATTTCTGACGGAGCGCCGCGGGTCATTCCTTACAACAGCGGCGGTGCGGTCAATGTTTTCAGCTGATCTTACGGGTTTATTCTGTCGACGATTTGCTTTGTTGATTGTTGAACCAGTTAGCCTGAACTTCTCTGTCCACAACTTGATTAGTTGAATACTTGGTGCGTCGCTTAATCGACGAATTTGGAACCGCTGACAAAACGCGCGCCTCGCTTGAGTAAACGAATTGGCGCCTTTAAAATACGCTTCTACCGCGAACGCGCGGTGTGCTCCTGACCACTGCGGCATGGCGACTAACCAATCCGCGTTCCCCCGCTATTGAATGACGCCCCCCTCCCTGCCCTCGCTTGTTTAGAAATTTAAATATTTTACTTTAAAATATGAAGTTTTACGTGAGACACCCTATATTATGACACTTGTTACATATCCATTGCCCTCCCTTTGCCTCGCATAACCAATACCTGTACTCCTCTGACGCAACACCGTTATAATGGATAATATAAGGAAATGGACAACAGATAGCTTTGATCGGATACCTCACATCGGACCCGTCAAATTCTCAATTAGTAATAAGTCCATAATATACATTATTTGTCATAAGGGCCTCATAAGAGCCGATTATATAGTCATATTTAGTTTCTCAATAATTATTGTACTAGTAATTAATTAAAGTAATTTAAATACATTTTGTTTTTTTGGGATTCACCGCTGGCCCTCACTAAATTCAATATCTGGATATATTCTTGAAGCCTCGTTGTATACCAAAAGAGGGTGCGTGTATTTATGTACGCGCGTAAGATGTCATACTTCTTTGGCATTATCTTCTTAATATATATAAATTACGTGTCACGTTGTTTGTCCGCTATGGACTCCTTAACTACCGAACCGATATCAATCAAATTTGCACACCGTGTGCAGTTTGATCTAACTTAAAAGATAGGATAGCTCACATCTCAATTTATGCCCGCAATATTATTTTATTGCAAAATATTTGTTTATTATTTAATAGTCATAATTCTAACAGATGGCGTTGTGTTGAAAGTACCAACGTTTCAAATAAGCTACAATTTAATGGCATTACCACCAAAAAGGCATGGTGGTCCCCATGACTGGTGTTCTCCTACCGTTTCCCTTGAATAGGTTACTACTATGTAATATAAATAAAACCTTAGCCACAGCAACGCTTGGCCGGTCTGCTAGTTAAAAATAGTTTTTGATGCATGCAAATAATTAATTACAATTAAATAATCAAAGACTGGAAAAGGAGTCATTATAGTCGATAAAGTTCAGTTTACATTTGAATAATTAAATAAATAAATATTTATTATTATTCTCTTACATTAAGTGTAAAATAAATTCTATTATTATTCGAATATTGTTTTTAAATTATGTCCAATGCCGTAGCATCTTCCGCGGGCAACTTCATTCTGTTAATTTTGTGTCACGGTGCGCGCGCATCGTAAAATTTCACTCTCATAAATTTTTCATAACGCGCCTAAAGAAGTATAACTTCAAAAAATATAAACGATTTCAAAACAAATGGTAATTTTAACCAGTATAATACTACAAACAGAACAAATCTAAGCGTACGATCAACCAGGCTCCAGAAGATAACCACTCCTATGGAAATTGTATTCGTTTTTACAACAACCTCACAAGCGAAATTAGAGAATTATCACTGAATCAATTCAAAACTCTCGTTAAACGGAAATTAATCAATAAAGCTTTTCTTTTTTATAAATTTGAGGATTATTTCAATGACCCTATCCTTGGGGTTGATTTACTCCAGTTCAAATATTTAAGGCTGCTCTGCCTTACAAACAATTTGTATGACTCAAAACTTAGCGATTAAAAAGAGTGGCGGAGAGTTTCTTGACAGTTTTTCTTGCCCGCTCTACGCCCTTGACTTGCGAACTGGTAGTTAATGTAAATTTAGAATCAATTTAACATCTTTTCTGTTGACGTCATAAGTGTACTTGGTTACCTATTTGAATAAAGTAAATGAGCTCACCTTTAGTGGAGTTTTTCATAAGCTTGGTCTCGTGCCCGGTGTACACCACGGCTGCCAAGGCCCACGCCGTGTTCCGAAGCATCGCCCCTCTTTGCAGCATCTGCTCCAGTCCCATCGGAACGGTTCTGCGATTTATCGCGATTATCGTTTAGTTAAGAGCAAATTTCCTTCGAAATTGGCTCGGCTATAAAAGTACTCACTTGGCGTTAGTCTCCTTCAGCATGCCGTTAAACTCGTAGAGATGCCTGTTGGGCGGTTCACACTGAAGCGTGGCTCGGAAGGTAGCCAGTTCGGAGTCGTGCTGCAACCGCGCGGTCTCCGGTTGAGCTTGACGCGTCTTCAGGTTCGTCTCTCCGTCCAAATTGGACGTTTCGATAAATGCAATGCTCTGTGGCTCACTGCAAGCGTTATCAGACCTTACTATTATATGAATGGTATTCGTGGCACATAATATAGAAATAGAAATAGAAAAACTGTAACACGGAACCCTCAAATCTGGAGAAAAGCGAAAATAGAACCAAGTGGAGGTCAATGTTTCAGATGTAATGGAATGGTTTGTCTAAACTTATAAATCTGGGAATCGACCGAGTCATACAATGGAGGACAATTGTGTGATGCTCGTAAAACCTGCTTAAATTTATTACCACTGCGATGCTTACAGATAAATCTAATTTTATCCATTCATCATATAGTCGTGAAACAGTCTAAAGAGTCAAGGTTTTACACTACTACTTGGTATCTTTACACGCTCAACGAAAATATTTACTTTTTGCAACGACAACATCGACATTCACATTATTCATCCGTGGACAAATATCAGTACAATTTATGTTATTCGATACGAAATCGAGGTGTAAAATCAGCGCCCGGCGGCGACACGAATGAATATAACGCATGACGCTATCACGTGTTAAACCTTGTATTAAACCTAAAATAATAACGATTCAGGTCGCCGTTTCATGTTAATGAGATTATAAAAGCTTATTTCAAAATTCGAAGTTTCTTTGAACACCATTTTTCATATACTTGGACTGAAGACGACCTTAGACGATGATGAGTAAAATGTTATTTATTCTGGTATCCTATATACCCGTTAGGTACCCACAGAAGATTGAAAACTGCACTTATGATGTAACAAACACCGATTCGTCCATTTCAGTACAGACACTTTTTGAAAGGAGAAGAATGAGTTCTTATTTATTTTTTACTCACTGACGGTTTCAATGATGTATTTAATAAAATGATGTAACGAGGTTACGTGACAAATACGATATACATAAGAAAACGTAATAAATGGTTCTGACTATTTTAAGTATTTAAATATATAAATTTAAAAAATTTAAGTCTGTTCGTTGTAATAAGATCGATTAGATTTTTATATTTATCAATAGGGTATTGATAAACCCTATGACGTCTTTTAGGCTTCAGACATTATCAAAAAGCAGTTGGATGTTATAAAATAAACAAGTACCAAAGGGTAATTCGAGCAAAATTATTAATGTCTAACACCCCAACTTACCACGGAAGTAGAGCGGCAAAAAAATATCAATATTGTATTGTGTTGAAATGCCGAGCGCTCAGCCTTGATATTCACTGACATTTCTGATAAAAATCCAGGTCTCCATACTGCAGCGTGCCCGAACCGAGTTGAAAAACTCTCGGACGCAATTGTGTACTCTATATTCCGTTTACACGTTTTCGCTCCATTCAAACAATTACCTTCGTGAGTTAAAAATAACGCAACTAAGATCGATATCTGAACTTTTAGTGAACCTTTAAATATTGACGTAAGAAAAAAGTTTATGTCGCCCAGTTAATGGGTTGTTAAACAGAAAATAGCGCGAGTCATTTACGTTCTAGCTCGGGTGACCATGTCTTATTTCTGGGTTCAAAACACATGTATGAAAGCAGGTTTTACTAACAATTTAGTATGAAATATCTTAGAACTAAATATTCAAGATCATGTCGATAAAACGATTTACTCAAGAGGATAATAATACAGAGGGTAGAAACTGACCTGGATGCAAGCAGCACGAGGTCAGCGGGGAAGAACTGGTTGTTGTAGACCTTGCAGACGTCGCCCACCTGTGATACAGATGATAGTAAGATACCTTTTTTGAATGGCCAATCAATTGGATAATTGAAGTATGAATGTATCTGTTTACTTGTAGTTTCTCCCACCGGAGAAGTTGCCACGCCCCTTCGCGTAGCACTTCCACTTTGCGACGGTTGGTTTCTTCGTCCGCGCGGTGACGTTTCTGCACATTATACAACCGTAGTTAGGGCCATTTTTATTTCAAATTACACAAACAAAATACATACGTTAGATACATTTCTTGGACAACTTCAGTTCTGTTTAGGGAATCGGGATCATCCGGCTTTTGATCATACCATTAGCAAAGATATGTCTTTCGGGTGTAAGCACTTACGTAGTCCTCCACGATCTCCTTGAGCGCGCTTACGGTGAGGATGAGAACGAGTGGCGTCAGCGTGGTCCATCTCCCCGTCGGAGACACGTCAGGGATCTGCTGCAGCAGCGCGATCAGTAGAAAAAAGCAGTTGGAATAGCGTCGAAACTGCTCGAACAGGAATAGCGGCACGAACGACGGTACACTACACATATTGTATAATTCTTTAAAACACATATTTAGTCTGGTTTATTGTCTATAACAATATGATACATTAGTGAATAATAAGCATTGACATTTTCCTCAGCTTCTCATTATCTAGTATAAAAAAACACTCACAAGGAACATAAAAAACTAAAACCTAAATCAAATCACAATGCATTTCATGGTTTAATGAAAATCAGTCAGGCATCAGTTAACAATAATTTTATTTTATAATCTGGAAATAACGTTCGATTTATTAAAATCAAGTGCGCGTCCTTCGAATATATTAAACCAAGGGCAAGGCGAGTGAGTTAGTACGTATCAAGAACAAGCTACATAACAACGTCGTAAGCACCCCCTTGATAAAGTAAATTACAATCCTGATACAGAATGCTATCAGTTATAATCAATATTTTAGTAAAGACTGCTATTTGCTTTGAATGAAAGTATTAATGACAATACGTTTTAAAAGCCTTTTACTACAAACTAATAACTAGATAATTTTATGTGTAAAAGGTCAATTATTTTGGGTTTAACATTCACGCTTCGTTTTTACTCTAAACATCTAAAACCACCGAATAAGGTTTATAAATAATTCTCTACAGAACTGCAATTATGTGACTTGCTCTCGGCAGCATAGATTAGAATTTTAATTTCCGAAACAAAAAAAATTCATTAGAGAACATCTACAATATTTGTTGCGATCGCTTAGTTACCGAATAGGTATGCGTCAGACACCCCTTAAATACCCTTGTATGTGCCTCATTTTCCAAGTCCTCATTAACCCATTAAAAGTGGGACATAAACCAAGGGAGTGATGCGATAGGCGTTGTGACACGGCGGGCGGCGGGCATCGCGCCAAATGTTCATTGCGCGTTTCGCGTAAACAATGCCCCGCTCGGACACTACGCGTATTAAATTTGTTTTTGACAACGGGGCCACAATATATGAAGGATAATGCGCTTGCTTTAATGCTGAAATAGCTTAAAACCTATTTGTTTCGCGATACGTTAGAGGGGACAGAAATTACATTACTTATGATTTTATACCTATACTTGGCGGTGGATATCCTATTGTTAACGAATTTCTGCGGTTGCGGCTGGTTGATGAAGATGACCCGGTTTTGTTCATCGATCGCGCCATCCGTAATACCAGACGTTGTCGCTTCATCTTCATCTAAAAAAAAAATCCATGGTTATTTGGAAAGTGTTCCCTGTGTGAGTTCCACTATCTACACACCAATCGCTGTATTAAAACTTTTACTACTGCTTTATAATATTGTGATGAAATGCATTAGATAATTTCATGGCCATGGCCGTGGATGTTCTAATGTAATTACAGTTAAACTCTACTGCAACCTTCAGTCCTGCTTTATGGGCAGCTTGCCTATAAGGTATGCAATTATTATGCATTCAGCACATATTGCTGGAAAGAAGATAAACCACTCCTTACATGGAAATTGTATTCGTTTTTACAGCAAACTCCCAAGCGAAATTAGAGAATTATCATTATATAAATTCAAAGCCCTCGTTAAACGTAAATTGATCAATAAAGCTTTTTATAAATTTTACGAATACTTAAATGATCCTAATCCTTGGTATTGATTTGCTCCAGTTAAAACAATTTGTATGACTCAAAACTTAGCGATTAAAAAGAGTGGCGGAAAGTTTCTTGCCAGTTTTTCTTGCCCGCTCTACGCCCTTGACTTGCGAACTGGTAGTTAATGTAAATTTACAATTACTTTAACTTTTTTTTTTCACGTTCATATTAAGTGTACTTGTTTACCTATATGAATAAAGATATTTTGAGTTTGAGTTTATTAAAGGAAATCTCTACACCATTTTCAAACACAAAATCAGTCTTATTAAACTAAAAAAAAAATATTTCTTATTTTACAGTAACTCCTCTTACCTTTAAGAACCCTATTAAACAGTATTCAAGAAAGTGTCAAAATTAAAAGTTATGTTTATGATTAGTTATGCTTTGATTTTCATTCCGTAGAATTCTGACATTTCATGTTGCTACTAAAAAAGTTCTCCACTGAAAAAGGGACAAATTTGACCCATTTTAATAAAATACTATAATAAAAAATAAAATGCTACATATTTTTTATCTTTTACCTACAAAAAACGTAAATCTAATTAATGTATGTATATATAAAATACTAAAATAATTAACTTACACAAGTGACCTAATACCAAAATAAAAAATATTTCAATATCACGAACAATATATCGAATTTACATTAATTACTTTATTTTATTCTTTAGCTGGCATCACTGCCTACTAATTCCAGGTTTAGTAAACCTTTTAAAAAAAAATATGTTATCTTTACAACTAGGCATTTTATATTTGTAAGGATGCAAACAATGACACAAAAAATTAACTAAATTAATGCACAAGTAAGGAAGACATCATATTTCTTTGATCATAAAAAGCTGAATAAGATGAAAATCTTCAACCCTAAACATTAAAGAAACTTAAAGATGTTGGGATTCTGCCCAAAGGTAACTTTGTGAAAGAATTTTGTGTAGAGAAACAATGATACATACTCCAGCTCTAATATAGTTCCTCATAGCTATTATGCTCATGTGTTCAGTGGGTAGTAACTAGTAATATATTGTTCAGTTGTGAGTAATTTTTTTAAAATTGTATTGATATTTAGACTGTATTGAAGTTGACATTGCAGTTCCAGACTCTTTAAACTGTTGAAATGAAAATCAATCAAATTATAGTGCAAATATTTTTTATGCTACAGCATAAGTACATTAGCTTATGGGTCGAGAAGTTTTAATGTTTATTTAAATTTCATATTATAAATAGTACATAATCTTACATAATAATTTCTTAGGTCGGAGGTTTAGAACTTAAAACAAAAGACGAAACAATTGTCATGTTCAATCGTGATTTTCAACACCATCTCTAGATGCCATATTTTATCAGTTTAAATCTTATTTACACTTTAATAACTATGTTGCAAAAGATTCTTCTGTCTTTAGAAGACTTCAGATTAGCAGCAAGGGTATCTAATTTGTAAATTTATAAAGGGCATGTTATTTTTATTATATTTAGCTTGATCACCAGTCAATGATGATTAACTCTGTTCTATTCTATATATTATTGACATATATAAAATTAGTCCTGAAGTTCTTACAAACAAAGTTATGTTGCATGTTGAGTTATGGTGCATGTAATGAGTTTTATCATTATATATTTTATTTGAGATTTAATAGTTCAAATGAAATCAATTTTAAAAATTATCTTGATCAAAAGCCAAGGATTATAGGAAGGAAAACATTACACTTTAAGGATTACCAAAAAGTAAATGTCAATGGAAACCTTGGTTTTTATTCCCGCACTTCATATATTGTGTTTGAATTATCAGATTTCTAACTCTATACATTTAGTCCAGGCAATATTATAGATAAAGAAAACCAAATTAAAATTATTTCATTTGACTGCCCAAACCAATATGAAAAATGCCATCCCTTATTTATTCAGTCCTTAACAACTGATTAATTTTTAATACAATAACCTTAGCCACCTTTATGATATAATAAAGCAGTATTATTCATTTTTATGTAGTTTAAAACAATATTCATTCCATAAACAATAAAAGCAATAGTATTGTTAACAACAACACTTTGTTATATTATATTGTCTTTATTGTTATTGAGTTTATTTTGATTTTAGATGAAACAATAAAGAAAAACTTACATATTAAATTTACAGATTCTCTTACTTCTATAGATGACATCATTGACTCTTGGCTCAAGGATACAATTAATATAGCACCACAACTTGATATTAGAATTTCTTTTATTTTTTTCCTTCTGTTTTATATCACAATACTCAAAGATCTCTATAATGTGATCAGATTACAGTTATAAAATTTATACCTATTAGACACATACAAGTGGAATTAACTGTGGTCTGATAAATAAAACAAGCCATTTTAAATATTATATAGAGAGTAGCTACGATTCAGGTATATTGTTTAAATAAGAAGGCTAGGGAAAGTAGTAGGTGGTACATTAGAATTTACCAACTTAAGGAGGAAACACAATGTCACTTACGTTGGTTCATCTTGAGCACCATGGCTCGGTAAAAGCGTGAGAAAGGCGCCATAACGTTGTGGTTTCCGAAGAAACCTGTTACATATTCTCGGAAAGCCATCCCACATTCGGACCCCACCGTAAATAAACAAATTCACGGTCACATTGATTCTATATACACTAAGATTACACTAAATTTGACACACATTATCACCGGGGGTTGGATACGCCGAAGAAAACATAGACTTGGCTGTACATTATTTCAGTTTTCCAGGATTTTAGAAGTCCAAGCACTAAGTTTTTCTACTGCGCAGGAAAACCGACACGAGTAGCCCTAGGGAGTAGCTGGTAATTGCAAATTTTCAGAAAATATTGTTAGGTTTTCGCGTTGTCATTTTGTAATGAATACCATTTACATTTATTTTTGTAAGTACACTAAATCGATCACGCCAAACTCGGCTTTAATCTTATTTTATATTTTTCAAGATCACAAAATGAAAATTTACAATGACAGTTTAACCAATAATAGCAAGTTGCAAATGGGGGGTTAGGGTATTGGTTAACTGTCAACTGTCAGTATTATTAAATCGAGGCAACTTTAACTCCCTTATCTGACTCGATTAAATTTTATGAGTTGGGAAAGCCTAAGCTGAATATTACGTAAAAAAGAACTTTTAAAAAGCTTATAGGAATTTAGAGTTCATTTTGCGTATGGCCAAAGGATTCTCAAACATAAAGTGATATTGGCATTGTATATTGCAGTATATTTGGAATGTAACTCGAAGATATGGGCCCACAAGAAAAAAAAATACTATATAAAGGTGGAGTGAATTCAAAATAAATTGACTTGCCCTTACCCTTGCTATTTTAAGGTCCTTAGAGATACGATACATAATTTGAAAATGTTGAAGAGACGGTCGAAATCGCTAGCATTACGGCGAGCGCGGTTAATTACAGTTTAGTAAAGCATCATTTACGAGCGTATTGCGCACCCCATACGTATAATATTGCATGGGAGACTGATCTATTTAATATTACACTATCTGATTCCACAAGGATCGCATTATTCATAGTTTGTTATAAAAGGTTTAGATTATAGGTTTTTTATTTTGTTATATTTTTACAAGTATTTGATATTGTTTTCTTAATTAAATTTTCTATTGAATATTATAATAACCTTTGAATAGAAAAATAAGGTTTTTTTTTTCTTTCATATTTCTACATTTTAGTATTTTCCCTCATTCTATAAATATGTTTATTATGTAACATAAGATACAGGTATCACTTATATATATAAGAATTCAAGTTTATGAACTCCTTACAAGAAGAGTTATTTCATTATATTTTGCAGATTAGTATCTCAATACACATTTTTTATATACCAGAAACCAGCTATAGCTGGAACAGTAGGTAGGCATATAAAATCTACTGGTATAGTATATTTGACGTATAACTACGTTGATAAAAGCAAAATTTCCAAAGATATATTACCTACTATAAGAAATCCTAAATGATTTTTTTTTCAAACATTATATTTTTATGTATCTAAATCGTACGCGGTCGATCGCAGGCCAAGAATTTATCTCATAACATGGTCTAAGATCCCGCTATACAACGACCTTCACCGAGATGCTTATTTAATGAAACTTATTTTATATATAATTAATATGTCAATAAATATAATCCATATGGGTTGCCTAGCAAATTTCAGTCCAGAGTATGTTTAATTAATTTAAAAAAAAATTATTTTTTTAAACATTTCACCGGTATGATTATTAGATAAATTCTATACCAATCGAACGTATGAAGCCAAGAATATGCAAACGTTAGGTTGTTTTTAATCAATTAATTATTTATGTGTATATTTTTGTGACACTAAAGTATATATACATCTTTAGTATAAAAGAAGGTTATAGTGATACATATATAATACTACCCTGATTAAAAATATTGATTGAAAAAAGTTCAAAAAATTTACTACATGCAAATTATAAAAAATATTTTTTTTTTAATATTAATTAAACATACTCTGGACTGAAATTTGCTAGGCAACCCATATGGATTATATTTATTGACATATTAAATTAAATAGAAAATAAGTTTCATTAAATAAGCACTCGGTGAAGGTCGTTGTATAGCGGGATCTTATACTAACAGTTTTAAATGTCGTCGCACTTATTTGATGATACTAATATGCAGGAGTCTCGGGGGACCTTCATTGGAACACCTCCAAGTGATTTTTGCTACAGGAAACGCGTCTAAGTATTTTTAAAAAAAATTTTAAGTTTTGTGCAATGCACAGTGGTCCATCCCATAGGTCATAGGGCTGAAATGTCGATGGTTGAATTATACGTCATTTATCACTACAGGGTAGACAAATAACCCTTCTACCCCCAGGTATAAAAACAATTACAATAACATGAAAGGACATTTCATTTTGTGCAACCGAAGTGATAACATTCCAATAGTGCTAATTAGCGTTGTCTTTGTCGGCAAAATTTCTATTGTTTTAAAGTGTTGTTTTCTCGGAAATTGATTGTTTGTGATAATTTTTGCCATGGATATTCAAATAGAAGGATGTACGACATTTTTAATCCTATTGTGTTTACTTTAACCGTGTCGTTATCTGTAATCAGCACCATCAAGAAAGACTTCCGATTTCTTTGAGTTTACCGCTCTGCCATATTTAATTAGACTTTTACTTAGGAAGGAACGAATCCCCAAAGATGAAACATATATCAAAATAATCTCTTGTTTGTCTAGTTTTAGAATCTGTAACATCTAGGCGCCAAAGTGCGCCGAGGATTGCTTATAGGTCATGACAAAGACAAAGTCGATATAGGAAATTTGATACCTTATAATTTTCATTTCTTTTATTCTGTAGGATCCATCATCAAGTATTCTTTTCCTCGAATGCTTGTCCTAGACACGTGGTTGAATGCGACAAGTAAAGAAAATGAGGCAGATAGATCTCGTGAAGTGTTTGAAATGCTAGCAAATTCTTTACCGGACACTGAAAATATCAAGACCGATTACTTAAGAGATTTAATTTGTAATCTCTGTAAACGGTTTGCTGCATATTGGAAGAAACTGGGGAGGTCAAAAGCTAAGCTGATTGCAAATACGGTGACTGGTTAAATGAGATCGAAGTCTGCATTCTTGGGAGCTCTGACGGAGAACTACATGAAAACGACGACGAGACAAGCGAATATCTTCAATCTACAAGCAGGACGCAGCACAGGAAGGAGTTTGGAGAATGCAGCAAGAGAAGCAAACGTCGCAGGTTGGCAATTTTATCTCAAATAGATGATTCTGCTATAAATACTTTACTTAGTGATTCCAATCAATCAGCCGACAGTTTCTTAAAATTCAACTCTGATGAAATCGTTTCATTTATTACTGAAGCAAACTAACTAAACATCAATACATTTTATTAAAAAACTTGATTAATTCTAAAATACCAAATGCTTTTCCATGTTATCAAAGAGTGTTGGAAGCCAAAAAACGTTGCTACCCAACTGATATTCGCGTAACGGAATCATCTGCTGAGATTAATTTGCAATCGTTGTTAGATCATACATCAAGTCGAATTGTTGAATCTCAAAAGCCTGTTTTAGATAGTCTTCCCGTATCTGAAAGCGAATTTGTTTCTATTATCTGGTAAATTTTATTATTTATATGTAAATTAAGCTATTTTCAGAAATCTATATATATAAAAATGAAACCCGTTCTTCGTTGTCACGACATAACATGAAAATAATGTATAAATAAAACTTATTTTATTGCTACCTATTATTTATTAGTACGGATGGATCCTTTTTTTTGAGAATATACATCTACCTTTTTAAAAATATATCTATTGTTTTACTTGTTATTATCATTAAAACCTAAAACAATCATTTCTAAGATAAAAAAGTTAATATTTCATTTTTAATCCGACATACAACCTCTATGACCGCCTTTCTTAGGAACATGGACCATGTGCAATGTATTGAAATTTGTAAACAATCCGCCATTTTCTACTTTTCTATTGGTTATAAGATATGTGACATTCACTTTAAAAAATCGTTTTTTAATTAATCGTTTGTTAATAATCGTTTTTTAAGTAACGGATTTCTAACGGATATTCTGCACTGTAAGACTGTTCACACACTGTTCTAGCAAAATCCACATTCGAAATGGCCGTTTGCGTTTATAAAATTAATAGGGACGTGAAAAATAATCGATTTCTTTAAAAGTGAAAATCGATTTTTGTATTCGATTTTAATATTAAAAATAATTGAAAATCAATCATAGTTGATCAGTTTCAGTTGAACAGTTATTTTAAAAATAAATATTCATATACTTAACTAACCTAACCGATCTAAATAATATTTGTTTTTTTGGACAGCTCCGATCTAAATAATAATTGTTTATTCAAGCCTCCCCAACCCGGCTTCTTGCCCTTGCACTCTAGGGGTAAGACAGACAAGACCACGTGGATAGTGGGGTGCTCTGATTCGGTTTTGGGTACTTCTTGGATATTAAAATAAACACTTTATTCTAGTAAAAATTAAATAATATAGAAAGTTGCAAACAATGAAATACAAGTACTAATTAGGAAATACAGACGAGTAGGTATCGATAATTTCAAAAATTTTCGGAACCCTATAATCTATCAACACGAAATTAGGTTAATTTCAATGTTGATTATTCTATAACTTTAAATTTAAAAAATGTGGAAATAATCGATAAATAAAAAAAAACGATTATTAACAAACGATTAATTAAAAACACGATTTTTTAAAGTGAACGTCGCATCTCTAATAACCAATAGAAAAGTAGAAAATGGCGGATTGTTTACAAATTTCAATACATTTCACAAAATTTTAAATTTTTATTAAAAATACTTAGACGCGTTTCCTGCAGCAAAAATCACTTGGAGGTGTTCCAATGAAGTTCCCCTGAGACTCCTAAATAGTTAGTATCATAAAAAAAGTGCGACGGTATTCAAAACCCAACCCCATGGCGTATACTGATGGGAGGATGCGCCGGATCGTACCTTAAAGCGGGTTATAGAATCGTAACTATAGGCTGCACACCAAAGAAAATTATTATGTGCTACCAGGTTGTCAAATGGATACATTTAAGGTAAAAATCCTACCTGAGAATGCAAAGAGAACGAAAGAACAATAAGATTCTGCGTTTCGATCTTGATTCCGACTTTGATTGGTTGCATCTTAGTTTATTCTATACGCATTACATACTCACTACCCTGTGGGGTAAATGGTAAAGGAAAGAAAAAACGATGCGTTTCATTGTGACGGTCGACGGACATAGTATAATGACGACTAGATATTATGCTGTTGAACCATTCACAATCAAATGGAACGCCTCTTTCTTAAATAATATTTACGATAAATTGGAACTTCTTGATCTTCAGTCAGAAACTGTTAAAAATCCAGCATCAGGCAGATATAAGAAAAGTGCGTACCAATTCTTGAAAGGCCGGCAACGCACTCGCGAGCCCTCTGGCATTGAGAGTGTCCATGGGCGGCGGTATCACTTTACATCAGGTGAGCCTCTTGCCCGTTTGCCCCCTGTTCTATAAAAAAAAAGATATTGGAACTAGTTAGTTTAGTCAAGAAAAAAATATAAATTAAAGGTATTCGTATATGTTTGGTTAATTCAATATAAACACCAATTTACCCAATACCTACATACATTTATCTATCAGTTTGCCGTGCAAACTACAGCTAGGTGAACCGCACTTAAAATAGACCAGTGGATACAATAAATTAATTTCTAGTATTCGTTGAGGTCAGCTATTCATCACGCCGACAATAATTAACAGGCATGGTCTGGACTCTAGCGGCTAAATGAAAACTAGCAATTGTTAAGCAACTATTAATATTTTAAATAAACACGATCAATTTCGGTGAGTAGGTATGTACGAGTACAGTTGTCAAAACAATTCAGATAAACTTAGATTACTGCCTTCCGGCACTGCATTTCTAATTACCACTTTACCTGATAATTCATTGATAAATGGGAATGCTAAACAGCACTTACCGAGTGGTTTGAACTTTTCCAAAATCGCCTGCATCCACACCATGCTCAATCAATCCATGATCACGTTAAAGTGCGGTAAAGTAAAAATCGATGACATGCGCCACATAAAAGAGCAGACAGGTGGCGATGTACATCATGATCAGAATCTGCACCAACATGGTCGTCAGGCCGCGGTGTCGTGACTGCGGAGGACTCCACGAGAAATCAGACGTGCGACATCCGAGAGGACGGATTACGAATTCGAATCGGGGCCTTTATAAGTCTTCGTAGCCTCATTGGATCGTGTTAAAACTATTTGTATTGGCTTTAACTTTTGCACGAAATAGTTGTGTATGTAATACGTAACATACATTTTATACAATATTTCGTAATGCAATAATTAGCCTTCATTGTTTTACAAAGAATGAGAATAAAAATGTATCCAGGGCCCTGATACTATAATGTCCAGCACTGGAAGCCATACACAAGGTGAATGTCGAGTAGATCTCATTGAAATGTTACGCAAACGATTGTTGGCTTACAAAATTAATAAGTATGTCACTTATAGGGAATCACCGAGTATCGTGTGCGCAAGGACCGGGCGGGTAAGACGCACGTATTATAATATGTTAATAGTCTTAGTAATAAATTGTATTTGACTTCTTAGTTTTTATAGATATTTTAAAGATTAATTTAAAAGGTTACCGCTAAGATATACTTAATATATTTATATCAGTGTCGCGAATACACTATCAGTTATTACCTTTAATTTTTAAATTGATTGTAAAGGATAATATTGCCTATAATTTACTCACTGATTCTCGTATGTCCTGTGACGTTCGTGGTAGGCAAGGCCAGAGCGTCAATGGTGTCTTCACTCCCGAGCTGGTGCAGAGAGAGCTCTACAGTATCCGGGGACCCTCCCGGCCACGCCATTATCTTATCACCATCACACAATACACAAATCTACTAAGACCTTGGCTCGATGTTAGCGCTAGTATTACATTCCACTGTTATTACGATAATAATATTATGACTGTACGAATACAATGTTTAACACCAGATTGAAATGCGACAGAAAAGTAACTTTATATTATTCTTACTGATACTTGATGAATGAATAAGATTGTTAATATTTTTTAAACGATAACTACGACGATGTCATTTCGTTAATTGGAAATTTAACGATGGACCTATACCTGTGACAATTCGTTTAATTGGTTCACACTTTGAATGACTCATTAATAGGACTGACACAACTTGAGCATGAATTTAGCAATTACGATATATGATACAACCGTTTTCAAATATTGTCAAAACTCAGTGATGTTTTAAAACGTGAAGGAACAAGATAAGCCCTTTTGTAATTCATCAAACTTGTAACTCTATATTACTGACAAGATATTAATACTAGGTACATAGTGTAATTAAACAAAGTCTTCTACATTCGTGTTTTTGTCTGTTTGAACACAGGTATTAGTGATGATAAATTATTCCTGTTAAATGTAAAAAGAAAATTTTCAAAAACTGAATAACCCGGAAGTTTAATACATTAACATACATACGATACGTTGTAAATTGGTCTAGAAAACAATGGTTTATGCGCACTGAAGGCAGAAAACTCTTCTTTATTATGTATATTTCAGCTTCTACATATCCGATACAGTCCCGGGCCGTTTGTGGCTTGTGTAGTGTCAAAGAAAAGACGCAAGAAAAATGTTTCCAACCCAAGTTATAAGCCTTTTGAGTTTAACTAGCCCACCTTAATTAGAATTTATTTGTTACTTTTTTTTGTAAAAATAAAAAGCTAGTCCCAAAACGGTCGCTTGCCACGCGAGACGATCTTTCTACTGAGCCGTTCTATCTACTCATTGTTGATAGAAGTAGATAAGATTGCATGCTTCCCACGATACATATATAGGTAATGGGACAGTGCCTGCAGGTGTGGTGTATGACGTCACATACACACCCATGCCTATGATTTAAGTGAAATGGGCACGAACGGGATTTATTAAAATTAATGGTCATACTGTGAATATGGCTGTTACTTGCAAATATGTGGCCTGGTTCGGGGTAATTATTCCGACCGTGGTAATCTATTGTCTCTGCGTAAATGACGTCGCTGTTAAAGTGATTACTTTTGAACCGGAATCTTTAGCAAGAGATTTGAAATTAAGTTACGTTTTAAATTTAAATTTTATATATAAATTGCCGTTTGATTTTAACCGTTTCGGGTAATGAAATCCCAAACGCGGTACGTCGGCGGCACTCCCCATGGTAATGGATTGAAGTTTTTCACGATTAAAGCTAGCTCTTTGTTTCTCGCGTGGCCGGTAACGAGTTCTTCGCTCACAAAGACACTCAATTTATCTTTTCACCGAACACAAATATTGTTTGTCACTAATTGAATTCTATGTTTACCTACTTGTACAATTTACGCGCGAGCGTTCGCCTTCGTATTGATTTAATTGAAATTTTCATTATTTTTCTTATATTGACATAATTACCGAAACAAACAAAGATCGACGTAAACCCAATTTGGAAAGCGGTAACGATTCCTATATGAAATTTATTATTCAAAGAGGTTCAAGGGTTGTTTTGGGAGAAGAGCGAAGACAGCAAGGCTTTGACTTGAAACAAACGCGTCCTAAATTATTTATGGCCTACAAAACACCTTTAGTAAAGACGAGGCAAAATGCAGTTCATTCGGTCATATTAGCTGATTGGCCACATTAATCGCGCCATACGTCTTTACGATACTTTTTGATGAGACAAGGCGATTAAAACTGATCTAGCGGTTAGTGCTTCAATCTTTTATGAAACTCTAGTAATATTTTGTATAAAAGAAAGCACATACTATATACATAGTTCCTAAATGGAAATAAAGTAAACTTTTAAAAATACACAAGCTTTATCACGTTAATTAAGGTTCTAGGATACATATTTCTTATTAAATAATATCCGTTAAAGTATCTATTAGTTTATTGCCAGTACTTTTCTTCCGTTCTACGCCCTTGATTTGAGAACTGGCAGTAAATGTATAATTAGAAGCATTTCATATATATATATTTCTTTTTTGACGTTCATAAGTGTACATTTTGTTAACTAGGTATATGAATAAATGGGTTTTGAATTTGAATTTCTAACTATAATATCCTCTTTTAGATGCAATTTGTTTTGTCATTCATTAAAATCAATAACCATTATCGTTACCTGCACTATTTCAAAATATACCCACATTACAAATTTTTATTATTGATAAATAAAATATTGAATATTGCACACAGCCCCTTATCAGTGATAGCAATAAGACGTTTACGCGACATAAGCCGCCGGACACTTACACCAGGATTATTCAAAAATAATGTTTGTACTCCTAGTGAAGATTTACTACTTAAAAGGCTTATGAATTTAATGAAAAAATAATGACAGTTCAAATATCGATTTGCCGCGGTTTCTTATGTAGCCGATAGTAATTAATAGTTTAGTATTACATAATAATTTAATTATGTTAAATTATAATTAAACTTTAACTGATACTTAACCATAGAATAACGAATAAAAAAAAATATAAAGTTGTCGTGTATTTTAGGCGGGCGGGCGGCGTGCGACTCCTCCGCATCGCTTTCCGGTACTGGGCGGGAAAATGAAAGCTCATGGCTAAGCTTTTATAGAACAAGAGTAATTTTGTAGCGTAATAAAGTCAAAAATTACACCTCGTGTGTATCTAGTGCTACATATTGGCGCGTTGATTTATTATCCATCTCTGTTATGTATGGATGTATGTTTAAAGACACTTCACAGTGTTCCTAATTGAACTTATATTCTATTGACAACATAAATTGATTACTTAATGACATGAAGTGACGTCTTAAATCCTAACAAACATTTACTAATAATGTATTATTATCTATTCGTTATCAACGGTAGGTTGAAGTGTTGGATTACGATCGGTCCAGGTATCGCGCGGCTGAATATTTATTTTATAAAATATTTAATAGTTAGACATATGGTATAGCGAACTTTTTTGTAGATATTGATGTCTTCTATAAAAACGTAGCACATCACTTTGCTCTATTGTCAATAGTTGCCGCATCGTACACGATGTATGGATTTATATTGATATTTCTTCCTCACCTTGGGTTATATATTATCGAAGTTTTCATACGGATCCCAAACTTTTTTGAAAATATTCTTTACCCTATTTTCATTAGGGGTAATGTAGGCTTCTAATGGTGTAAGAATATCGATGGTGGTCAAATCGGTCTCATCGGACCCTATTTAATGCAAACAAACAATCAAATCTTTCCTCTTTATAATACATATAAATATATGTAAAGGTAGAACGACGATACAGTCTTAACGAGTTTTAAACGGATACACGTGTTTAGAAAGTGTATGCATTAAAAATACAGTAGATACTATATTTTAAGTACACCTCGATATAACACCATAAAACTTATTATAGGAGCATAAGTTTCGATACGACTTACAGGAAATTTTAAGTGAATATCCGACATTGTAGCGACACGACTATCGCGCTCAAGGAGCAAGTTTCTTATCCTTAATTAGCATATAGCTTATTTTATCACTTTACTACTTTCAGTGAGTTTAGTTTTATTCATAAAAATAACGAGCCATTTTATTCATGGCTTTCTTTACGTATTTCTTAATTATTTATATGAAAACAAACGTTCTAAACACTTTTGCGTGTTCCTTCTCGCTTTAGAAATAATCGATATTGTATAAATGGCCTCCCTGACATGTTTACGATGATCGTGTTTCTTGAAGGGACCTAAACTGTCTAATTACAGAAGGATAAAATATACAATATCGATTCACACTGACTAGGATATCGACAAAAATACAGCCTTCGTTAAAAGGTCGTATCTATTAATAGTGATATGGACAATAAAGTTTGTTTTATCTTGATAAGTGATATTGTGTAGTGAAAACCCTGAAAAAATAAGTACACCCAATTTCCTTGTAGTTATTAATACTGCGTCGTGATAGAATAAACCAGGCTGATAGAATTCAAATAGCACAATCGAAATTCTGCAAGTTTGCTCCTATAAAATTAAAAGGCGAAATATTTATTCATATCACTGACTATTTCCCTTTGAATATGTTAACTAATTGGTAAAAACTTGTTCAGTGTCACATAATTAGATTAGTACAAAAACATCTATTGCCTGTATTGCTGATTTCCACACACGGAAATACAATGTGAACATAAAAAATACCCACTCCCTTTTTATATAATATAATGGCAGAGTTAATAGTACACCTGATAGGTGCGTAAGTTCGACAACAGGGTCACCAGCTTAGACCTTTTATTTTAAAAAAGAGCGAAACAAACAAAACACCACAACAATTCTTTATCTGCTTAAATCACAACAATTATTATTAGCTGGCTCTGCGATATTAGTTTCGCCTTAATATGATATTCTACTTATGTAACTACTTTTTAGTAATTACATAACAACATATGGAACATATTGCTATGCTACCCCCTATGAAACTGTTCGCTTTTCCGGAATAAATACCAAAGTATGTACTCTCCATATAAAACTTCGTCAGATTTGAAGGAATAGGTAAATAAAAAAACAAAAAACTTTTTCTAGTTTGGAGCTTAGCAACATTTTTCGCGATTTATTTGAATTTATGGCCACATCTTCATTTATAAAATATAAATGTCTATTTGAGTTTCATATATGTTTATCAAGCCATTCATTAAAATATTGCAAATTATTTTCCCGTAAAAGAACATGTCTTTATCAAGACATAATACTTCTGCTACTTGTAAGGGTCAGCCCTGTCGCCACCGCAAGCTCGGTACCGTTTGCAAATTATGACAGAACAGTAGGGTTGGGCGGAAGTAGCCGTCGCTACCCATTTCCGGTCAGATTTGACGCAAGTTCTTTCTACAAATCACTGCGGCATAGCCGAAACGTCTTGCTTTTAAACATTTATCAGTTAATCACGATAGATACCGCATTTTTAGTACATAAAACATCTTATAGGTACTCAGCGAATACTTAATTTAATCTATACGATTAATCATCGTTACTAATTAGTCAAAAACTTATCAATACAAAAAGAAATATCAGGAATATTGTTGGCTGACTTGAAGCCTCTTAAAGTAATATGCAATTATGCTTTTACAACTTGGAGAAGTAATTTTTAATTGAAACTTAAGGACTGGTGAATGGTGATAATGTATTGCAACTTAAATGGCGTATGATTTATTGACATCTGCACCTACAAAATCCAACGCCGTTTATCATGATATTATTGTATCTTTATTACAAAAAAATAGTACTGTTAATAAATAAAATGTCAGGTCTATCAAGGCTCCGACCGGACACTTGGCATTTAACGATGCACTGCTATAACACTCTCGCCGTCTCGCTTTAATAACAACTTTAATGTTATTTTTGATTTATTTATACTTACTAGATAACTCTCTCTGTGTTATGGGAAAAAGTTTTAATAATGGCATTGATTAAACTTATACGTACATTCGCGAATTAATCGATTCATTATAACATTCTAAAAACATTTCAAACTCTATTCAAATATAAGCATAACAAAATTAAAAATGATTCAGCTAAAAGTCAACGCCCAGATATTGCGTGAAAACTAATATAATGTCTAGACTGTAACTAGATAGATTTGAATAGCTTTATCCAATCAGGCTACGTGTATGAACACGCCCTTCTGAAATTGTACAACTGCCTACAAACTAGAATTTTTCACTACCGCAACTTGTTAAACGATCGACGAGATATTAAGTCAAACGACCTTGCTCGTCGTTTCCTTTTTAAGAGATAAAATACATAGAAATTATTCGAAATATTTTGTTTATAAAAAACCAGTCTTCAATTGAAATTCAACCGGTATACGCACATCTTATAATCATGTTTAGGGCCCCTGCTAAAGCTACGCTGCTAGCCTTGCGGCGATTTCACTAATCAGCCTCCTGTTCACCTAACACTAAGAAAAACTTACCGATTCGTCTCCAGGATCGCAAATTACTCTCAACCCGGCGGAGAAGACGCCGCGAAGCTGACGTCACGTATGAGATCAGACGTCCTTTCCCTTCGTCGGCTGAAAATTGTTAAGGGTCAAGGGCAGTGTATCTTTACACTCATTACTCTTTAATAATTTCCATGTATGTAACCAAATTTTTAGGTTTCATTCGACTTCAATCGTCACTGTGCCTTCTAAGAAAATAAGTTATAGGTATTTTTATCTAACAGCTCAGCCTGGTTTATATAGATAAAAAGTTTGTACTAACTTAAGGGCTATGTACCTATATGGCATCCATTATTTTATTAAAACTGTTTGATTTTACTGTGTTCACTCAACCCTGTCGCCGAATACCGGCGAATCTACCGTTACGAACCATTTCTAATATAACAAAAACATTGTTACGAAATGAGTAATATCCAATACAAGTTGCCGTTAAGGATATCTATTTATTTCAGTGAAACTATAATAATATAAATAACGATAAGGTTATCATAAAACGACTAACCTCCTTCGTCAAGGTCTTCATAGCCCTGACGCTCCATAGTCCTGAGGGGAATCATCACTTAGGAACCAATACATCGGGGTGTTTGCTGTTTAGTAAACAAGGCATGGCGGAGCAACGTGTCGACGGACGCGACACGCAGCGGTCACTGGCGTAAGCTAATTGTTCGATAAGACCCCGTTATCTTTTCAATGTGTCAATACTGAAGTAACTATTGTTGTGGGTGCCCGTTCTATTTATCTACTGGTGGGGCTTACAGAATTAATTATAACAAATTCTTTATGAACTTCGTAATGTTATTTTAGGGAATGGGGTAACGTCAGAATAAATAAAACAACATTTAATATTCAAGTTTTTCTTGTTAACAATTCACCACTGATACAACATTTACGAACTTCCCTGTCGCCACGATAAACATGATGGAAAATACAAGGTAAAATAAATATGGAAACTAGGCAAACTAATCGTCAAGAACCAATACCCTTTACCTACGCCTAAGTATTGTGATGTAAATTTTTCAGACAACAAATATTTCATTGTACAATAGTCAATTCTAGTTTAAGTAACGCTATACAATATTCCTAAAAAGCTGTTACCAAGACACGAGTCAATTTCGGAGGTAATCGGGGTTGAAACGCTTACAGCAATATAAGGTCACGGTTTAAATGCGCTTTACTTAAATAAATGTTATTAAATAAATTAACTAATACTGTTATTGTTTACTAAAGGCGCGGTGTCTTCGCTCTCCGATATGTCACTGTCACTCGTCACTGCAAACAAATGGTAAAGTTACGCAATTGATAAGACATTGAATAGAACATGCAAAAAGGAGAGTCATGAAATCTAAAAATGAATCTACAAATGATGTCTAGCCAACAGCTAGAACAACTCTAGAATATTTCTACTGAACTACTGAATACATAAAGCGCAAACTGACCTTTCTCTCCGCCAATGCATACAGTGAATGTCCAAACAATACGTGATCACAAATTTGTCTAGTCGTCCTAAAACTATGGCTCTCAGTTTGGCTACAAAACACCACAACTCTGTGCTTCGTTCGAATATAAACGAACAATAAAACAATACCAATTTAAATAGACATATATTTCACATTCCATACGTACGCGTTACATTATGTACACGAGACCTCTTCGCTCTTATCTTTGAATTGAATTGAGATAATGTTTGAGTTAACGCCTGTTAAGATCTCCCGATTACATGAAATCGAACGGATAAAGTGAAGAACCTTTCCGGTGAGCTGTTTTAATATTTGAGAAACGGATAGTGAGAGGTCAAAGACAATTGTAAAATATTTGAATCACATGAAAATGAAATAAGCGATAGAAGACAGTTTTAGTTATAAGTGTGTTAATAGAAATATAGTAATAGCATACACATACATAATAATACTTGTAATCTCAATATACGAAGAGCGCCATCACCAATAAATGAGAGTGAAAAGTAAAAAGTCTAAACTGAACAAGTGACACGCAGCTGAGACGCGATCTTTAATGACTTTTTCATTTTCACTCTTTTCATATGTTGACTTTGATTATTGTTACATTTGAGCGCCACTCGACTAGCTTTACGTCGACATTTCTCATAGTGAATATAGCGATTAGCGACGCATACTTCAAACTGTCAAGTCAAAATAGTGGTAACAATCGGACGTTCCGACGCGTTACAACTTACTGCTCGGCGTTCCCTATGTATACGTTATAGCTACCCGATTTGAGTTCGCGATCTAGAAGGGGACAAAATATATTAAATTTTCCGAGTGTGCGTGTTACCATAACCACTAAAATGAGATAAATTTTCTTGGAGCCGGTGGAGTCTGGAGTCGAGAGGCTGATTTACTATTTGACACTTACAGTAAGGTAACGACTAGTCTTAAGAATATCGCGTCGTGGGAGCGGACCGCCGGTTCGTACCGTTTCTGTCCGCTTGCTTGTGACGAGCGGAGACGGGAGCGGGAGCGGACGCGGGCGAGATACGGAATAAGTGGATTTTGAGGTGCTCACAGATCTCCATGCATATTTGCCCGCAGTATCGTATCAACTCCACGACTACCCACACCTGCAATTATTAAGTGGAACATATGTATATTGTAATAATCTGCTTATTTTCTATGTAACTATCGTTTCGATAGTACACGACGAGCGGACTTACGAAACAAAGCCAGAGCACGTAGTACTCCGGCAACGCATTCTTGAAGTACTGGTTGAGAAAGAGCATTGCGGGACCCACCAGAGCCCAATCGTAGTAGTCCATCTCACTTTTGGTCATGTGCGCCACCTGAAATCGTCATCACGATATTATAAATAAAAGTATCCGGTATCTTGTAATCCATGGGTGCTGATAATACTCACAACGAGTCGGTTAGTGACTTTAGCGGCGACCATTCCGAACGCCAAGATATAGAGCGCTGGGTGATTCTGATACACCTGCGACTCACTCTTTTGGAAGATTATGAAGGCCGGCACCACCACGAACGAGAAGGGAAATACTGGCGTCAGGATACTGGTGCCCTGCGAATTTATTCGCTGTAACTAGGTTCGGATTGGTATACTCGGTATACACAAATTAGACATATAGGGAAACTCTTCCAAGCGTTCACTTTACTTGTTGAAGGATATATTTTGAAGAAAAGTCTAAAACTAAAGTCAATAAGTAATAGAACGAAGAAATTTCTTCAAGTAACGTTTCTAAAATACGAGAAAATCAACTTAAACAGCAAAAAAGCTAAACCATGCCAAGCCCTAGTTTAAAGTACTTTGAAAACCCTCTGGGATTGGCTCGGTATCCCAAAACCAAAGTTTTTTCAAAATCGTCCATTAGACAGAAACGACAGTTAAAAGCAAGTCACCGAGACGTCACAGGAGATGTTAGTTCCATGAACCGTGTACATGCGATACGCGAAGGCGTCGAAGGTGAGGTCGGCGCCACAATGCTTATATAACAAAATCTTACTGCGACCGTGGAGCCGTTTTTCCCAACTCCGCCGCGCATAATGACCTTAATGTATCCGAAGACCAGGTACATGTTGAGGAGCACGACGAAGTAATTAGACAGCAAGTTAACGCTGACGTTTATCGTCGGAAGCTGTTTAGATTCGGTTCGGCGACATGCGAGTTAGGTCCGGCGGCGACAGCGTCCAAAATAAAAAAAATACATGCCATTATAGCTAGAGTAACGTCGTGCAGTGGGTGTGTGATATCTTCACTCATTGCCCGTCGTCGGATATTTGAGTCCTAACTTTAACAAACCGTCCCGACGATTTAGCGCGTTCTTTTAGTAATTAGTGCTCCAAGCGTACTACAATCGACATCGTACAAAAGCTACCGACACCGACTTTAAAAAACCATGGTTGGGTCTCAAAGCCCTTACGGCGACGGTGGATCCATTTTTCCCGCAGCCGCCGACCCGGAATGTAGAGAGCAAGTTGACGAAAAAGTACAAGTGTCCGGCGGCGCATAGAGACATCATTTGTAGGCAAATTGGCACCCCCTTCCCTAACCCGGGAATCTGCGATACAAAATTTTATTTCCCACTGTAATGTATGCCAGCCAATTAATAATAATTCCCTACACCAACAAACCAACAATTGGAAAAATTTGTAAGCTTTTAAACATTTTATTCCCTTGCAACAGCTGCAAGTAATTTGATCTGCCAATGTGTTCGTATAAAGACTATGTTATGAGCCGTAAGATGTATAATGTAGGGTTTGACAATGAGTGAAGACCCACGTGACAGTAAACACCCAGCCACAATAAGGTTAAAATTAACACTAAATTCCTAATTTATCGACATGTCTAGCCAGTCAGCCGCCTCGACTCATTTTGCCTCTTCGTGTGTATAAGAGAATGCTATGGCGGAGGCCGCTGGCTGCTCTAGAAGTTGACAATTGATTCATGCCATTAAAAAAACCCACATGATAAGCGACAAAACAAAATGTTACATAAATAATTAGAATTGAACGCCTTTAATATTCACGATACTAAGACGTACGTACATTCATGTTTATAATCTAATAAAACGAAACGGTAAAATATACAACAGCTAGAAGGCCAAAAAGCAATAATTTGTAATTAATAATATGCTATCTGATTCCTGAATCAGTCGAGTCGGGTCTTAATTAATCCACTATATCTACTATGGTGTGGAAGCTATGTGACACTTTCGTCTTTGGCTTCCAAATTTGTAAAGCGAAGAGAAGAGAGAAAACGGTAGTGGACGGAGGACGAAGAGCTTCTCGTGTACACCTAACTCCCACGCCACATGCAATACAGAGATGCGCTCACGGCGACTGTGGAGCCATTCTTGCCGACACCGCCGGCGACAATGGCGGCGGCGAGGGATCCCAGCGTCATTACGGCGCCGAGCACCGCAGCGCCACCCAGCGAGTACCGCATCTCCAACGAGCCCACCTGGAGCCCACTTAACCCTTACCATACATTTGCACCGAAACATGTCAATCCCGTACGAACCGATTTCAAATACATTTTGGCTGCTTCTTTAAGCCGTTGACGTTATGTCGCGATCCTTTAAATTGTTTAGCATGCTAAGGAAAAGGTTCATACTGTACGGACGGAGGTTAGACTGTTGATAACATATTATATGAAGCAGGACGAACAAAGATAAAACCGATAACATCGATAACGTAACGGCTAATGTTGTATTCGTGCAAAAATATATTTTTACAAATGCTCGATATATAGTGCTGATTAAATCTACACAACATAATACACATTTAACCAATCTGTTACATGCATAAATGTTATATATTCTACAGACATGATATCAATTTAATATTAACACATAAACGAAATATTAATAACTTAACATATACGGCCATATCAGAATTAACGAAATACCATGATATAACACTAAAAACTCATGTGGGTATTTTTAAATAATAATAGGTAAATCATACGATGAAATATAAACAATTCAAATTAATACTAGCCTCTACTGCTGTGTCTAATGTGAGTTAAATAAATGACAATGATCAGTAAGTAATAATAGGATAAATTATTATAATTATCTACTTAAATAGATATTAATCCGAAATAAAGCCTATCGCTACGATGATCAGCTATATTCGGCGACATCTATAAATTATAACATGATTCTATAATGTAATTCAGCAATTAAAACGAAATGGGTCATTACATAAATTATTAATTATATATTTTAATTTATTCTTTCTGTGTCATTTGGTAAAGTTGGTAGTCTTTTCGTCTAAACGCTATGTCAAGTTGTGCAAAAGCAATTTGTGATTAAAACAAAACAAGTAATATGTACTTTATAGATGTGCCTCATTCGTACACTGTCTTATCATGTCGTTTACTTTCAGATCATTGAAAAGATAACGCTATTTAGAGAACCGTAGAGTCTAAATTACATTACCTGAGTTTCCCAGACGTCGGAACCGAGCGTGGCAGATATGAGGTGTATACAGATGATCGTGTACTGCGCTTCAGTCACGTCAATGCGACCCATTTTGAGGGTGCCCGTGACGTAGGCTTGCCAGTGAGCGCAGTAGAACAGCGTCATTGCGCAGAAACACTGAAAAATTCCAGGATATAATAAACATATTGTTTCTAATGCAACATGACCTGTAGGCAAACCAACAAAGATCAATTTTAATTTAAATAATATTGTCGCTTTTACTATTTCACACTCCTTCTTTATACAATACAAGGCAAACCCAACTATTTCAAATTCATCGGTCTAATACAAACCATTTACGTAACTCAGTCATGAATCGTATACCTTCAGATTATAAGACAAATTACCAGCAAATATATATATTTATTGTAACTAAAAAATTCTTAAAAAATAATAAAAAAAACTCTGGTATCTTTTATTAATAATGGCTTTGTTATTCTTCCTTTATATTAAATATATAATATACTGCTCAAAACAATTAGCGGAACAAGATTTTTCTCCTTTCTATTGTTTAAACTAAAATTAGATTTAAATTATAATAATTCCAAAATTTTAAAAATTTGGTGAAAAGAAGGGAAAATTGGGGAAAAAAAAAAAAATCTTATTTTAAAACTTTTTCAGAGCGGGAAAAATTTATAAAATTGAAAAAAAAAAAATTTTTTTTTATTTGGTGAAAAAAAAAAAAAAAAATTTTGAAAAAAGGGGGGGGGTTTAAAAAAATATTAAAAAAAAAAAAAAAAAAAAAAAACTTGTACGGAACTATTTTTTTTTACCTTGTTAATTTGTTAATTACTGACAAATTGAGAATATAAAAAGTTTTCCTTCAGTTTAATAAAGAAAAACAAATTTTTAATAACAAAAAATGTTCCGTGCACTTGGGTTGTTGCAATTTTTATACGTGATTGAATTTATTTCGAAAATCCCAAGTTTGCAGAAAATTTTTTTAGACAAAACTATTTTTAAAATGTTCCGCACTGTAGACAGGTTGCAAAATTTTATATTTTTTTTTAAAACCCCCCCCGACTAATCAAAATTTAAAACTTTTGGAATTATTATGAATTAATTGTCTTGAGTGACTGGTCTAATTTTTTTTGTTAATTTTTAATTACTACAAAAAAAATTCTAATTATTTTTTTTATTAACGACAGAAAACACATTTTAAGTAGTATTCTCAATCTTTTGAGAATTAATAGAAATTGAAGTGAGCCTTTTGAGTATTGTTATTCATTGAAGCGAGTGAGTTTAGGTCATAATGCCAGATCTGACTGAATTGCATGTCTCCCGAGCTATCGCTTTGCTTGAAGAGGGTCGAACTATGCGTTATGTAGGAAATGATCTAGGAGTAGCCCCTTCTGTTATGTACAGACTTTGGAAGCGATACCGTGAGACGGGAGAATACTCACGAAGGCGTGGTCAAGGTCGAAAGAGAAAAACTACACGTTTGCAAGATCGCTACATCGTCAACTGTGCTTTACGTAACCGCACCACAACTGCAAGAGATCTACAAAATACACTAAGGACGGCTACTGGTGTAGAAATTTCCGACCAGACGGTAAGAAATAGGTTGTTGGAAGCCAATTTAAGATCACGCCGACCAGTTCGGGCTGTGCGTCTAACAATTCAACATAGACAAGCTCGCCGACAGTTCGCGCAAAATCACGCTAATTGGCAACTTCGACATTGGAGGCGAGTGCTTTTTACTGACGAATCACGATTCCGTCTAACACGTTCCGATGGTCGTCTCCGTGTTTACAGACGCCCAGGCGAGCGATACAGTGCAGCAGCAGTCCAGGAATATGACAAATTTGGATGTGGCTCTGTGATGGTTTGGGGCGGAGTTAGTTTGGAAGAGCGCACAGATCTCGTCGATGTTCCCGGGCGCTTGTGTGCTCAAACTTACATTGAAAATGTGCTCGAAGATCATGTTTGGCCCGCAGCATATGGTATGGGCCCAGATTTTATTTTAATGCAAGATAATGCCAGGCCGCATACTGCAGCCATCACGTCAGATTACTTACGACAGCAGGAAATCCGTGGCCTTCCATGGGCCCTGACCTAAATCCAATTGAACACATTTGGGACTTGCTGGACAGGCGCATCCGGAAGCGTCCGATTGCACCTCAAACACTGCAGCAGCTCACTGAAGCGTTGATTGAAGAATGGGAGCGAATTCCACAAGAAGATATTCGGAGGATCATACGAAGCATGCCGCGTCGTTGTCAAGCCGTGATTAGGGCTCATGGAGGCCACACACGTTACTGAAAGTCACTAAAGACGAATATTCAAACGATATAAGAATATTTCTTTGATGGACCTTTTTTATCACCAATTAGTTTTTCGTCTACAATGCACATTTTAATTTTTTTTTAATAAAAAAAATACAAATTGAATTTTTTTATTAATTGTAGTAATTAACAAATTAACAAGGTAAAAAATAGCGTACAAGTTAATTTAAATCTAATTTTAGTTTAAGCAATAGAAAGGAGAAAAATCTTGTTCCGCTAATTGTTTTGAGCAGTATATATATTTTTTATAAATAGATAAAAATTGTTAATTGTGCTTTATGTTTGAATGTGTATTCCGTTTTTGGCTTTTGTGTATAATGTATTTTTATGATATTGTTTAATGAGTAGCTGTACATACTGATGAGTGATGAGCAAATAAATGAATAAAATAAATTTTGCTTTTATTTATCTTAAGAAAATTATCATTCACAGTGCGTGGGAGATATTTTGGCGCTTCGAGGGACGTAGACGCTGATAAGAGTGGTCAATGAGATAAGAGAACATAATATAGTATTGGTTACAACCGATCACCTGATCGTTCTCTTATCGAAGTCTAAATGTTGTTGTATTTGAGCAAGATTATCAAATAAATTATAAATTAGCACGTGATGAAGAAAAGTTCGAGTCGTGCCTTTAGCCTTTATCAATTTCAAAATATCAGAATTGTATGAATGTCTTATAAAAGTAATCTAATAACCCGTTTGACGAATATGATAAAAATTCAAATGAAATACACTATTTCGATTATAAGAATGTCAGGTAGTAGAAAATAAATTAACTAAGAAATTTCCATTAAACGTGGTGCGAAAAACAGTAGGCGAACACATCACGCTACCACCACGTGTTTAATTAAATAAAATCAGCAGTTTTACATTTTATAATAGAATTAATTATGACAGTTAGAGCGTAGTTAACGTTTTCTTTATCAAATCTTAAATTTTTGAAATGTGATTATTACGTACATTTAGTTTTGTTATAATTTAATTTAACAATATGTTAATTTGCTAAATTGTTTACAGAAACAATCTGTTGAATTCTCGGCTTGACCTTGTCAATAGCCTATAGTTATATAATGACAAAAAAAATCGTACAACCAATAAGTGGCTCACCCTTTATGGGTAAAATGAGTGGAGTTTGGCAACGGTCCAGAGAACTTCTGCCAAGATTCGTCGTCGTCGCTACGGATATAGCTCAAGTTTATATTAGCGAGTGTTTCATGGCTTTTGTGACAAGTTCAAAAATTCATTTTAAGTATAAAATCATCGTTATCATAAAAGGTACAGCGATGACTACACGAGTATTTACTGAGTATTACGACCACCAGTAAATGAGTCAACGCTTGAGATTGGCGTCCTATTTGCCTCCACAATATTATTAATTAAATATGGCGATATTTCATAATGATTTATTTGGCTGGCAACGCAATCGTGACTTCATTACTCATACAGTTATCCATTCAAATAAGCACTACTCTTCTAATATAGTAATAACAAGTTCATTGACCTTTTCTCAATATTAAAACTAACATTTAGTGAATACATACACTCAATATTTAAATTCCGTTTTAAATGTCAAAACGAACGACAAACCATTGCTGTGGAATAGTAAAGCGAAACCGAAGGTAATTATAGTTTAGTCCAATATTTTATCCTTTTCCATATATATTATATGTTATACGTATATCCTCCATGCAATATTGTTCAGGCGATGTTATTCTATCTAAAATTAAATATGTAGTAACATATTTACTGAAAAATGTTTGAAATCAATAGAAATATAATTAATCTCCTATATCTATGATGACATTCAAATTTAAGATATGAAAATGATATGTCACTCACTTACTACACTGACTCTGCAATCAAAATTCATATAATATAATAAAATTAGTATTTGTTGTTTACACATAAAATTTAAGAATTATCTATTACCCAAATCTTATAAACACACACTAAATCTATAAATAATAAAAAAGTACTAAGGTTGGAGAACCACTTCTTTAACTTAAAAAAAAAGTTTTGATGATTTGATGATGACGATGAAGAGACAGGATGTTAGCCAAAAATTGTAGTAGCTTTTATGTGGTTTTTTACTTTGAGAATCATAGTAATTCTGGTTCATGGAGTATCAACTTCATGCCACTATAACTAGAAGGGAAAAAATCTAAGAGATTTGTTTTTTCATTTACTTTATATTGCAATCCCGAATTAAATTCAAAGACCTAAAATATACACAAAAAGTCTTAAATAAAATTTCATAGTAATCAGATAACAAACAACAAAACTTAATTGTGTAGTTAAGTTAACTTGACCATTTTCTTACAGGAATGTATGAATTGTATCAGAATGTAACTACTTTTACCTTGAGCAAAATTTTGTGGAAGTCATTTTAGCTTTGATAATAGCCTTTATAAGTATGTTTTATAGTGTGTTGGTTCTTACAATCATGCTCATGTTTTATCATCTCAATTCTTCTCTAATTACGCTTATTACTTAGTATTTCCAAAGCTGTATAAATATGAACAATGAACATGATATGATATTAACCTTTATTATATTTACGCACAACTGACCAAATGGGCATCGGAGTGCACAAACAGAGTCTATTTTTATTTATCATAAGAATTTAATTTTGAACAAAATTTGACATCATGCAATTTCAATAAATATGTTAAGAGATATTTTAGTTATTGAATAACTAACAAATTTAGGTGAAGCCATAGGGAATAGCTATCTTCTAATATAAATATCTTAACTACTCACCTGGAAAAACATCCATGTAGGATACTCTCCAAGCTTAACAGCAATACAAGCTCCAAGAGCAATAAACACAGTGGATATACTGTCACAGCCATGATCAAATAGCTCTCCAAGGGGGGACTGGCTTCCTGTCCTCCTTGCCTGCTTGCCATCAATAGCATCAAGGCTCTGATATACAAAAACTCCTAAAGCACATAAGGCACATGCCCATCTTGGTGGATCTTGTCTTGCATCTGGACTGTACCTAAAAATTCAATAACAATGATAATAAATATAATTTGTAAAAATTATCATAATTGTTAAGAAAATTCAAATGACACTATATATGGTGTAAGTATAGCTTAATACTATGTTCACAAAAAAATAAAAAAATACCATTCCCGATTATAAAAGTAGGTTAAATGAAAGTATAACTAAATATTTTGAGGAAAAAAATGAAAGTTGCTATAGTATTGTATCGAGAGTTGTGACACAGTTTTCGCAATATAAAAAACTTGGTACAATTACTTACCAAACCAGAATGAGAGTAGTAACTATATTTATAATTAAACCTAATATAGTGATGAGATTCGGTGCAAGCCATAGCGGCGTTTTAGAAACCAGCCAGCACCACCATGGCTGGAGCCATGCATCGAGTAAGCTGGCACTGCTACAAGAATATTTGTGTTCACTTAGTCTTTTTAACTGAGCAGCGTTGAGAATCCTCTCCTTATAAAACTGCATTTTTCGACACTGTCACGACATTTAACAAAATAACACAAAATTTCTAGATAAATCACACGTTAAACGCAACTTTTATTTGGTAGACGCAAGAAATTCACTGAACCCTCGCGTTTGCAAACGTCAAATTGGCAAGTTGCGATTTGCGAAGTCTCGTCAACTGACAGCTTTAACGTGTTGTATTGTGTCAAATTATACGATTGACGGCTGACATCATATGACAGCACTACGTATAGAAGTTGTCTCTTGCTATGATTTACACAGATGTCGCCATTATAAATAAAGTGAAGTGAAGTGTCTCTTGCTAGTTGCTAGCTCAAAGTCTTATATAATATAAATGTTAATGTCCTCACAGAGTATAATTGTTTATTTGAGACATTCATTTATAATTCATATTTAAATACGGGATAATTGTATACCTTTTTTATTTCATGAAAACATACGAGCCACTGGCCAACTCTTTACGCATAAATATGTATTATTATTTATTGTTTAAAAAAAGATAATAAATATATAAACTTTATTATCTGTCAAGCGATAGGCATGACCTACTAACGCCAAATGTTGTATGGAACGTAGACGCTGACGGACTATGGTATAGACCAGGCATCAGAATACAGCGTGTGAGATAGCGAATGATCGACATATGTCATACTTACAGTTTTGATTCATTGAAGATTGCTTACTATTGACCAAAATACACATTCGAATGAATAATTCTTAAACAAAGTTACTGAGTCGTGACAAAATAAGCTACTTACCGATGAAAGGTGTTTGGTTCTTTACGTTCACTATAGCTTTTACAGCCAATTATGCAACAATTCACCACGACTGACACTTTAAATACACCTCTTATAAGGATAAAGTCTTAAAATATGGGTTTGACTTGGGTTTCACCGATTTATCAGTAAGCGGTGAAAACTTGTTTACCACCAAGGGCTCGGTCGTAAACAAATAAAACCCGATTCGCAAATAGGGACAGAAAAACTGATACTCTGTTTCGCTCGCACTTAAGTATTTCACGTTAATGCCTTCTCTCTTTAGTTATTATTGTTATTTTAGAAGCTCATCTAGTTCTATACTCTATCTACGGTATGGAACATCCAGGGCGCCACAAGCGCTCACGACGACACGCCACGACCGCTGATTTCCCCATCCACTGAGTGAATGTTACTGTCGTAACTCAAGGGAAGGAATGGAGCGTTCGGGCGTTCATGTAAATATACAAAGCAAGTTTGAAAATAGAGAATAAGGAGGAGGAACAAAACAAAAGTGATATGGACAAATTATATGTAAAAGGAAGAAAAGAAATTATAAAAATTTGGGAAGTTATCAAACAACAAGTAAAATAACGAAAGGCTACAATTCCTTCTGAACAAAAAGGATTCTTGTCGCCATCTAAGCTTTGAAAAATAATAATTATTGTCAATTTCAAAAATTGCGCCAAATATTCTCAACGTTCACAACGACCACCTCTAGATGGGTCGTTGTGGCGTTGCGTGGCATTTGTCACGTCATGGGACGTTTTCGCCGTGACCACAACGACCGCGGTCGGTATGTGGAAGGCAAAGGGCATTTTGATCGTCGTGAGCGCTTAGTGGAACATCCATGTAAATACATCACGTCCCATCACGTGACAAGCTTAAGTTAATGTAATTCTCATACAAATTCCTTTGCTGGTAGTAGGTAGCTGGAAGGGTCACGCCTGTCGTAAAGTGATTTATTCTCAAGCCCTGGATATAACGAAGAAAGGCAGCATCGAAATATATAGAATCAGACCGCTTCTATTAGAGTAATTAATTAAGAACATCATGGCAATTCCTTTTTGATAGAGCTTTTTTAGGAAATCATCTTTCATCAGTTGAAATCTTTATTTAACAATAATAATAATTACAATATATGAAATAACGTCAAATACTCTTTTTAAAGATTAAACCAAACATAATGGGCAATTAATCCACTTTTATTATTAACTTTTTGTAGGGTACCGTTTAATTTTTTTTAATTTTAATTTTATCACATGCAAGTAAAACATTGGAAAATATTAGAATGACATACAAACTGAATACTTTAAGAATTTCTCATGATTGTTTTTATTTCTCTATCTCTTACATTTGATATTTTTTATAAATTATAAATGATCTAAAAATGTTACAGACGTTACCTTTATTTAGGGAATACCGTGACAATTTGGAATTATTAGGCGTTTTATGTTATTTTTTAAGTAACGTGTACTAGAATAGGTCTAAAACTATCTAAAAATATAATGCATTTAAATCTTTGTGCTGCGACATATCATTAAAGTTTTCTTAGCGGGTAACACTATATAGAATATTTACATAATGGTGAAAGTTAATACAAATTTTTATTTCTTTAACATTTTTTTATAACTAGTATATTATATACACAAACAGATTAAATACATAGTTTTATCTCAATATATTTGAATTAATATGTTTCGATATTTTTGTGATTGATATTATATTTTTATATTCATTAACATTTATTTAATTATAAAACATTTAATCAAAAAAACAAAAATCACAGACTCTTGTCAATGGGGAAAACATATTCTCATCTCTCAGACGCAATAAGATTGTCGAATATCTTTTCTGAAGACAGTAAAGCTTAGATTCCGAAATGAATTTAAACATCGCCTTTAACCTCGTAAAGAAATTATCTGAAATGTAAATACGCTAGAATCTAAAGATATCTTTCACCGTTGTGAAGGTTCATCCTATGGAAGTTGGAACCTATAGAACGTGAAACACGCATCTGCAAAAACCGTATCAAAGAAATGCGACTCCTTGCCTATCTGGCCTTTGCCTGGTTCTTTCGGGATTCAATTCTCTTCTGCAGCGTGATGAGCAGGGCTCCGAGGACGTTGTGACCCGGTAAGCGCTTGCCGAACAGAAGACGTTTCACAGAGTCGTCATATGTGAGTAAAGCTACCATGTTTTGGAGGAGGAATCCTTGGCAGTACTCTAGCAGTTGAGTAGCACCATATACCTATTAAGAAATTATTTTAATTTATTATAAAAGATGTATTAAAGTAAACTTCGGTCGGAGAATTAACCTTATGGTAGGGGAGCCCAAGAGGGGATTTCGGGATTTACTAAAGCGCGGCAGATTAATATACAGGGGGATAGCTTGTACTCGGTTAAGTACCTCCACAAAACATGAGGTCCATATATAAGGCCGCCTGTGAAGGAGACAGGATCAGATTAGTAAAAAAAAATTGACCATCAGAAATTCCCGAGCGCATCAGATTAAGGTAGGGTGAGTTAATTACATCCTAAAAAGTGTATATTCCACTAATCTGACAATTTGAGAGTGACGTAAAGAAAGGGGAGGGCAACAAAGTTGTAAAAAAAAAACGTCATCTCGACATTCTCGAGCGTAGCTAAATTTTTTTTTATTTTGAAGGAAATAATTCAAGAATAATTCATTCATCATCGATCAACTTCAAAAACTAATCCGCCTTTGAGCTTGAAAAACCACGTCGATCGCCACCAAGCTGGTCAAAAGCGGTTGATTCGTTCGAGAGATATCGTGAACGAAAGAAACCCGAAAAAGTGTTTTTTCGGGATTACTCCGAAATTTGTGGTTCGATCAATTAAAATTGCAACATACATTATTACATATGAGGATGATAAAACTGCGTCGAATGCCGCCAACCGCGTGAAAATTGCTTGATCCATTCAAAAGTTATTGCGGTTTGAAAATTCCAAAAATAGTGTTCTATGAAACTTCTATTAGACTTTCGAGCTGGTAGAGCTCAAATGCATGGAAATATTATTTCTTTGAACTCAGCGAGCTCAAAATATCAATTTTAAGCGCCCAGGAATGGAATTAGCGGGAAGTTGCAGGGATGGCCCTTTAGGTGAACCGTTTTTCTATTTTTTTTTTGTCAGATCAGGCGAATCCCTCTAGATAATCGTCAGATTATGAGACAGTACGTTTAGAACATAAAGATGAACCACATATATCTTAATCTGACGCGCTTGAGTATTTCAAAATTGCGATTTTTTTTGCAAATTATGAAAATGGCTGTGGGTATGCGTCCCATCGAAATCGTCAGATTAGTGAATGAGAGCTTTTTTTTGGTGCACTTAACACTCCCTTAGAAAATCTGACGCGCTCGATAATTTTTTTTTTTTTTCATTTTCAACCCTTAAATACAACCACCCGCATCATGCAAACGATCAGATTAACATACGTACATTATTAAAAATACGTAGGGCATAGATGCTATCAATATCTGACGCGCTCGAGGATGTCCATGCAACAGTTTTTTTTTACATATTTAACTATCTATAGCCGCTTCCCCCACCGATGAAAAGGAATTTATCATATTACATTTTTTTCTTCTTATTATCTAAGCTTTGCATCCCAATAGGTCTCTACGACGCTCGAGTAAATCCCCATTTAGCATCGTGGGCTCCCCTACCATTATACTATGGGCAGAATTGAGGATGAGAGAGTTAATATTTGTGCATTATAAGACCGTTAGTACATTGTATACCACAGATTAAGTGTCGTGTCTCAGCACTAAGTATGGCTCCCGTATGTCCAAGACGTACGTGATTTGTCATACGAGAGTTAAGCTTAGCTCTAAGTCCGGCTGTTAATTTTACTTTAACACTAGCTGCTAGGTACCTCAAATGTTCCTAAAGACAAAATAAATAATAGTTAAAAAAAACTAAAAAACACGCTTTTAAAGCACATCAAACTAAAAAGTGAAAAATAATTCCTAATTTAGGCTGAAAATGGTAATGAACAAAAAATACTGGTATTATTGTGAAAAAGCGTGGGTTGCTCGATAGACGAAAAATATAGCACAGAGCGCCACACAGATTTTTCACTTTTTAGTTTGATGTGCTTTAAAAGCGTGTTTTTTAGTTTTTTTAAACTATTATTTATTTTTTATTTTTTAGTTTATTTTTTTTTATTTTTTTCTTATTTTTTTTTCGGATTATTGCATTGTCATCGATCTTTGACAGGTGCGCAAAGTTTGAATTAAATCTGTCCGTTAAAAGTGGGTCAAAATCGAGTCCGAAGGAGTCGGTTACATACATACATACATACATACAGGTGAAGCTAATATAAAGCGTGTAATGAGGGTATTACTACAATAGTCAATATTTCAATCAAAGTACTCTTTGGTTAGATATTTAGAAGAGCAATTTGATTTTACCTTAGCATGGATATAGACGGACACCAGATTATGCAGGTCGACAGACTTGGCGGCACGCGCTTCGCAGTGCCTTTGAAGCGGTAAGAGCTGGAAGAAAGACGCAGCAGCCAGCACTTCCAGTACGTCACTTTCTGGGATATCCAGGTTGGAACAACCACCGGAGTATAGGTATTTCATTACTTGCTGAAATAATTTAAATATAAGTGATTATATGATTCGACAGTTTAGGTGACATTATTGAATATTTATTTTAATTTTTGTTGGGAATGTCGGGTTCTGTAAGGCTAATTATTTATATCGATAATGTGATTCTTTTAGTATTTTTCTCATCTCATAATAAGTGAAAGACTCCGTAACTGAAGTTAAATTGTTTCTACCAAAACATAAAAGCTTTTAAGGAATGGAGGTACTTACCTCAAATATATGATATCGAATATCATTAATCTGCACGAGTGGTGGCGCCGTGTTGGCCGGTGGAAGGGCCTCCGCGGAGTTCCGAGCCGGGGCCAACATGGACCGAAGCCGAGGCGATTCCGACACCAACACTATCTTGTGTCCGTAGAACAAACGACCTTCCACTCTGTGAATATAACGGAAACGTATTAACTTGTATGAAGATAAGAAGCGATAATAGGTAAAAAAAATATTTAAATTTAGCAGTTCTTTAAAGGTTAATACCTGAAAGTGACGTCAGCCAGCGACGGGTTGTTGACGTACGAGACGTCTACTCGCGCGGGCGCAGCCGTAGCGGGGGGAGGCTCGCGCACGCCCGGCACCGCTTCCCAGCCGTAACACGCGCACAAGATGTCCGCCAGCAGGAGGACTGTGCCTTCCTTCTGCGAGATACGCTTATTTATATTTATGTACTTGCGCTACAATATTGTCGCGGTGTATATATTCGTTGTAATCCAATAAAAATGAAAATGTAAAAACAATATGCAAATGCAATTTATAGCAATACTAACTGTAATTTATATATATTGTTATTACCTTGCTGTATCTTAAAATATTGAAAAGCAGGGGAAGACACTCGTAGATGAACTGCTTGCTGTAGTGGCTGTCGTCACTCGGACACACCTGGAATAATAATTGCAATATTCAGAATGGTTTTCTTTATACAGCCTTTCCCAGCGGCCCTTATATTCACTAAGTAATAACTAAAAACTCCATAATGAGTAAGAAGTACCTGTAAGAAATCTTGTAGGAGTTGGTCGATGACGTGGTCAAGAGAGGCCTCTGCTGCAGCAGCTAAGGACAGCGTCCAGGCATGAAGGGACCATGGGACTCCGAGAGCTCGCAGCTCCAGAGTTATATCTGATGATTGCATTCGATTATATTTTCTATATTTTTAATTTTTTTGTTCGTTTTAAGAACCACCCATGTAGTAACCCCCGTCAAAGCGAGTTTATTGTTTGAATGCAAAAATATGAATGAATACAGAGTGATTCACATAATATAAATAGACAAAATAAATATTTATAAAAAGAAGCACACCAAGATGATCGGTTTCAGCGGCGCAGTACATGGCATCTTGCAAAGCTCGCTGCTGCTGCTTCGTGAAGGGTGGAGGCCGGCCAGCGGCAGGCGGAGCCCCTTCCGCGAGTACTTCTTCTAAAGAGAGAACAGCTCGGCCTCCGCCCCCTCGGACTGCGGCTCGAAGGCACGCCCGACGCCCGTGAGTGCAACATACGGCTACCGCGCTGCCAAATTATCAATCGTTGACTCACAAGAAACTGGTTTTGATCAATTGTATTGTACACATTAACAATTAACGAGTGCACACCTGTAGCAGCCATACTGAGCAGCTGCCGAGTAACAGAGAGCGTCGGTGAGTTGCGTGGACAGGAAGGGGTCGGCTCCGTGCGATAGCAACAACTGAACTAGCTCGAGGTTGCCCACGCCGCAAGCCACCTGCAAATGTTTTAGCACTTTAACTGTAGTGTTACGGCGAAAGACTGTAGTAAGTGCCAATAACTTTTCATAATAGTTAGGGTTAATCTAGTTATTTTTTTTAAACTTAGGTAATATAGTACCTGCAAAGGTGTTAGCGTACAGACATCCTCCCCTCTGGCGGGTGCGCCGTCGACTCGTGCGCCGGCAGCGAGCAGTCTTCGAGCGGACTCCACCGCTCCCGACCCACTTGCGCCTGCGCCACTGCATGCATATACTAGGGCTGTCCAACCTATTATTCATAAAAAAAGGAAATTTATTGATATTATTTTAACTGCTAGGTCCATCCATATCCACACGATGTAAAGATATCTTTTGTTATAAAAAAAAAAAAAAAATAACAAATTATTTACCCGCAGAGGGCGGAGTATAAGTGTTGGCGGGAGAGTTGTTGAGGTGAGATGAGTGCGGATGATTCGGCGAGCGAGAAGGCGACAGCAGTGCATTGTGCTGAGCTGCTAAGCCTCCTGTTTCGATGTTTGGGTCTGCCCCTGCTTCTAGCAGCATCTGGAAAATGTTAAATGTATATAGTTGAAGACAACCTTATTCTGGAATATGACATCAATCATAGATCAAATGTTAATATTCTCATTCTAAGCAACCTCACCGCCACAACTTGTTCATCTCCTGCCAAGGCAGCCTTCATAAGCGCAGTGAGCCCCGAAGCGTCGGTGGCGTCGATCCCAGCAGGGGGCAGCAGAGCTCTGACTCCGCTGAGAAACTCCGCTCTACCACTCAACAAGGCTCTCTGCGCCAGGCCCAAGGCTGCTCGACTCACTTCATCCGTAGTCCGCGTACAGCGCGACCAAGCCGGTTCTATCGCTTCTTCCATGCTGAAATGTTGTATAGATGACGTTTTAATGACGACCACGAGTTTGTTGGTTAATATGACAAGAATTTTGGTAAGAAATAAAAATGGGAAGATGGAATTTTTGGTTCCAACTAACAGCAATTTAATTGTTGATTTCGTAAAAAGTATGAACCGGTTCAATAACGGTATGTCTAAACTCTAAAATGTTACCAGTCAAATTATCAATAAAATAAATGAAAACTTAGTTAATTGTGAAAAAATAGCAGAACAACACTAACGTGATGGGTCTGGGTGGGCAGTCAGCGTGCGGCAGTAACAACCGAGCCGCCTGCAACACGTCGTCAGCGTCTGGTACTGCAGGAGGTGGTCGTAAGGCAGCGTGTGCACGCGCTACCCGCACCCATTCACCCAAAGGTGGCAACGCCCCTGCGCCCCTTTCGCCCCACAGGCCTCCTGCCCCCCCACACGCTCCCGCTCCTGCTGATGCCCCACTAGTGCTGTGCTCCAACTGAAGCATAGACTATTATTAACAAATACATCTTGTTTTAATTATTGTTTTTTTTGTGAAAGAAGTGAGACCAACCTGAGAACACCTCATAAAGTAATACAGGGCTCGTTCCCCGGCGGGGGACAGAGGTGGATGTCTAGGGCTGAGCTGCCTCAACACGGCCCTGAGTTCTCCCGCAGATCCGGCACACGTTGTCAGCAGCACTGAAGCCCCGGACCCCGCGGACCCGTTGGTGCCCGCTGACTCTGATGTACTCGTGTTGGAAGCTGATGTACCGGACCCTGCTGAAAAATATTATGCTATCTTGTGTCTCATCCTGGGAGTATGAAATTAACACAGTTTTTGCTATGAAGTGATTTCAAGCCAATGCCGCAAATCTGATCTATGAAATTGCAAATCATGTTTGTGAAATTATTCCTTGTTTCATCAAAGCCAGTGTTCCGAGTCCATTCAATTATCAATAAATTATGTAAACACCTTTTGTTTGTCAACCAAAAAGATCACCAAGTTAATTTCTAAGATAATGACACAGTAAAGTTAAAGAAAACTCAAAGAAACTTGATATATAATTTACCAGATCCATTGGTGGTGATACCAGAATCATGACTCATGCCCAACTGTCTGTTCTCAGGCCGAGGAGCCCCTGACGATGACCCGGAACCGGATCCTAAAGAGCTCATTGATTCCCAGCGCGACAAAGATAGAGCTCCTGTAAAATGTATTAACCATGTTACAATATTATGAATAGTCAACGAGTTCAAAGGGGGATATTAAAAAAAAATAAAACCTGAAAGCCTAATACAATATTGAGGCATACCTGAGGCTACTCTGCCAGCGTTTAAGTGACTGTAGGGTTGCAAAAGGCCCCATAAATCAGCGCAATTGGCCACCGCATGGTCAATGGCCGCAGGCGTTATAGGAGCAGCAGCAGCGCCACTGCCTGATATCAGAGCTATCTCTTCCAGCAGAGTCTCCATTCCCGCACAAAGATATATGGCTGCATACCTTTAAGAAAAAAATATGGGTTTTTCATAGAAGGGAAGAATTTAAATTTAATAGTTATAGTTAAATGATTTCGGCTTTAATATGTTTTTCCCAAATGAATAAATTCCATTTGCTTAAAAATAGTAAATATAAATAATTATACACACTCGTGAACAAAGGAAGCGACGCGTACGTCAAGCATCCATCTAAGGAAGCGGCCTGGTGCGAGACTTGTACGCGCACGCGCAGCCGATCCCAAGCGCCTTGCCGCACTACCTGATGTCGCGTACATTGTCGCTGCACGTTGACAACCCTACGGAATGCGTTATTTTCAGCCCACTGGATTAGGAGTCGGTGATAGGATTAGATCTTTTTCAGTTCACCACTGTGTCTATGCTGAATATTTTTAGATGTATTTTAATATAATTCCATTTGTCGCTGAAGTTTTACATGTAGTCAAACTATATATGTGTTTTAGTGGTTTATACATAATTTCGAAAGGTGGATTTTGATTCCAAGTTCTTGGAGCCAATCACTCTTAGCCTCTTAAAGAATACGTCTAGTTATTGCTACCTTTATGCAAGAATCAGCTAACGGCGTACTGAGTATGATTCTGAAAGCTCCTGCGACTTCGTGCTTAGAGCAGAAGCCAAAGTTCTGCGAGAGGCGCTGAGCTTCGCGTGCTATGCGGACTAAGGCACTGAAAAAAATAATATTATCAATCAGTAACCTAGAAACTTTGAGCGGTTAAGTTTAAAAATTAGGTTTTTTTGACAGACTAGGAAGAGAAACACAAAAGTGAGTGAGAGAGATAAAAGAAGAGATGATGATGAACCCGTTTACAGTTTTTAATTCAACCAAAAATCGAGGGTTTCAAAGGCGTAAGAAATGTGTACCGTTGCAACAAGTAAGCCAGTCGTGGCGGCGCATCAGGCGCCATCCTAGCGGCGGCTTCGCGACAGCGGCCGGTCTGCAGTGCCCGGCTGACCTCGCCTGCCGTCCAAGGGACGCAGCGGAGCTCCACTAGCCTGTGTATAATTATTTGCAACAATGTAATAACAAACAAAATCTGTTTGCCCGCCTATATAATAAGTTAATGTATAAGATTTATTCACATAACAAAAGAATTACAAATTGGAGAATAATAACCTATTGTGAGAGTCGACCCAGACAAATTCGTCAGCGCTAGTGACGTTGGTGCAAACCGTGTCCAATGACGGCTGTCGTACCAACGGAGCTCGACGTCTTCTGGCCTCTGCCGCGCTGCCAGTCTCTGTAATGGATCGCATATTTTAAAAAAAACACATAATTTTTTAATCGTATATTTTGCGCCAAGTAAAAAATAAAACACATAACTAAACAATTTTTATATGAATAAGTATAAAGTAAAAAGCATATGTTATGTAGTATATAGGTGCCTATGCTAGTTTTATACACTCGATTTTACAAACTCGAAGCTAGGGATTTAGAACAATTTATAAATCACATAACTAACATACATATAAATCGAAGTCTAAGTAACACCAGAATGCTTGTGATAACTACGTACCTTGGGCATTGTTGCTTCCTCCTCCACCGCTTGAAGCACCACTGGTAGCGGTGCTGCTGCTGTCTCTTGAGCGCAGCGTGAGCTGTTTGATAGCAGACCGGATGTCTTCCAGTCCACCACCTCCAGGCCAGGGTGACTGTAACTAAAGTATTTATTATATTCACTGAAATATAGATTGGAAATACAAAAACGTCTCCGACAAGTTTGTGTATCTGTTGTGTCTCAGTTTTCGTGTATTATATGAAGAAAATAAATCACTTAGGTAAGTTGTTATGAAATGCAATAAAACAAAAACGTATATAATCTGCAAGGTTAAGTAAAATAGATTTCAGTGTCTTTAATCACGCATATTGTGTAAGCAACTAGTGTACGTACAGCACTTGTTGAAAAAAAATATCTATTTACCTTATTATGCGGTCTATGCTTGGTTCTTGCATGTGGTGGTTGTCTCGACCTTCTGGGCTCGTCCCGTCCAGCTTCCCCACCACCACCACTGTCGGACATAGATGCATGACCGGAGGATCTGTTTTCATCGGAACTGCTGTTACACTCGCGGACTCCATTCTGAAATTTGTTAAGTTCATGTTATGGAACTTTCAAAAAACTTTTAGGTTTTTGGCGTCATTTCGTAAAACTTCTAAATATAATGTAGTTAAGGCAACTAAGACCAAACAGCTCCATTTTTGTAGAACATAAGAAACGAAACAATTTTTTCTTACAATGAATATTGCGCAACAACAAGACGCAGTGGAAAGTTCATCGCGAGTGCAATCTGCAATGAATGAGCAGTTTTAGCTTCATTCATCATTTGTTCTTGCTCGTTAATTAGCCGCATCACGATTACCGCATTTACCTGAGCGTTATGTAGCGAAAGTTATAAAAACTGTAGCCATTGTCTGTCTCTCCCACGATCTCGTCGAAGAGCTGTGGGAAGATGGATTGTTGAAAGCGAAAGCAATCCGCGCTTTTATAGGAACAAGTGACTCTTCTAGTGGATAATAATCGTCAAATTAACCGCGTTACGTTGACAAGCATGATTCAATAAATGCGAACTACTTCGTATCAATCGGATGCATTTAATAAACGTGTTCTTATTTATTTTTTCTTTGGAAGTGAAATCTATTGTCTTTTATGTATTGTTTATGACGTCATAAAGGTTTTAAAAAAGACGTGAACGTTTTTTTTAAATGATTTTAGAGACGCCGTAGCAAGTGCTACGAAGGTCATACTATGCCTTATAGATATGGTAATCGGCAGTGACTCTATTTCTTGTGTCTGTCTATTAAAGATGGCTAGTAAAAAAAACATTAATCGGAAACACTAGTTTGTGGGCAATTAAAATCAAAGCTCAAATTATAAGTAAAATGTTAGAATGGCGTGCTGGTCTCACTTAACGCATTAAAATTGTACCGAATCTAGCTGATCACCTCAACAGAACGATAAATATACCGTAACACGGTTACTGTTGAAACGGTAACAAATTATTGTAAATTATCACACTAGTTGAATATAATGGATTATTTTTCCGACCCAAATATCGACCAATAGAATTGCACCATTCGACGTCACGTGGTACAACCTACATGGTATTATACTGATAATTTTTTGAAAATTTTCCCTGGTAGTTGCTTCAAGAAAAGTATAAGTAGTTGTTTTATTCATTATGAAATTCTTATTTGTTAACTGTACATTTCGTCTCATGGTGCAATTCTATTGGCCGACATTTGGGGGGTCGGAAATATCGGAGTACCACGAAATAAGTCGTCAAGTTTTTCTTAAACTTGACTCCTTCATTTGTTTGCGTACCGGGCCCGATAATTTTGAAGCCTTGTGGTATTATAATGGACAATTATATTCAACTAGTTTATGTTTTGAAATACGCGAGATTAACGACTTGAATTAGTCTACATACTTTAGAAAATAATTCAATATTTTTAAACAATCCTTCCACAGAGGCAGGTATGTTATGGTATAAATATACGTAGGTATGTACAAGAAAAACTGTCCCTTGAAAAAGGAGATGCCCCAGATTTTTTCTGATATAAAATTTAACATTTTATTTAGTTTCAAGCTTGCGGTCGCTAATTTAGATTTAAATTATTATTTGTTATATTTGAGCTAGTATCGCTGTTTAAAAAAAACTGTTCAGGGACTTTTTTGAGCTCTAACAGTGTACATATAACTAAGTCCTACCCAAAATTATAGTAATATTTATGATTTTGAATATCGGAATCATATCTCAGTCTAAAAATTTCGAATAATATCAATATCAAACAAATGACGTCAGATCCATTCTATTACTAATTTTAATTTATCTATTATATAGGCTTTATAATGAAGAGTTTATTATACATAATAAATTTTAAGTCAAAATAACTTAGTGTATTATGGCACGGTTGAGTGACTCAAATGCTTTACGATGGTAAGAGCTTACAGGGCTGCCAACTGTTGTAAATAAAACATAGACCACGCCACAAATGATAAGTAATATTATAGTAAATAAGGCTATTTACAAAAATATTTCAAAGTCAGCCAACTCAGCAGAGAAAAAAATCATATTTTTGTAATACTGTATCGGAATTATTACATAAGTTTACCAGATATATTTAACGAAGTTTGCAAAGTACAGTTAGACAGAGCGGGAATTCAATAACATTTATCACAGTAATTAGGTAGTAAACAATTAAGCGGTAATTAGTGTGTTTCGTGACCGCCCCCAGCCTACTTTTGACCCAGACGGCTATTTCAGATGTATTCTGGGTCATATCCGGGATTCTATCACTTTAAGTGAACGTAGTCTCATAATATTAATTGACAATAAAGTCACTTTTACGTAAAATAAAGTATGAGTTTTATGTTATCATTTATAATGAACATCACACGACTTTTTAAGACACAATGTTAACAAAAGTTCGAGAACCCTGCATATGCTTATCTATGCTGACGTTTACGAGTCATAATATGCGTTCCGATACAGCTAGTAAATGGGTATAAAACTTATTTAACTTATTTGTTAAAAGTTATTTGCCATAACAGCGAACATAAACCAAACTTACACAACGCAGCAGCGTTAAATCATGAATATTTGCACGTAACTATTAAGCGGTAGTTGGTTTTGCATATTCGGGATTAAAAGGAATTATAATAATATTATAGAGACAAGTTTATTAATATCAGATATTAAGGTTGTAGCGTACTTAATCTTACAACCGTTCAATGCGATAAGTATCTATTAGTACTCTCACGTAATGTAATTTAATTCTAATAATTTTTGCTTTTTCAAACTAAATTATAACTAACTTAAAATCGTAATGATATTATAGAACGATTGAGGTATGTTTGCAATTAAAAATAAATATTTCAGTAGCGCAACAGCCTTTTCAGGTATATGCCTCAGATTTCTGTTTCTTTTTCATGGTTTGTCAACTAGGCAAGTAAGTGATCAGCCTGTGTCGGACACACGACGTCGACTTTTTTTGGGTCTAAGGCAAGTCGGTTTCCTCAAGATATTTTCGTTATTACCGTTCGAGCGAATGTTAAATGCGCACATTTAAGGAAAGCATATTTGCACTTACTATTGATAAATATGAATGAAGCGTTATTTTTATGAGCTTTACGCTAGTAATAAATATGGATGTTTGGTTCTGGTCAAGATCAATCAAAGCACTTGCTAATATTAGGTCCTTACATATGAAATTGGCGTTTTGTATGGGAGGAACAAAAAGTCGAATACTTTTAAATATAATATATTTAATTAATCAAAGTATGAACCATTGTTTTCTATGCACTTTTGCCATCTCATAGGTAGTTCATTGATCCATTTACTAAAAAAACCAGTCGGACGGGAATCAATAAAATCTGTGAAGGCGATTTGGACTGCCCCATCAGAGTTAAATTTTTTCCCTTGCAAGAAGTTGTCCAAATTTCGAAAAAAAATGGTAATCTGTTGGAGCAAGGTCCGGGGAGTAAGGAGGATGTCTTAGACATTCCAATTGAAGCTCTTCTAATTTGGGATCCGTCTGTTGTGCAGTGTGTGGTCCAGCGTTGTCGTGAAGTAGCAGTGGCGTGAAGCGATTGACCAGCCTAGGTTGTTTAGCCGCTAGCTTTTCCATCATGGTTTGCAATTGCTGACAATAGCCGTAATAGTCTAGCCAGATTTGAGAAAACTGCAATGAACAATACCGGCACTAGTCCACCAAACGCTTACAAGTAACTTTTTTGGGGTTAATTTTCGCTTGGGGGCTGGGGCAGGATTTGGCTGGCTGGCCAGGATCCAACCATTGCGCTGAGCGCTTCCGATTATCGTAAAGAATCCATTTTTCATCACAGGTAATGATTCGGTTTAAAATACCTTCATTATTGTGCCGGTTCAGTAATGTAACGCCGCAGTCGACGCGCGTTTGCCGGTTTGCTTCAGTCAATTCGTGAGGTACCCATCTTTCAAGCTTTTTAATCTTCCCAATTTGCTTCAAGTGAATTAAAACAGTTTTATCACTAACACCGCAGCCTGCAGCTAACCGGGACGTGGTTTGCGATGGATCCGCTTCCACAATAGCCTTCAATACTTCATTATCAACTTGGGTCTCAGGCCGTCCACGGGGCTTGTTCTGCAGGTCGAAATTTCCAGAACGAAAACGTTGGAACCAAAACTGTGTTTTCTTTTGCAACATAACCGCTATACACATCATTCACCCTTCGAGTCGTTTCCGCAGCACTAAGGCCACGGCGGAACTCGAACTCTTAAATAATGCGATACTTTAAGTTTTCCATTTTGTAAAGTGAGTTCCATGAGTGACGCAAACAGAAAAAAACAAATGAATGACGGTCATCGAAGCACAAATACATGAGTAAATAGCTGTACAAATTTGAATTTGAAATTCCTTACCAAAGAGGAGAACTTCGTGATTAAAGTGGCCAGTACGAAATACGCCAATTTCATATGTAAGGACCTAATATATTAACCGGAAATTCTCAGCCCACTTCAATGCGGTAATTCATGTGCGTTTAACATATGGTTTAATTAAAATTACATTTATGTAACCAAATTCACTAATAGATTGGGAAAGTTTTCGAAATTATTAATATGATTATGTAAACTCATATAATTATGGAAGATTACTCAATAAATTTCTGTCTCATATTTGTAACAAATGCCAAAGTTAAACTTTTGTTTAGATATAAATAATTCTTTTGTTTAACCCATTTAAAAACGGGTTTTTAAACATATGTAGATTAAAAATCTTTCAGTTAATAGAGTAACTGTGTTTCAAAAATGCATTTATATGATATGTAAATATTCATTATCATTAAAATTTTAGCATTGAATATATTTGCTCTTTAGTCATAAAGATATATAAAATACCTGTTGGGGTGTATCAGCAGGTCGGTCGTGTTTGCGCCGTTCTAGAGCATAGCTGCTTAGGGCTGGGGCGCTTTTGACGGGCGTGCTAGCCGCCGTCACTGGGGATACCGCGCTTATTGCCTTCAGCTGCGCCCCACTTGGGGCCTCTGGAGCCTCCGTCCGAGAATCCTCAGGGTTGGCTGCAATAAGATCAAAAGAGAGATACTTCAGCTAAACTTTTTATAATAATGAGGATAAGTAAAAGGCAATATTTTGTATAAATTGCAACTTTACGTGCTATTTATTATAATAATTTAAATATTCATAATTTTTATTCATATATATTTCTTAACATTTGTATATAATTTAATTACTCTTTACCGCGTACGTCGAAATTCTTGCTTAATAAATGACCTTATTAATAAAAACTTTTTAACTACCTATTTTAAATATCCTTCCACTTAAACTCGTTAACTTAAGAGTTAAATATGTTCGAATAATCGACTCCTTACGACATGTGCAATACAATATTGCTTCACCAACAAACGCAAAACGAATGTCATTAGAAATTAAATTCTTGCACATTCACATTTAATTTGATACATTGGACACAGCGTAAAATATTGGGAATAAGCGTAAAATAGCAAATATATTGGGAAAATTTTACCATGAATATTATCGCATATGGCCATAGCTTTTTTTGGTTAAAACTTAAAACCATCATCTAAACTGCAAGAACTTGCTTCATAAGAAAGGAAATCAGCATGCTTATGAATTAACGTACCTACCTAGATGAGTAAAACGCTAATTTCTCTAATAGCTAACCACATTTAGACTTGTGGTTACAACGGTAAATATTTATTAATTTAGTTCTTCATTCAGTCATCCTTAACACCTCATCGATCTCTTCAAATCAATGGCTTTGGCCTTTGAGGTCGTTTATCGAAGCCCTAATTCAATAACGTTTGAAAGTAGCCACTTTATACTTCTTACTCGTGATTCACTCCTTACCGATGAATAGAATGTTGCAATCGACAAGCATAATCACAGGCGGAGCACATAAAGCTGCATAACCCAATTTCTCGAGTGGAGCATGTAGCACATTAATAGGTAGTCACGAAACCCGCGGCTCTCATCCCGTACCAGACCTTATACGGAATATCGCAATAAATCCGGCCAACGCTAATCAAGACTATTGCACTAGCCATTCCAATAAACTACTTCCTACGGTAGATAGCGGCCACTTTGATCACGTATCTGAGGATCTTATAAAGCTGCTTTATGTCATATATCGTCGAGAAATCAGGATAATATTATGTAAACCGACCGAGGCAGACAGAGCATTAAATTTATTCATCGCTCAAGGAATGTTGATATAATTGGTTATCCTTTTTAGTTCATTAAGATTTATAATCGAGATAATGAATTGGAATTAAGATGATAGAAAAATATTAAGATAAGTCACTGATAAATGGCTTACAGCCTGTTAAAGTGCAATTAAAGAGGAATAGCAGCCTCATAAATTCCACATACACCAGCTCCGATCCGCAATTTGACCGCAATAAATAGAAACGCACTAATGTTTCGTCTTTCTGATTACAAAAATCAGAGCTGTAGGATGAAATAGTAAAACAAAACAAACGTTTAGCCGGCGGATCAATCGGCGGCGGCGGTGGCGGTGTCGTAGCCCGATGCGCATGCGGCGGCGGCGAGAGACGGCGGGCGTGCGCCGGAGCCGCTCCTGCAACGCGCACGCGCAGTGCTCGCGCTCCGGACACGCCCGCGCTGCACCACGCCTCTTCTGGCCGGCAGCCGCTTGAAGGCCTGCAAAAGCCTAATTTTATAAATACTGTAAATGGAATTGTGAACGTGAGCATTTAGAGCATACGATTAAAAATTAAACGTACTTTGATTTTTGTTACAGCTTTACAGATACTCTACTTGTCTCTTTACTAATTTGAGTATTTTGAAAAGTATTCCAAACGCTAAAGACACGCAAAAAACCTACAAATTGAGTTTATAGAACAAGCGGTAAAGTATCATGTAACGGTGTTAGGGGTTAATATTGGTAACCCGTGTCGGTAATCGCGTGACACGCCGATACGCGGCCGATGCGGGACAAATCGCTCTGATGGTCCAACGGCCTAACTGTAATACTGCTCCTAATTGTTGCTTCAATTGCCTATACTTACCCCTTTTACGAAGCGGAGAATTATCTGGCTCTAACCGCTAAAAATTAATCTGTACATTTCAGTACAATACGATCACAAAGTTTCATGTGATCATTTATAAAAACATACTACTTAATTGATGTTTTGCAATTAAAAGACTAAAGAGAACGAATTTTTATTCAAAATAGTAACAAAAGTTTATACATTAAATAACATTTAGTATAAACCGTGTTTCTTGCTTCACTGAAAGTCTACTTAAAATGTACCTGTTTTCAAGATATTTAAATAAAGAGTAGATTTAAAAATATTAAATCTAGAAACCAGTTTAAAATGGTCAGGTAAGGTCTCATTCATAATTTAGTTGCGTTGGGCGCATTACATTGAATTTGCTGTTAAATTTATGCACTTTCTGAGATTTTGAATATATTTGCATTTAATAAATTCATGAATCGAAGCAACCAAATGGTACCAACCACTTAAACTCAAATTATTAGGAGTCTAATTTGCAATTGAACTTTGACTGCCTGCGCAAAGCGGTTTTTTAAAAGTTATATTATTAATAAATGTGACTAAACATTTTATGACACGGTTGTATTAATAAAATTACCAATTGGAACTGCCATATTATTTGAAAGTCAAGGCTAAACTAAAGTCTGGTTAAAGTTCCTAACAAAACCGTAAATATAATAAGAGACAATAGTAATTCAAAGCAAAAAATAAAAAGGAAAGTGACAGAACACGTATTGTCGGTTATCTCAGCAGGAAACATAAAGTGAAGCATTTCTTGTGACTCTAATTATGTAAGCACGAGGAAACGAATGATTAAACTGACAACCTCTTCCTATCAACTTATTGAAATCTCACGCAATCGCGCTAATTGGAGCTATCATGCATCAAAGCTTACGCAGTTCTTATGTTGTGTGCGAAATTTGGCCAACAAAAGAAGCGAATATAATTCTAAAAATGCAAATTTAATTTAATGAATATCTAGGTCAAAGAGAGTTCAGTAATGCTTTTTGATGATTTCGAATGAATCTTCGTTTACATTGCTGGAAATTTGCATACGTTTGTTTCAGTGGCAGTTTAATTCGATTTCTATAAGAAATTATTATTAAATCTTCTGATTAGCACGACTTTCTTTCTTTGATAATGGGACTGTAGCCTATATTCCGTGACGTAAAAAATAATAACAGACTGTAATTTATATTATTACATTAATTTTTTAATAGTACCTACCTATAGTAAATTCCCTACTATGTTTAGCTTCTTGGTTTATTTAAGACGCAGAAGATTTTTCACCGTTTAATAATTTGGGTTAGACTTAATGTACAAACATGAAGTGCACCAATATCTATACATAACAAACAAACTTATACATACATGTTAGGAAGCTCCGTAATTAATAGCTGATTATAACTTGCTTTAAAAGAAATAAGGCGTAAAATGCACTTTTTACACTCGACTAAGTAATGACTTCTCACGTGAAAGATGTATAGAAATAAAGTGAACATTAATTCCACGATGAACAAGATTTACATGCGAAAGTGTAAATATAAATATTTACGTCCCAATAAAATTTTATTAGTAAACATTGTTGCGTAATGACTTACGGTCAAGATGAATAAGTGATATGGCGTTTATATAACTTTACGCAGATTTTGAAGTGTTATATTTAGTAACTATTAGGTTAAAAAAAAGTAGTAAATTAAGAAAAACTTCAGGGTAATCAGTTCTTAGTTTCATCGTAATAGTATTTCTTAAAAGAACATTGCGTTCTATTTATTTATTGAGAATCTATATTCAGAATACTTATGTTAGAGCCGGGATTGGAACTTAAGACTTCGGCTTAAGAATTGCAAGCTTCACCAAAAGGCGGTCACTGCTTATCCAGTTCATAATTTATAATGATATGTTGTGTCATATTTTAATTTCTAAGTTTAACGTAGGTACATAAAATGATTTCGTTGTAATCAATGCTATTGTCAACGATGCAGAAACACAATGCTTAATTTTAGAGAGGTTTGATAATTTAAATATTTTTGAATATAAGCCTTATTCCTTAGTATTAAGTTTTATATTAGTGTAAAATAATATATTTCACGGTGGGATGAACCTATCATCGTCGTCCTTGACCGCCCTTACACCGTTTATATAAACAGCGTATTTCAGTGTCTTAAGACATACGAGTAGAACGAAGAATATTTCTTTGAAAAATAATAAACGAAAAGATGAAGAAAACATATGCATATAACTACTTTAATATGCTACATAATATGTAATAAACCGTAACGCCATTCGAACTTGACAAAATGAAAGTAAACAGTTTGTTAATAATTACTCAATGTTTATAACGAATTAATTATAAGAAATAGAGGAAATGGAGAAAGTTGTTTAAACTTCTTCATTTCTTTTAATCAACTTTTGAGTGTGAAATCAAAAATATCAGCGCAAAAATTGCTTATAAGAAAGAATTACAGTCTTAACGCAAAATCAACAAAAAATGGCTTATTTTTAAGTTCACACGAGTTCATCGCACTTAATTGTTAATGAGATCGATATAGCAACTAGACGTTACGCCGTTAAAATCTCTAAGCCTTTAGGAATTTCCTAAAATTCCTGCCTTTAGTGGCACACTTTTAAAATTAAAGCAAGAAAGTCGTTGCTTAAAGCCTCTTAATTAAGACATTTATGTAACGGCAGTGGCGGCTTATCTACTAAATATCGTAAACAATTTGTTTGCGCCACATTGCTACACTTCCTAGATGCATCTTACAAAATTCGACGTTACATACGTAACTATTTATGAATGAGAAAAGAAAGAAAACGTACCGTTTCCTCCAGTTTTGAATAAAACTCCAGTCACACTGCTCATCGTCATCCAACATTGTAGCTTCATGTTGCTCCACTCCACTACCACCACCATGCACTAATTCTACTAACTGACGCGCCCTTTCGAAGTTTCCTTCGAACTCTACTATCAAAAAGCCATCCGAACTCATGGTCTCCTTGACATCTTTTTTGTACGTTGCATCGTTGATTGGTATCAGTCCAGGTGCTGGTTCATTCTTGATTTCCGAATAAATAGCCTCTGTAACTTGTACTTCTGATATAAGCTGAGTTCCTCCACCCTTATCAACTTCTCTTCCTATTCCCGATTGGTCCTTATCATCCATTATTCTATTGGCATAGATAGCCTCTTCCTTTTGCTCTTGAGCTTTTTCTTCTTTTTTTTCTTCATTGTGTTTTCGAATGAGAGAATCGCCGAAGTAAATTACAACTTTGTTATTATTTTGTGTAATTTTATTAGCCAGTCCATTTTCAGGGACTTTTTTATTTCTTTCATCAGACAATTTCTTTGCTAACTCGTCATAACAAGGAGGGCGATTATTCAATGATTTTTTATCTGCTCCTTTATTATCAGCAATTTTTTTTTCAACGCTCTGGTAGACAGGTGGCCGGCAGCATTCATCTAACTTCGAATTCCATATCTTGGGTTCACTGTATATGTGTTCAAGAGACGTTGAATTTTTTTGTAAGGGCACGTACTTTTCATGCACATTTTTTGAGTTCTTTTGTTCGTTTTTCCTAAAATTTAAAACACTTCGTCGTACATTAGGGTCAGGATTATCACTTATTTTCTTGGAACGCGAATTTCCTAGAAGTTTAAATAAAGGTTTATTGTCGGTCTGCTTCATTCTGTCAGAACTGGGAGCCTTTCGAAGAGCATAGGATCCTTCTTCAGAGGGTTGTGGATAGAGTTGTTCACAGCTTGTAGACTTGTGTGTTGGAGAACGAGGTTTCCCGGGAGCGAGTGGTTCTCGACTCTGCCAGTGTCGAACTGATAGTCTGGCAGCTCCTCTTATAAATTTCATAGGCTCCCAAGCCTCAGCTTTCTTAAGTATGAAATTGTCGCTCATGTTTTGTTTGTTTGGAGGTTTGCGGGCGTCGGCGGCACGACAGGACTGGAGCTCACGGCAGAGAAAGCAAGAACACCGCGCGGAACACAGCATGACTGCTCGAGCGCACCGTCCGCACTGCTAGGCTGCGGCCTCCTCGTGGACGCCGTTACTCAAGAACTATTGTTTAGCCCCGCTACTCTAACATACGCGAATAAACGATACGATACGGATTAGCGATACCGTTGAGATTCGGGCGTTCGTGTAATTTGGCGTAACCATAGGCGTAATATAGTTAATAGCGGTTCCGTCACTCACGTCGCAACTAGACTCTCCATAAACTTTACGTCGCTTTCTAAGTTTACGATGTAACCAATTTATGGATGGCTCAGACAAAAATAGTGGAAATTTAGGGCACGAATGATGAGTGAACAATTATGTTTGATATGATACAGAAATGCATTACGATGTGGAGTGTGCACTTGTAAGCAATAAGCATCAGTGTTCGATTGCGGCCGACGAGGAGCTCGGGGTGAACGAAACCATAAAGTGTTGCTAATTATAGAAAACGCTTGAAATCAACCGAACATCCCATTACCGATTCCTTGATTATCGTAAGCTGCATTTAAATTTTAATATTTTCCAGTTTGTTTATCGAGAACACGAGCTCATTGAGCAGATATCTTGAATGTACCGCGTTACATTAACGGTAAAAGAATCACATACTTGATTAACTTTTATATTATTGAATTGTTTTGATATTATGATTAATTTAAATCATATTCTTTTCAATGTAATCTTTAATAGAATACATTTTTGTAATAAAACCAATGTCTATCTAAATAAACAAAATAGACCTTACCTTTAGTCTGCGACAATTGCATAGCACTATTACGAGGAAAAGTGGTAAAACGTACTTGCAACTTGTTGCGACGCGGGAGGAAGTTGCATCCCATTGCATGTATCAATTCGTTTTTATTAAAAGGTTTGACTTTAATTTAATATGAAAACTGGTGGACTAATTCTAATAGCCGCCAGTGCACAAAACAGGCTAACTAAAGCAAATATTTTGATAAGGGATAAAACTTAGAAACAATCCCATTTTGGTAGTGTTTCGATGCAAGTTTCTAGTCCCTTTTTGTACAACTTGCGTGTTATTGCAACATCCCTAAGTTCTTATGTAGCAAAATAAGATCGCCCGTTACTCGGTAATAAGTGGTCTATGCATCAAGGCATTTTTAAATCAAAGTTCAAACTCATTCCAAGCAATAATTTTTATTTCCTTATATCAGTTATTATAAGAAAAACTAGAAACAACATTACATAGTAAATTAAAAAGATGAAATAGTCTAGCGTATGTTTAATAGAGTCGAAGAGAAAACTAAACATTAAGTGTGGACAGATATTGAAACGACATCGTAAACGATAATTGTCTCACTGCACTTTTATTGGCCTGCGGCGTCTCTAGCACGGACTTAGTTGCCAGTTATATGAACTGTTTTGTCTATAGAATATAAAATATCATTCCATAAAACAGAATACTCATTAAACATAAACACAAAACTACTTCTCCAAAAAAGAATATTTTGTTCTTTCTACAAATAATATTATTCTTTGAATATTTAACAATCAAATATACAGTGTTTACAATTTTCTTAACTAAAAACCATAACTAGCCTTAAAATATAATAACTAAAATACATTATTAAAAGGCGTCTCTTTAAGCAAGGATCCGAAGATACTGGCAGCGTTCCCCCTTTGAATAGCTAGACTAATTCTTTGTTCGAGGTAGCTGCTAGCTCTTCGGTGTCCTGTGATGTCGACAAACCTTTTTTCTATTTACTTAAAAAGCCTGATTATTGATTCCTTTAATTTAACAGACAAGTCACGATGTTTCATTAAATTTTTAAAGTCTTATCAAAACAAAGAAACCCTCAAAAAGACGATTCAAATGTCTGTTTTTGGACAGAGCACATAAGCGTTTACTAAGAAATAACTGCTTACATACACGTGCATAGCTATATTTCAACTAGCTACTTAAACCATAATACTTTTGTTGTAATATTTTATACTAATATTATGTTTTCCGTAGAATAATGTAATACTCAGAAAGACCGTCTGAATCCGTTCTAATTCTCACTGATTCTGTTAATAAACGAAAGCCTAAATTTAAGTCTGCCCCAACGTCGTAAATGCATGTGAATTTTATCCAACTTCATTCACCATTCTTTCTATAATCATGATTCACGAATGAACAATTATTTAAAACAATAAATTTTCTCAAAGTTACAGCATATAATTAGTGTGCGGTAACGACTGCTTTCTTACGATATTTTCCAGAGTTCTTGCACAATAACTTTCGTTACAAAACACTTCGCGGCAAGTATTGTTCATAATCACAATTAAGTAGCTGGTTCCCATCCCAAGGTGATAGAGAAAGTCCTTTTTCCACTTCGGCATTGTTAATTACTTGAGGTGAAAGTAAACATCGATATTGCATTAGTTTTATGGAGATGCGCTGTCTTTAAGAAATCATAGCAATGAGGCATTTCTTTATTTCGTATTTGTTACCAAACATTATTACATAACCTTTTATTATTACCTGAAATAGTTTTCGTAGCATTTATAATGTTAATAGAACTTGATATTTAAAAAAATACCCAAACAGAATAGGCGATTAACAAAAATTCGGCGTCGGCCAATTTTATCCACGACGAAATGTCGCTGCTAAGTTGATCATCAAATCATCACACGTTTTTTACCCGAACAGGTCCGGGTACATTATATAGTCATTTGCAGAGGTATGCTGAGAGGAGGCTGCGGGGCGCATCTTTGGTCCCCAAAAAATTGCCAAACTGGATTTATGTAGACGGGAATGCTCACTGCGTCCGGCCATCTTATGTTTACTTAAGCCCGTTTCTCCACTGCTCCGGTCCGGCAACCGTTAATTACCGATCCGATTTAGAAACTCACAACAGTACATACGTACTTCTCCACTACTCCGGCATCCGGTTTTTAACTATCCGATAACTTGCTAGATCGGAACGCGGTGTTTTATCGGTCCAAGTATCCAAGAGGTTATAAATTATTATTCACAGGTTTATTTATAGTTTCTTTAATTTGAAAGAATTAGAAAAAGAAGTAGATTATAATATTTTAAGATAGACAATTTAAAAAAAGTAATAAACTTGTCAGGGCAATAAAATATTCAGAATTTAGAACGTTTTATTAATAAAATAAAGTATATGGGATTTAGTTACATTAGCATGATAAATATACAAGTATCGATTATTGTCGGATCGGATATAGTGGAGAAGCGCAATCCGGCCTTCCGATATTTTTCTAATGACTCATTCCGGTATCCGACGTCGGACCGGAGCAGTGGAGAAAGGGCCTTAGGACTCACAGTTTTGAAATAACTACGACGAAACAGCTACGATAAACTACGATTGTAAAGTGGATGGGTAGGTTTTTTATAACTGTTTGACCTATCAATAATAAAGTTATAAATTAAAATTAAAAGGTATAAGTAAATTGACAATACTGCATAGTTGCATTTTAAGGCATATTTTACTTTACATAATTTTTCGCAAGGAATAGGAGACATAGTAATATTTAAAAAAGAAATTAAAATCTCATCTTTGGTTTTGATATTAAACAAGGATTAATTTGGTTTTATACGTAATGCCCGCTCCACTTCCTATGTTATATTATCTCTTTGGCTGGATATAGGAACATAATATCCATATTTTATATATTTTAAAATGAAATGAAGTTTCAAAAACTACCAAAAGTATTTGTGTACGGCTTTATTTCCTATTTAGATCCCAGCGAAGGTTAATTGTTTTATGTAAATGATTAATTGTAAATAGATAGCAAGAAATCTTGTCAAAAGAACCGCAATCTACAGTCGAAGCTGCGGGCAAAAGTTAGTGATGCATATAATTGACATGTTAATTTATGGTTTCATCGTGGAATTGAATGTTGGTATCATTCATTATGAGTCAATTAATTAGCGTTTTTACGTACATCTCGAGTTCTTGTTCTTTTTTGCAAAAGGCCGCTAAAAGGAAGCACCAGTGGATGTTATCAGCAAAGGTACCGCTGATTGTAAGGCCTCGAACACACGGCCTTATCGCGACTGAGAGACAAATGTACACTAATTGGCCCCTGTGAGACGGACCGGCTCAAATATGGCTATAAAGAGTAATAATTAATTAAAGGATCGCCTGATGATAGACTCTATCAAGTAACGCAAACTTCGTTGTCCTTATTACAGGGTTCATCTATCTCTTAATAATTCACTTGAATCTGTGGGGTAATGGAACGTGCACGATTTCGTTTGCTACATACAAACAAAATACGTAAATTTACAATAATAATATCTGTCAAGAAGTTAGGATGTTCATAACTGTTGTATGACATTAAGCAACTCGAATAATCAAAAATATAATTTAATATTTAACTTAATTACCAATATAAGATATTATCTTCGTATAAGTTGAGTAAAAATTGACGTCTCGAGTCTCGGGGGCAAGACTGGAAGCTGATCGGGAGGTGATAAGCAAATTTGTGTATCTCCCGCTAACGGAGTCGTGGATCGTGACTGATAAACACGAATATTAATCGATCTCCAGCTCTTTATACATTCTTTCAATATAATTGCATATCTTTAAAATGTTTTTAATATTACGCTTGCAGCTAAAATAACTGTTATCGGTTTATGAATATTTAATTTTCATCTTTGACATGCAATTCAAAATTTATAAAGCGGTTTAGAAGCTTTATTTTTTTTTAAATCAGTTATCTTTCATCAAATTATATTTGTATGATATTACAAATAAGTTCATCGTGACTTAATTATAAAATTTATTAAAATATATAGTGTGGTTATTATATAATTATACATATAGCAGTATTGTCTTTTATTAACATAACTTTTACACATTTAAAGAAAACACTTTTTACCGGATTGAAGTTATGTATTATTATAAACTTATAATGATTTTACATAATTAAATTTTTTTTCCGACGTTTCGCGTGCTTTGTGGTCACGGTGACCACGCACGCTGTAAAATCCGGTAAAAAAGTGTTTTCTTTATATATATCAGTGTTGGCTTAGTGGCTTCAGCGTGCGACTCTCATCCCTGAGGTGGTTCGATCATCGGCTGTACACCAATGGACTTTCTTTCTATGTGCGCATTTAACATTCGCTCGAACGGTGAAGGAAAATATCGTGAGGAAACTGACTTGCCTGAGACCCAAAAAAGTCGAGGGTGTGTGTCAGGCACAGGAGGATGTTCATCTACTTGCCTATTTGACAAATGATCATGAATCAGATACAGAAATCAGAAGCCCAGACCTAAAATGGTTGTAGCGCCACTGATTTATTTTTTCATTGTATAAGTATGTATATATATAAACCCTGTCCACCGCTCTCCGACGATAATACATTACAGAGGAATCCGTCAGTTTTAATCAGACGCTGCTCGTTATCTGATCTGCTTCTGGTCTTGAAAGAATTTAAGGAATTTAAATATCTTACTTATCATCCAATATGTACAGGATATGTATCTCATTTTCTCGAAGCCTTAAGCTTATTATAAATACTCAAACAGTTCTGGCGTATTTTTACTTCTTTATTTTATTAATGACAAATTTACTCAAACTTCAAGCGAAAAGCAACAATAAACAGCTTCACAATCAGAGTTACTAATTAAGGAAGCTAACATTTTGAATAAATTGTCCTAATATAAAGAATTTTGATTACTTACAGCGAAACTTTAGCTTGCAATTTGTATGAACTCTAGTATAGCCATAAATTCCACAGCAAAAGTAATTTAGTACGAAAACATTGAATTGTTTATTACAATCATAAGTCATACAAATTCAGAGCTAAACTATTAATTATCGCCCACTGTTAAAGGTACATAATTCGCGCGGACCATAAAACTTACAGCTTGAAAGAAACAAACTTAAATAATTGCTTAACTCGTAAATATGTTTGAGCATAAAACGCTACCAGTATTTACTGGGCACGAGGTGTATATGGGCCGGCAGACCGTTATTGGGATGTTCTAGAAACTTTATTTATTCGACTTTTTATTCTTGTTAATTTAATTTGGGTTCAAAGTGATGTATGATATTTGTATGTAACATACCAAGCAGGGCAGTAGTAATTCAATGCGGACAAATCTGCTGCGTTCCTTCGTAATTTTATTTCTTTAATTAAAGTTTAGTGAGATTTAAGAAAGACGATAATTCCTAGTAGATTGTAAATAAAGGAAAAAAAACTTTTGAACAATTTGTAGTAATATATTCATCCTCAGCTACTCTCCTATCTAACCGGTTTTATTCTCATTATACAGAAATTAATCTCTATGGAAATTGGTATTACGTCAATCAAATCACGTTCAACAAAAAAGCTGCCTAAAATGTATGCACTTCATTCAAGTTATGTTAGCAATTAGGTACTCAATTCAATATAAATCCTAGAAGTATTAGAAGAACCATGATGTATAAAATACGAAGATTGTAAATAGGAAGCCTCAGTTAAGGTGAAGCCGCTCACGTAAGCTGCTGTAACTCACCTTCGTGGCTTAGGACGCAAAATCTCATGAACTGGTGGCTGACGCCTCGGCCAGCCGGCGCACGCGCATGGTCGTTCCGGGTCATCAGCAGTCACAGACACTGCTGGCACAGCGGACACTGCTGCCACCCCTGACACCGCCGTCAGGGCCGGCGCCGCAGATAGCGTGCGCGCATCCTCACTGAAATTTATAGTGGCTTACTAGAAATAGGTTACTCAGTTAGTAGATAAGGTAAAAAAAGGAAAACTTATTTATTTTGACGCCTCCGAACAATACTACTAATAAATGTATTATTTAATATCTGTTTACTGAAATGTTTAACGCTTTCCATTTAAATATATTTTAATAAAACATTTACTGTATTAAACTAAACTTAAAAACGTCGGAACAGCACTGCAATATCCTCATAACTCGCGTGGAATATCCGAATGAGTCATTTTAAATAATCCGTTGTTAATCATCGTTCCTCTCGTTGGAATTTTTATGTGCAGGAAGAATGTGGAGGGGTCAGGCGTGTCTGGTTACCGCAGTGCGCGATACTTAATGTCGGTAATAGCGGTCGCTAAGGTCATTCGTTTGTCAGGAATTTGTAAGGAATGGAGCCTGAGATGGTGTTAAATGTTCTTACCACTGTTTATTCTCTTGGAAGGGACTAAATTGTGAAACTTATCCAAAGAATTACTGCCGTCTTCTTTGTTCACCGCGAGACTCTACGATAAGACAGAGTTTAGTTTTTCTTCTAATAATTTCATGCTTTGCTATTATAGTATACGGCATGAAATTTATCATTTGATCAGTAATTTATAGAGGTGTGCTCGCTAAATGATTCGTGTCGAAGGGTGGAAGACAATGCACGGGAAACGAAGCTCAAATCCTGACCAAACCGGCGGAGATTGCACTCCAACACACGACCTTCATACCTTAGCATAATATATTGTAGCAAACGTTGTTTCCTAGTATAGAAAGGGGGATAATCAAAAATTTTAAAGCTATTCTACTGATCTAATCGTAACACTATGGGTGTGGCAACTCCTTGTATTTGCAGCACAAGTAAACAAGACATAGTGTAGTGACGTAACTGGTCATTGCTCTGAGAACAACAAGTGCTAACAGCCTACTTCCGAAATCTCAGGCCGCCGCGAACACGTCTAATTGGATTAGCTTCAATGTTCACAAGAAATCAACAAGACGTTGGGTGTCACGAAGCCGTACAAAACACTTAAAGTTGAAATATTTGTTTTTTTTTTTATTTTAAAATTTATTCGTTAATTAGTTTTTTCAATATTAGCCATTTCAACCCGTCCAGAATAACAACGAATTCGGTTAATCAAGAGAGCCACACAGACTCTTTAAAAATGTCTGTAATATTGATGATGAAATTTAAAGTACAAGAGGTACAGTGTAGTTACACGAAGTGATAAAAAGCAGGCAAGGAGCGACGCAGAGTGGTAGCAATTTGCGAAAGTCGGATAATTAGTGAGCCCCGCACCGAGGGACCGCATTCCGACACCAAATACGGTTTTTGAATCGTTTACTTAACCACTTTCGGTTTTTAGATTACATCGCTTTAAATAATGCATGCTAAAACGGACATTTAATTTGTATTGGTATCTTAGATTAATGCATTTCGTACTTCCTGTACAATTAAATAATTATGCTCCCGACCAATGTTCCTGTATCGGTTCTAAAACACTGTTATTCTACGTACAGTCACTATGCATACAGACGCTATAATAACCATCAACATAAAACATATAATTGCTATCATTTAATTTTCAAAGATTCTCAGTACTAAAATGAGTATCTTCGTTAAACGTTAGTTCTGATGATAAACGCAGAACAACACACATATTGTAACTGAACGCAGATGAATCACTTTGTAAAATATATTAACTAATACAAGCTGGTATTTATGTAATTAATTTTAAAATACTAACTGGTTTTTTATTAAGTTTATGATGTAGTTAATCTACCATTAATAGGTTAAAGTAAAAAACGTTTCCTTTATTTAAATATTTGCCTAATACGCGTGTTATATTCGAGGTCCACAGTAGCGTGTCATCAATCATGGCGAGAAAAACATTTATTCGGCGCGGGCGAAGCTCTCGGCTGCATTATTACAGTAAATTACGTCTGAAGGGCATTTTTGATGGACCCTACAATTTTCTACCACCTGCTATCGTTTTATATGTAGATGTCATTAGGATAATATTATTTACGAAGAAACGCTATTATATTTCTTTAATGTAATTTTAAAATATAACTATGTGGGTTACCGTAAGTAGTTTATTAGAGGATTTTCTAATTCACAACATATATACATTACGTATATTAAGATGCACATTCTTCGTTTCAGGTCATGGTGCGTGTTTGTACCATCAGCGGGGTCAATCAGGCCCGAGGCGGAGACGCACAGTAGTTCTAAGAATCGGTCATTTGTATCGGAACGCTTCTGACGCAACAAAAACTTAACCATTTCGAGGTATCCCCGTAATGAGCTATTTATAATCCATTTCGGGGCAAAGGCCTTAGGGCACTTTGCATACTTATGTAAATCCGATTTGAATAATGTCTACAACCGCCAATAAGAAACAATAAAATCGCTATTAGCTTCGGGGATAATTGATGTTTAAAGGACCTACCGAGTCCCGCCGAGTGAAAGAAAAACTACAGAAGCCTAAATTAAAAAACCTGCTTTATGTTATTCCTGTATGCAAATTGTATTGGGGCTGCGTATCTTAAATTCACCAAATATTTTTGTTTAAGTGAAAAATGTTTTGCGATCACTCTAATAATAAAAAGATAATACAAATCAACAGTCATGTTTACATAGGTATAATCGTTTACATATTTTGTGTAATTTATTCAATGCACAATAATTGAATGCTTTGGCCGTATTTTTGGTAACCGAATTAGACAATACAATGCCTGTGCTAGAGATAAAATGTTGTGGCATTTAAAGTTCAGCTACCATTTATATTCAATTAAAATTTGAACTTAAAAACAAAACAAAACTCAATATTTCAGTAAAAAATATACATTTTTAAGAATAATTTTACCATAAAAATACTCGAGTAATGAGAGAAATTTTGATATTCAGCTCACAATTTCATACTTTGCGCTCAAATGCAATGTCAAAACAAAGTCGCGGACAACAAGCACCGAGCAGCAGGTGTTTCTCTCGGAACAAAACGATAAAAAACTGTTCAAAAACAGCGAGCTCGTATCGGCTGGCCACCCCGCTCTACCTGACACAATGGAATCTGAAAAGGGGCAAAAAGCTCCCGATTGCGCGCCCAGCGTTTTCGGGTTTATGCCCTTTTGGGATTTATGCCGCTATTGGATCCAATTTGTTAATACAATAGTAATGGCCTTCCTCTTAGTACAACTATCGGTTATAAATAACTTTAACTCGAAGACGGGTATTTATATAATTGTAATTGGCTTTCAAATAGCTTTTCTAGTTATGCAATTGCATTATATGATTGTTATAAACCTTCCTTATCATCACACAATCAACTGAGTACGGATAAGTCGTTAAAACTGTAATATAATGTCCATTAGCGTTTATATTTTGATTGATACTATAATAACATAATGAATGTTGCCTCACGACCGCTACTCCTTGACCTTTTCAACGATTTATAAATCCAATAAAATATTAACTAATACGTCATTTGGCGAATATTATCCCTAATAAAACTCTATAAATGCGTAATCTACTTCAGTAGGTTCAGCGGTACGGATTTCCCGTAGAATAGACATCAACGCTGTTGAGACTTGCGGAAAATTTACGGCATATCGGACTAATGATAAATACTGAAATGAAATTACCTACATTGATAATAACGAAGCTAGTTTAATTATTGTTAAAAATATTATTAAAACGCCTGAGAAAGTCTAGTGTTTGCGTATAAAACTTAAACAAAGGAGAAAATGATCTAAGATCAAGATAGAGTTCCATGAGCTCCATGTAGTGATGAGTTTCATCTAATCAATTACAAAGCACTTTCACTATTGTAAGTTTTCCAAGTTTTTACGACGATGGCGACGTGACGTGGGAGCAAAGCGTCTCGAACATGCCGGTAAAAACTGTACTTAGTAGGTACTATCAGATGCAAACGTAATTACGACATTTTATTACCATGTCTTAATTATTTAATCATAAGGCGATTGCAACTATTCTAAAACAAAGATGCGTTTCTATGGTTTGTAAGGTTATCAGTATTATGTACACATACATACATACATGTGGAATTATTTTAAAAATATCTTTTAGCGAAGTTTCCTACGTAGAGGTTTTGTTTTTAGAATCTAAATTGTTATTATTTTAACAATAACCTACTCATATGTTTTGATTCATTCTTTTTTTCTATTACCATAATATGGTTAAGATTTCATTGATTTTGATTAATAAGATTTATTTCATTCCTGATCCTATAAATAACGTCATATAACTCTAGTTAATTTTGGAATTTTACTCAATTTCATTCGAGCAAGCATGTTTAAAAAAGGTACCCATAGCCTATACCATAAATCATAATTATCCGGAGCTGTACATATTCGGTAGTTGGCTGATCAATTTTAAGAAAAGTGATTTTTTTCACAATATGCAAAAAAATACTGGATTTTTTATTGTATGTTTCAAGTGAAACTTCTTTAGGCGCATGAGGGTAAAATTTTTACGGAATGTCACGAAGATGTGCAGCGTTTTTGGTGAAGAAAAGGGAGAGACCGATTGAGGCCGATTGAGAGAGAGTGAGAAGGGTGAATTACCTTATAGAAATTCTATTTTTAAAATTAAAATTTCGTAAAGAGAATAAAATAATTTATTGAAATCTCAAATGAAGAATTGAAAATTAAAATGCCACGTGTTTTTATCATCGAAGAAATAAATTAAAAAATTTAAATTTATTAGGTATTTGTATTAATTACAAATAAACTACAATTTTCATATATTTTACAAAAGATGAATGAAGAATACAACAGATACTGTAGATATAGCATTATGCGGTGAACTTCAATAAATAAAATAAATGAATAATGACTATGGTATACAGTCAATGTATAGGTATGTACATATATTATTTTTGAAACAAAATATGTAGTCGCGTGCTGGAGACGCGTGACTTGTTCACAAGTGAAGGGTAACTTTGAAAATATTAAGTTACAGCTAGCGGTTAAGTATTTAGGACGTCCTTAGTTCCGTATCAATTTGATAGGAGCTTTTTAACGGGTTTTTATGCTTGCATAAAGTTTTACGTGAGATTTGGACTATTATGAAAACGTCTAACCACTTCAAGGAACCACAAGACTCCATACAATTTATCAGCAACAGTTTTAGCAACATTTCTTTGAATTGTGCTTATTAAACGTATGTTCCGGGTACTAATATAAATCGATTCGCTGTCTCGTAATGCCCAAGGATACCAAATTTAATTATAAAATTGTATACCAAGTGTATGTACCATATAATTCGTGGTTTAATAAAGAGTTGAGTGACAGAATTATCATAAAATTTATGTAAACTTAATCTGTTAATCGGGGAAAAGTAAGCATTTCGTGACAGCGTGTTAAGTGGTTTGCATATGTCAGGCGTGTGCGCATTATCTTTTCCAGAGACTGTTTTAAAATGGCATCTCCAAAAGGGAGTTTTTATAAAATGCATTCATATCAACGTATATTTTGACTTTATATTTTTTTTATAACGAATATAAACAGCTGGCAGCTACAGAGAATTAGTCTAGCTATTCAAAGGGGGGAACGCTGTCAGTATCTTCGGATCCTTGCTTAAAGGAACTCCTTTTAATAATATATTTTACTTATTATATTTTAAGGTTAGTTATTGTTTTCAATAAGATAATCACACAATCTCAGCAGCGGTTGTCAGATCTCGTAAATTGATTTGACGGATGACAAATGCTGTTTTTTAATTTTTTAATATTTATTATAGTAAATAATTAAAAACTACATTTATCTACTATAATTACAGTTACTTCGTAATAAAGAGATAATGAGAAGATATTTTTATTATTACATTGAATAAAACTATGAAATATAAATAGTCCATATTTTTTTGCGAATGAAATAAATAAATAATCAATGTAAGTCAATTGTACATTAAGATCAAAGTTATTTTATTTTATTCGTATGAATAACGAACGCGGTGAAATGATCATGCAGGACAATGCTTTTGAATGACAGTTTAAATTGAAGTTACGGTATTTTATCTCAATACTGTAAATATCAATTAGTTTAATAAATGCGAAATGCAGGTCCAGAAAAATCAAATATTCACATCAGACGTAATACTAATTAAAGAAAAAATTAGTTTTTACTAAATTTAAAGTTTTAAAATATAAAATCTGTTAAAACTTGTTACATTTCACAATATATATTATTAGTTCAAAATAGTTTGTGTTTAACGGCGAGGCTGTTCCTTTTTTCTTGTCACTGTTTAAGACCGCCTTTTGAGAAGATAAATATCTCCTTCTTTTATAAAATACATCTGCAATGCTTAGTGCTTAACATTTTTGATATACGAAGGGAGTTCTTATGTTCTTGCAAGAAGCGCTATGTGCGCTTCCTTCTTGCAAGAACATAATTCATAATTCAATCGTGCAACGAAACGTTAAGTAGAATAAAAAGAGAACCAATCTACAAGTAATAACTTATTGATATCGTGTAATTTATTTCACGTAATTGTAGATAATAAATAATTACAGAAAATTTAATTAATAAAGACACATAGCAAAGGCCTATTTATTATCGTGATTCAAAGAACCTAATTAATTAAGGTTTATTTAACATCTAATGGGTTTTTTGTTGTGTATTAACTGAGTTACTTTATTTTTAGACCGATTTCTAATCAAAATGACTAAATAGGTCAACATAAAAACTTTACTCATATTCTGCAGACTAAAAAACACTGTTTAATGGAGCTATTTGTAAATAGATGCAAGAATCCTAATCATTAAATATTCCTCAGTCGGTTGTTTATCACTGGATTATACGAAAATTAATTATAAAATTCGTCTTATATAGTGCTGACATCACGGCTCGATCGTAGAAATGATAAGTTAATGTGATGAGAATGAAATTAATACTAAAATTAGTACATACATGTTTTAATGTTTAATGCATTTATAATATTGTTGCATATATCATTTGTATGCTAATATGTTATAAGATGTTTCTTCAAAGTCTGACTGAGACTAATTCCCCAATAAAGTTTCAGCCAGTACCTCTTATCCAATTTCCTAGATTGCTGTATGTATTATATTTGTTATGGGCGAAAGCATCTCGGGTTTAAACTGTGAACGTATGTACGTTAATTATTCAAAAAACGTTGGTTATTATTTTGCCCTTTCGATCGGCATTGTAAGCCACAGATTTTTAAATATTGATTTTAGTTTTAAACAAATAACACTACCTTAAAGTGACCCATGAAATATGTTGATATGAAAACAATGGTTTGTTGTTATTATGGAAATTATCCAAAAGCATTCATTATTATATATTTGATTATATATTAATTATTATCTAACACAGAAAATACAAATCCTATGTTACAATCAAATATTTCTTTTTTGGTTACAATCCTATAAGAAATTTTGGTAACACGATCCCTTGCAAATTAAGCACATATTCTTCTAGCATAACTGGCGTATACACAATATAATAGTGAGAAAAGAAAGTTCTTTTCCCCATCGCACTTCCCCACACGGCCACGTTACCTAGCCATCCATCCCAGTGCAGATCACTCGCGCTACGGCCCGGCTCGTCTGCAACGACGGATCACGCTAGCCGCGACTACACGACTACTTCTACATTCTGTTCGAGCTCGTGGCGACCGGCCCTGTACAGTCGCGCTCGAAATACTCGGCCCTTCAAGGATATCTGCTTTTCATTAGACAAAAAGCCGCCAGCACAATCTATTGGTTTGAACACTAACAATTTTAAAGCAAACACAAACAACTACATGTGTGAAATTTGTACCTATTTGTATACTAATTGATAGTAAGAATGAAGGAAACATTACTGTAATAGAACGTAAGAAAGCGTAGGCTAATTACGTACTTTAGTGAGTAGGAAATAATTAAACATTCCTAATTTATTAATACTATAAAATATCAATAAAATATTAGCCACGTGGGCAGAGCACTTGGTCGTGCGAGTGTCCTTGCGCGCGCGCAGCCTCCGGTCGTCGCTCGCAACCAGTCGGACCGCATGCGTCGCCCCTCTCCGCCCCGCCGCGCACCTCCACCCCACAACGCTCCCTAATCAAACGCGATACAACTCAAATTCCATCACAGCAATCAACCCGGCTATTGGGACACAGAGGTTTTAGCATATTTGGGCTCGCGTTTCATAGTGGACCATATCGGGGCGAGTTAGGTCCGATTTTGGTGGGACGAGCCGAGGAATGCACCTTAGCTACTGGGGAACGCATTGCTCAGTACGGACGTTTTAATTCGATCACTAGAACACGTGGGGCTTAGGAATTAGATCGGAAAATCGAGTTGATCTAAAAAATATGTATCTTGAATCAAATCATTTTGCGGTTTTGCGATTGTGGTAGATATGAGAAGTTTCAAACTGATTTCCTCTCATTACGAAGATTTAGGGTTGCCTGGAAGAAATCGCTTGTTATATCATATAAGGCCGCCCGTTGCCTTATAACTTTTGTAACCTGCTTTTTTTATTTTTGCTATGTGTATGTTTTTGATTAAGGTATCTAATGAAGTATACAAATAAATAAATAAATAATCTGTTAATACATGTAGTCACTATAGAATGTGAATAAATTAATAGTAGCCTTTAATTTCAATTAGCAAGATGCAAACTTGCTTCTTTACCTTTATTTATTGCTAATCGCCTACAGTTCAAAATAATAATTATCAATATATTAAGAGCTCGGTCCGATCAAAACAAAAACATTTGTCTATATGCTTATTGCGCATGCATATTGCATATTTAGCATAATTCTGTGATTGAAGTGATACAAGCGAAATTTATAGAATATAAGAAGCCTAACACTAAAAAAACATAAATCTAACAGTTAATTGAGTAACAAGTAAATTATATTATGCACCTAATATTAGCGCCAACGCATAGCGATCGCCGGCGCAGGCGCACTATCTCTGTGTTATCAGAGAATAGATAATATACGAGTACTATCGTCTATTACATTTGCATTAATAATTTCCTGCCTCGATGTTTACTGCGACAAGTTAATTAAAAGTCTGATATAAACAATCGATGTATAGCAATTAGCATAACAAACGCTGTTATTTTATAGAAACAGAATTAATTATGCAGCACATCTTTAAATACCATTGAGAAAAGCTATGGCATTATCATTCTTTATATTCAAAGCGTCTACTGAATAGGTCGAGTCGTACACGCAATATCTCATTATTCCTAATAGGTGCCGGAGCCTACTCCTACGTTATGCGTTGCATTAATTATAAAAAGGCAGAGTATAAAATACTTTATAATGAGATCCCGTCAGTTCAAGGCGTTCTGCCATCCTAGGGTCGCCAAGCTTTAGGGGCGACTTTAGTTTAACAAATATTTTTGAAGTGGTTAGAAAATTCAACATGATATTAAAGGAAAATATTTATTTACGTTCGTTGCGTTAATAAAAAGTATACTTTATAAGAAATAATATATTAAACGAGATATAAATGTGTTCGACTATGCATAATTTTGATGAAAATATTAAATTCTGTACAAAATAATTGTGTCTTAGACTTTGCAAAGTATATCTTAACATAGACAAAAGGATACACAAATATGGTCACCCGATATATATAAATATGGTACCTACAACGGCCTAGTAATCATGACATTAGCGTTCAAACACGTTTTTAGCGGCCGCGAATCGCGTTCTTATGAAAATTTCTTCACAAAAACAAATACTTGTACAAGAGTAAAAGGCCTACGATCCATTTTGTATTCAATGTATGTAAGCAATGACGATCACGTTGATGTTAATCACTTGATTAGAACTTTTTACTTTAACTTACTCGACTTATTGCTACAAAAACGCGACATAAATACTAATTGCTTTGCAGTCTTTAGTATCGGAGGTCGATTCACTTTATTTTTCTTTTAAATACCTAACGACACATTGGACCTTACAACAGGAACAAGCGCATAATCGAGCAATACAAATAAGAATAACTCACATTAACAAATAATACGAAACTGGTAACGAAATAAAAGACACAAATAATATTGAATAATGTATTTGGAACAATCGCCTCTTACCAGATAGAATAACTTAGCTGTGCACTGTCACAAATACAGAATGTATAATAACTTATGTTTATAGATAATTATTACATCCGCCGTCGCACACATTCTCAGGAAACAAGAACTGACAACAAGTAGATATTGTAACAGAAGGCAAAGGCATTGCTCCTTCGAGCGCGAGATAACACAGGTTTATTCAAGTGTTTAGGGGTAAACGCCTACTCGATCGGAAAGTAGACACCAATTTTACCTTCTAAAACACTTTTTATACCTCCATTTCGTAAATTTTATTCTCAATCCTTAAGAGAACTACGTTCATATACTAAAGTTATACAAAAATCTGATTTGTTAATTAGTCCTTGTGTCCACAATTCATTAACCTACTAACGCATCGCCGCCATTATTCAATTATAATGTGGAATTTCTATCTTTAACATGATAGAAAATCAAGATACAAGGATAAGCCATAAAAATAGATTATTTTATAAAAATCGATAAAATTTTGCTTTTTATTCTAAAAAGCGCACACTGCCATGCCCCTAATTCTAAAGTACAAAATTGTGCCTTTTACAATTAAAATGTCACAATTAAATTTTTTAAATATGCCGAACTATAATAAATAAATAATATATCCTATCAGTTTAGCAAAGAAAATATTAATATAAAACCGACATGGGGTACAACTAGAAAATACGTATTCACCAGCCACTTTGGCGTGTTTCGGCCGACACCCGTGATCCTCACAATTGCCCCATTCTATCTTGTAGCCTGACTATACAAAACTCTATTAAAAGCAGTTAATCCAAGGAAATAGAGGAAGGTGGCGGCGATGCTAAGTACTTAACCTATTGGCTGTAAATATGACTACATCACTTCTTGTTCCGATACTGCCAAGCCAGGACTCTTCAAATAAATGCTGGAATAAATATATACACATTAAATAGCTATGAAACTAATTACAAAATAATATTCAATTTCACAAAAACATGCTAAAGAAACAAAGAATCTACATGGAAAAGAAGTAAAAATAAATCAATATGGTGGAAGGAATTGGGAGGCATAGACTTGGTAAGGACATATAATCAATAAGTCATATTATGTTGGCCTTATGGTAACACTGACTTATTAGAAATATACAAGAGTAAATGTGAAAATATTATATCTTAAGTTGATTGTTGCAAAGTATAAAATACTCCCTAAAAGTACAAGAAAAAAAAATCTGTGGCTCTACAACCTCCTTAGGTCTTGGCCTCAGATTTCTGAATCTGCTTCATGATCCTTTTTAAATCTAATAGGCAAGTAGGTGATCAGCCTTCAGTGCCTGACACACGCCGTCGACTTTTTGGGTCTAAGACGTATCGGTTTCCTCACGATGTTTTCCTTTACCGTTCGAGCAAATGTTAAATGCGCACATAGAAAGAAAGTCCATTGGTGCACAGCTGGGGATCGAACCTACGACCTCAGGTATGAGACTCGCACGCTGAAGCCACTAGGCCAACACTGCTCGTTTTATAAAGTACAAGAACAATGTGTTTTATAAAATCAAATTTATTAAGGTCATATATACATACATTCAAACAGTCATAGTTTTCTAATATAATAATATATTTAGATTTGAGTTTACTATCACTAATGCAGGAATAAAAAGTAAATTATAACCTGGTGTTATTTCCTCGCTTGTAGTGCATTAGAAAGCCAGTCCATCGCTTGATCCAATCCTTCTCCTCTCACGGCCGATGTCTTGAATATCTGGAAGGTTCTATCACGTAGAGCATCCAACCCCAACGCTTGATGCACCTCAGCCACAGTAAGGCAGCCTGCCATATCCTGCTTGTTTGCTAATACTACCAGTATTGCATTTGATAACTCATCTTCCTGAAATAGTCAAGACAATTTTCTTCTGAGTTAAGTTTGATGCAGTAGATTATTCTAATAAATTATCAAGAATATTGCCAAAATGATCCTTGTTATCCTGTATTTTAATTTTGACTAGAACTCAAAATGTTTCCATGAAAAGTACAACATATAGTGGTTATATCATAGAGGTCTTTGGTTTGCCTCCTTTTAAAATAGTAATTGTTTTGAGTCAATCTGGGCAGAAATCTTAGCATCTACTTCCCTTATAGAATGATCAATGAAACTTTTAAAGAAATATGTGCTCTATATGATTTTTTGCTATTAACTAGAATTGTATTTCTAACCCATGTTATTTGTTAGTTGTAAGTTGTTGTGTACTTACTTCTTAAGTTTCTATGTTACTTTATAATTTATTTATCAATAATGTATTATTAAATTACTTAACTTGTAACAGCTTTTAAGCTATCATATATATATCATAAATCTAAGTAGAATAAATAAATGGCTGAATGAAAATGAAAATTTCTAAATACAGTAACTTATTGCATGTAAATTGATAGGGAAATACATACAAAAGATATAATGTATTGATTTAATGACTTTTATTATATGATTTATTGATATATGAGTTGAAAGTTGTCATCATAAACCTAAAAGACAAGTCCCAAATAATTGTCAAAGAATCAATCAGGATAAGCTTAAAGTCTATTCAGTTATCTAAAGCAAAGGTAATTATGAATAATACCAAAATAGAGGTACTTAATAATTTAGCCTGATCTGGCAACTTAGTTTACAACTACCAAGTTAGCATTATGGTAGAACATTCTAAGATTTTCAAAGACTTATAAACCTAATTTAATGTAATTGGGATATAGAAATAGGTACAAAAAAACTTACTCTTAACATATGCACAAGTTCATCTTTCGAAATTCCTATTCGATCTCTATCTGCTGAATCTACAACATATATTATTGCATCTGTGTTACCATAGTAACACCGCCAATAGGGCCTGAAATTTTATTAATTGGAACAATTAGAATAGGTTACAATAGGTCATAACTATGCACACAAGGATAAAACCAATTAAATAGCTTTCAACTGCCATATAAAAAAACTTATGAACAAACCTGATACTTGTTTGTCCGCCAAGATCCCAAACTTGAAACTTAAGATTTTTATATGTTACTTGCTCTACATTAAAGCCGATTGTCGGAATTGTAGTAACAACTTCGCCAACTTGTAATTTGTACAATATTGTCGTCTTTCCGGCACCGTCTAGACCGAGGATCAATATCCGCATTTCACGGGCCCCTAATAGTCCTCTAAAATAACTAAATAAACCACCTGTAATATAATTTCATTGTTTTATAATACTAATATCGCCAATTACGAGTAGTTATTAGTTAAATTGTAAAAAACTCACCCATTTTAGGAGATTAGCCTAGACTAAGGAAACATTAAATTTTTCAAGAGATAAAAGATTATTTATTACTCCATGTACGTCTTGTTGTATATATATTTCTTTACGATAGGAATAATTTTAACAGTATGTAATATAATAATACTTATGGTAAAAACATAAAATTGAAATTTACAACCAAATAATATTAGACGTGTAAGCAAATCGGCAGATTCAAAAGTCAAATATATTGTAACAGATAAATATATTATTGAGCATAGAATAAAAATTACTCAATGTTAACTAAATTCAGAACTGAAATATGCACTTTGAGTTTTTAAATAAAGTGTTTAATTCATTAAAATGTAAATATTGTTAAAATTATTTAGTCACTAATATGTATTTATATATATATATATATATAGTATATTACAGTTTTTTTAATTTTTGCATACTACAGCAGGTATGCACAAATATTATGTTACATCAATCGTTATCTGTGGAAGGTTTTTAAAAATTATTACAGAAAAGTGCCATCTTACATTGGAATCAAACACTTCAGATTTTCAAATAGACTTTAGTTATGCAAGTAAAAAGTAGATGGCAGCAACAATTTGTTTTTATTAATTATTATTATATTCTCTTAACCCACATAAATTTTTTTATTAGCTGACTTGTATGTGTGTGCTATTTTTAGAAGTGGATAATTTTTGACTATGATCTATTTTATACGTGTTCTATATTTCGTAAATGAATGTATGGTTCACAAATTACACAAAAAGTCATATTAGATGAGCCTCCTGCCCGTTTGTCCTGTGCCATAAAAACATTGAGGTCTTTGCTTTTTAATAACAAAAAAATCCAACGTAAGGAACACCGAACAGTCCAAGTTTCATCAGAATAACTTCTGGAGTTTTTGAGATATTCACGCATTACTATCGATAAAATAAGTACCGAGGTATTATTTAGCAATATCTTTCCATTCCACTTAAGTATCTAAATTATTACATTTATTTATGTGTTTGACTTTACGCTTAATTGAGACAGGATTTGCAAATTTTTTGTACCATACTTTGCTTTTAATTAAACCTCGATTTTTATTGTTCTGTTTATACAATTGCGAACCTTTTCGTTGCGAAAAGGTCTAACTGGAAGGCAAAGCTTCTGTCGACGAAGGAAGGTGCTGCCCTTCCTCAGAGCTAAAGGGACGACCAGTGTAACCAAGTTAACTGGCCAATTTTTACTGGGTATTTTATAAGGTCCCTTGTGTAGCCGGGTATTGCGCAATATTGGTGTTATTAGTGTTATGAAGTAGGTACGACGGCATCTCCCGGCTTTTTGACTTTTATTTTTGTTATATTTTGAAAATAAATATAACCTAATGATCCAGTAATTTTTATTTTTATCACTTAGAAACGTACAGAAAATTACTCTTTAAAAAAGTTAAGAATAGGCATCACATAAATTCATAGACAGTTTATAGAATAGTTTCTATAAATTGTCTTTAATAAACGTTCTATTACAATTTTAGTTATCGTAAAATGAATTTAGTACAAAGTATTCTGATACATATGACTATGCCAGGAATTTCAGTGGTTTCCGTTGAGAGAAGGCCAAGAATGTGTTCCTTTTGATTATAGTTCATATTAATTATGGAATTCATGGCGCCTGATATGTGTTTAGGGCAAGATATAGCTTTTTGTACACATTGCTTTAAATTTGATTCCTGAGGTCGTTACTATTAATAGTTCTTGTCAAATTTGATCATGTAGGTTCGGTTAGTTTCAGAAACAACAAATTTTCAAAGAAATATGCATTTTTCTTTAACTAATGAGAGCATAAGAAGCGAACGACGAAAAAATACTTTATTTTTTTTAACAATTCTGTTGAAGACTACGAGATTATTCATATTTCACCTATTATGTAGAACTATGCGAGTCCCGCTTGAACTTAGACATAACAAGTTCCTATTAAGCCCTAAACAATTACGAGTATGATGTTCACATCTCCATATATAGGGTTGTTTTCCAGAAGAGTACTGTACGAGTTTTCTTAGAGGACTAGCCTAGATTTTGTAATCGATTCTAGTATAAGCCTATGAGAATCGTTTATTTGGTCGGGCCAATGACGCAGCAAAAATTTGATGAAAGAGACGCTCTATCACCATGAATAGCCGTCAAAAAGATACCGACTCACGTGGGGATGACTCAATGTTTACAGTGCGCAATTTTATGCCACTTTTTACAGTTTTCGCGCGTTTCTGAGAGATGTATCTTTAGGCTCATTATGACGTTTGAGCTGTGACGAGATTGTGTCGTAGACTCCACCGTTTTTAGGCAAATGTAGGCCGGAAAACTTAACGGAACTAACCAAGGTTAGTTGGTTGTTTGATCGTGGCTCAACATTACAGATAAAGCAGTAAGGGCTATATTTATTCACATACCAGTGATTCATTTAATCAGATTTTAGAAGTTGTGTTTGAAATTCAAATGCTTTAAATAAACAAAAGTGCCTAATCAAATAAAATTAAGCTTTAAAGTACATATATGCTTTTGTCTAATCTAATATATTTATTATTTTTTAAATTAGATTTTAAAAGTTTTGTATGACCGCAAAATGGTTTGTGTAAAGAATAAATAGGAAGACAACATACTGGGTCAATGTCCAAAAAAGGGAAATCTTGGGAAGGAGTTTCCGCGCGTCACTAACCGCCGCGAGCGCACGTAGTCAATTTATTTTGGGCACGATCTGCCCGAATTAGTTCAACCGTCTACATTTATTATGCTAAAAAGTAAACATACAGTTTAATTTAGCCCCCGTTCTGAAATACAGCGGGCTAGTTGAACGGTTACGCATGCGCGTGGGCTCTTGTGGCAGATTCATGTCTTCATTGTTTGTTTGCGTTGCGGAATTCGGACATGTTTGTTTTCTAAAAGTCGATTTAGTGAATATTCACTACGATCGCTGACAGACTTGTTATTCTCCAAATTTCTGAGTGCATTCATTTGCGTTCTGAATTAGATTTTATTCGTTTTATTCATCGGAAATTGCACTTCTAATGGATAAACAATTTTGCTTTCAAAGTGTGAAATTTTATTGAAAAAAAATTAATTTGACCAATTAATCAATTGAATACAGTCTTGGATTAAATTATTTTACAATTAATATATGCGAGATGTAATGTATGTTCTAATAATAAAAATAAGTCAGGCTTTACTAATTTAATTAATAGTCTTATTTAAAAACTCATGTATCTTTACATGAATTATCTTTATATTTTGACAAAATCGGTTGATTTTGTCAAAATCAAATGAGCCATCATCAAAACTATTCACAGTAATAATTGTAATATTTACAACAAATACGAAGAATATGAAGAAATGTAAACTTAATAATTATTGTTGTTTGGATTAATGAATAATATAATCTCAGATATCCACTAATGATCTTTAAAAAAATGTTTCTTATTCATCAACATACAACGTCCTGATCCCGTAGGCCCGTATTTTTCGAATATTTGTGAAGTTAGTCAGTGAGCAGCTCCAGAGCCGAATTCCTGATGAGTAAGTAATTACCCGTAAGTCGTTATTGAAACAATTTCGGGTATCGCCCACGACGCATGAACAAACAGCCTCTACATATTTATTATATTTAAACATTCGCCAAAATAATCGACGCTTTACAATAACGGGCGTTTAACTGTCATTTTTTATGTCAGTACCGGAATACTTCGCTGAACAGGAAGTGATCTAAATACCCTAAAGTGGAGAAATTGTTTTGCGTCCAAGACTTATATTTTTTTAAATATTAACATGATGTGTCTGAAATACAGTCTAAAACACATCAGATGTTCTGATGTGATTGGCAATAGAAATAACTACTACGTATTGATGTCATTATTATAAATTTCGTAATGACTATATAAAAATGAATTATTTATGTCATAAAGGTTTTCTAGGAATAATTAATATTCTTGTGAAATACTCGTCCACAGTCTGGCAAGTAGCGGTTAATTACAGAAAAAATCTAGGAAAATTAATAGTTGTAACCACAACTAGTAGGTGCATTGTTTGCTTTTTGCCACGTTAACCGCGGTATTTTACCGAAGGCTGTGGGTTTATTTTCCAGCTAGCAACAATTTTAATTGCACAATGCGAAATCCAGTGCATTTTGCATACATTCCGTTATACGCGGGAGACAAATTATTTGAGGCTCAAATTTCCTGTATGAGTTTTTTACATATCGACAATCTCTATCTGACATACGTCGGTGGTAATTTCCTTTACCATTTGAGCGAGTGTAACCTCATATAAGCAAAAAATCCATTGGAGCTTAGGGTTGTGGACCACAACAAGGCGAGACAAACTCACTGTTCGTCTCTGTATTTTGATTACCGACTGTGGGCCATCCCACTACCGTGTAAACCCCCATTTATTTATTCATATAAAACATTATAAAAACATTATATCATATAAAACCGCGGAAAAAGTTTTCTTTTTAATTAGAAAATCCCATATAACTTTCCTTATTAGAATTGTGATCAAATTAGATAGACTTGTTAATTGTAGGTAAAAAAGATTCGTAAATATTTTTTTGTGCATTGATTCCCTGAGGTTATGAAGGAAAGAGGCAATTGAGCATTCAATCCAAATAATTAAACTGAATTGAATATTTTTATACCGAAATTCCATAAATTTCTAAATCAGAGTTCCTCAGAAATTTTTATAAGATGCGCAGAGAGATTATTTCCTACTGAAATAACATGCGTACACTTTACGCAAAATAAGGTCATAGGGTCCAACACTAATTACTATACCGTAGTTTGTATATTACTCAGGTATATAATAATTAAGGTAGGTCATGATTTTCCTCTTAGTCCTCGAAACAAGAAATCTTCATTCGAATAGTTTACTGTTGTTTATTTAGAATTCTTTACTCAATGTTTTTTTACTTTAATTTATTTACCTTCATATAAAAATCGTAATACATAGTAATCACAATTACATAGTCATCAGCTGAGGAATAACCCCTGACACAATTTGAGCAAAAACCGACATTAGCACGCGCCGGATCTGCTCCTATCGCGGAGATGATCTATTACACGATAAAGATACCTTCATACTGAGACGAGCGAGATATATATCAACATAATATTTCTGGAATATTGATTAACAATTGCTATAGGTATAGAGTTTGTAAATAACTTCAGGTCAGGAGTCTCCTGAATGCCTTTTCTACAAAAAATAATAATAATATTGATATAGTAAAGGAGAGCAAATACATGTTTGAATAAAAACAATTTAATCATCAAAAAAAAAAAAGTTTTATAAAACTACTTTTATCGGTTTATTACAAATAAAATAATAAATCGTTTCGTGTGCTTCTTAGCAATCGTGGTCAGCGAGAGACTGCAATATCAAGTTGATATTATTGAAATGTTGTTAAATGTCAATGCTATTTATAATCGCATAAAATGAATAAACAATCCATTCTAAAATGTAGGGTAAATAAAAAGCTTATTGTTATTTGTCGCACATAATCGCATTTATATAATTAAAAAATGTTTTATTTACGTTGGTAAGTGGCTATTGTTTAAATATATTGTTTAAAAACACTTGTAAAGATAGAATGAAAATAGCCTTATAACTTATCTGTAACGCTAATTATTCGAATACCTACGTTTTTGCTTTTACGAGACGCGCTAAACATTGTATTTATATATTTTTTAACTCATCTCGGGACTTTACCCCAATCAAGAAACAGTAGTATTTTAAACATAATGTAATTTTAATTAAAAATATATGTATATTACCATTTATGTATTCTAATGTACTAGTTTGTACGGATATTCTAGAAAAAATTCCTTTTATAAGTCTTGACAACCAAAAAGATGTTTTGACTGACTCACTCCTGAACACTCCGAGTTCTTACGACGAACTGGTAGGTTTCAAGCAAGACAATCCTTAGACAAATCATACTACCAAACATAGTTATAATATAATGTAATGTAAAACGATGCGTGCTACGACAATTAATCCGTTGCTACGATACTCTACGAAGCTACGAAATCGAACGTACACTTGACTTGGCAACAGGAATAAATATTTTGAGTAATATGTGTATAAGAATTTATGTATTAAGAATGAATGGATCTTATAGAGATGACAAATAATATCGCGAAACCATGATACCGTAGAAAACAAAGTAACGTAATGATAATTCGCAAAAAATAATTTAAATATAAATATATGTAGCAAATAAATATATACAGTCCTGTACATAAAAGTATATACATAATTTACAATGAAACTGATAATGTAACTCTATGTAATAAATAGTCTAGTGTTTGAGGAATTCCCCGTTCAATAAAACATAATCTTTGTCGTGAAATATACCGATAAAGAAAATCCACCATATTATATAAATTTCTATATTTTTTAATGTACACCACATCATCATTTTCTATAGTATAAGTAACAATCTATCTATTCTAAAATTCATGGCAATTACGGTGATCATAAATTTTCCAAAAAATAATAAAAATGTAACACTTCCAATTTTGGTTTTTACTAGTAATTCTTTATTTAAAAAGACATTCGTTTAACAATGCGGATTAGTTACCAGGTAGGCGCTTTAATTTTTTTTAAATTGAAAACTAATTTATTGTAAATATTTTAATATTTTTAGAGTTCTAACTGTTATAGTCCTAATTACGGTACCTAATTTATAAGGTTTGAACTTTTCTTGGGATACAATCTGTGGAGACAAGTATAACTTTTTACTTTATCGTCGCAATAGTAAAAATACTGCATTAGAAATTCTCGGAAAGGTCAGAGAGTCAATGATGATAACGAAATACCAGGAAAATATCTTCACACTCAATTGACTTCTGATTAATCGACGTTTATATCCCTGATACTAGCTCTATAAATATGTAGGTATTGTAATCGATGCTTTTAGACATTGATTTAATATGTTAAAGAACAAAAATGATTAAATAAATATGATGTAAACGTCATCTCGTTATATGACAATAAGATAAAAAAGTACCCACGAAGGTGTCCGAAAACAGGACTAGCTAATTACAATTAAAAGTACTCCAAAATCAGTGAAGTTAGGAAGCTTACTTTTGTAAGCCTATCATTTTGAATTACAACTAAAAGAGGTAGGTGTATAAAGAGTTCCCTACATAGTCATAATAATAATAATTAAAAATGCATAAATAAAAAAATATAATAAATTTAAAAAGTTTTGTCACTGTGGTAGAGTACTTGTGTGTGTACCTTTAATGCTGGCAGCATTGCGCTGTATTGGGATACTTATTCCATGAGCGAGAACAGTACCAGCTCTGGGGTCACCGGTACTAACTAATAGGTACCAACTTAAAACTTTCATTAGCGCCTGTACACTTGATCCCCCACATCCTACTCTACGGCCGTGCTAGGTTTTGTGTTTATCCTAGGAAGGTCAGACGGAGCTAACGTGTCCAAACAAGTAGCATCCAATGGGATCCCATCCCATCCTCCAAGGGTTCAAAAACATTCCATACGGCCATTTGCCATGTCTCTAACGATGCCTGTTTGCTCCAAAATAGCTGTAACATTGACGGAGGCAAGACAGTGGCGTACGATGGCGTTGAGAGCGGCGTGGCGGGAAAACGACCTGCACTCTTTTGGCTATGGAGGCCATGGTGATATCTAAGACTACTTACTTCAATATAATGATACTAGTTGCCTTAGTAATAATTAACAGTAATATTATAACAGGAAAGATTTGTTTGTGTGTTTATTTCCATCGAATATAGACCAGACCCTAGGTCCGAATACTATTATAATAAATTTTTCAAGATGTATTAATATTTCAAACGTATTTTTTGGATATTTCTTGTATGGGATAGATTACATATTTCCTAGAAACTCAATGACCGAAGTTGATGTCCCGCAACCATCTTTAGAAATTTTCACATTCCACAAAAACATTTTAAATAATTTAAGGATTAGCTAATAAAACAAATATTATCAGTACAAAATTTATTTAAAACTTAAATATATCGTGATTCGATCACTTTAAGCTTTTTAAGCTTAATCAAAGAGTGTAAATTAACTAATTGAGTACAGTCCAAATATACAGCGAAGCATTTTATTAATTAAATTTAAATTATATTTACGTTAAAATAAATTAAGTACTTATATAAAAGTAGTGTAGTACCAAAAAGTGCTTAAAATTCGTACAATTAATCCTACAATAAATTAGGCCAATTACGAATTGAGATTCATGCCTTTGGCACTTAAAAGACTAGGCTCTTAAACTAAGAAATAAATTATTCCGTTCAATAATACAAAGAGAGCTAGGACAAGTCACGTGCTATTCTAAATAATCAACAAAAGCTGACTAGTGCTCACAATCTGGTATGTATTCTACTAGAAAAGGCGTTTAGTAAGAAAAGTCGCATAGTTCGCTAATCAACGTAGTACTTATACAAAAAAAGCCCTACAAAGACGAAGGATAATATTAAATATACAAAACCATTTATTATTAAAATCGCGCCAGCTTTATAAGCGAATATTCTAGTTCTATTCCAGTTTCGACTCTCGAATTGGCAAGTTAACTTAGATGCAACAAAAAGTACACGCGCGAAGTTTTCTTCACTACAGAAGATCTTGCCAAGTCACGAGACGTTTATATACAATTTACGACACTAATAACGACTCACAATCGAGTTCTCTAACCACTTATCTAGTAGAATACACAAAATTCATAGATCATATCTATATACATACCTATAATATAATATCACATCTTAGGAATTGCGCCATTAGCGCCCAATACTGTATAGGCATGTCAATATAACTAGAGATACAATTAAAGTTCTTTAAATTATGTTTAACTTAGCTTACAACTATGGAACATAGGCTCACAGCACCGATTGGTCCCATTTATGCTATAATACTGATACAATTTCTCTAATACTTAATAATTACGGTTTAAACTTTTTTCGGAACATTTTTCCGCTTTCCAACATTTTCTTACTAGTAAGAAAATCACGCATCCACAGTGCATATCCCCGGATTCTGATAGATTCAGCAAAAGATGTCTCAAAGATTATCGCACCGTGTTATCAGTCGTACAGTGCGACAATGTCACTAATAGATAAGAAATGTTCAATCACCAACTGGTCACTTTTTTTCGTGGTTCACAAGTACATTTGGACCTATTCCATTTCATATTCATATTTCTCTGTAAAGAAAGAAACAGCATTCGTCAAACTCTGTAAACGTTAAATGTGCCGTAGGTAGGTTCAATTGTATTCTAATACAATTATTGGTTTGTATTTTAAAAAACTTGAGTAAAAGGTAAAGCCGTTCTGTGATAATGAGGCCTAACAAAAGTATACGATATAACATCAACCAAGTGCAATTAAGGAGACGACGAAGGTGGCTCTTAGAACTGGTAGCAAAAAACTTGATGGTGGGTACACCTCCACCACATAGTTCAGTAAAAATTAGTAACAAAAACAAAATATTTAGGTCAAAGCTTAAAAACACAAAAAGCTAAAGTAAGACAACGGATGTCAGCAAAAACGGCAAATGAAAATGTTGTAAACAACATCCATGCAGCCGAAAAAAAATAAAAATAAAACATCAAAAAGCGTTTGTTACATGCGTGCCGATACGTTAGTGGACATCCATTATCTTACGAACCTTTTTGAGACAATTCCTCCTTTCGTTCATGTTGGGGCACTGACAGGAGCACTTACGAGGGTTGAATATCTTAGGCGCTGAACATTCCTTTGCGCCAGAGACGCAACAGCCACATGACTCATGCACCACCATCTCATACGTCGAGCAGCTTTCTCTTTTCGTCTTCAGGTCAAATATTCGAACCTGGAACAATTGAAAAGTTATAATTTATAGGAGAGCTCGGTCACCTATATCAGTAGCCTTCACTTCAATAAAATACCTCTTTAAAATTCTATGTAAGGAAATATAAGTTTTTACAGGTTTAGCTAAAGTCTAGTAAACTACTTTAGGGACTGAGTTACGTAATAGACAAGTGTGTCAAGGATGCCTTATTAGCGGTGAAGCGACCTCAACGTGATTAGTCGTGGAAATATTACATACCTGCTTAAAAATAAGATGAAATTAAGTATAAGTCGAAATCCTATAGGCAGATAAAACAATACTTTATGCAAGAAGTCCATCGGATTACCCTAATTGTAGACCGTAAAGAAAGGAATGGTTTGACCATATAATATGAGGAATGACCGGGGATATATTGATAGGAAGGAATCATGGCTACATGTCGAAGTGAAAAGAGATACTTACAGGAATGTGTTCTTTTCTAGTTTTAGTGGGCGTGCATTGTGAACCGGTGGGTCCATAGCTACAGAGTCCGACACACCTCTTGACCCAGACATGGCTCGGCGTCACCTGGGGAAACACAATAACGTCACTCAGCGAACATTCGGATGCGGATTTTCTCACGCATTAAGACACGGATGTACCCGTGCAAACAGTTCAAGCTTCGTTAAATATTCATTTTTATTTCGTTCATAATATTTAATTTGTGCCACGCGCAAACAGTGGTCGACAATTATACAACTATTAAATTTAGACAATTATGAGTGACTTCTCAAACGGCAAAGTTGAAGATAGTATCGGTTCTTCGCATATGTGTGAGATAATAGTTGCCCATGGTGACTAAATATGAATTACATAACAATCGTGTGCGCACGTTTTAGATTAATATCGCCAATAAGAAGATGAGGAAAGAAGTGTAATATTGATAGCTGAGGTCTTTTCTACAAATTATAACAAACTTAATTCGACTATATATTGTACAACATTGAGTCACTGATAAGCAGTCGGAAACTTCATATTCCGTTTCTTATCAAATTCATTCACTGACTTTACATTTGTACGATAGGATTTATTTAAAAAAATCTAAACAAAATCTGTTAGCAGTTGTATTTGTCTTGGCTACGCGTGATGATTATAAAAATATGAAATTATTAAATTTAATAATTACCTGTAAAAAGGAACCCGCCACAGTAAGTTTTTCAAACACTTCTTTGGGTTCGCCACAACTTGATTTCACAATCAGATCATTCCTTAATTTGTCATGAGTGCCGTTGCAGTCAACTGCAATTAATACATATGTGTTAAATATGACACAAATTAAGTTTAATACATTTTTATTTACATGTATAAAAAAAATCGAAACGAACTAAAATTATTATGCAATGAAAAAAAAAATAGTTTATTTAAGGGACCTGTGAGTCTTGTGACCTATAAACAAGGCATTGCATTTACATTCGCGGTCTCCTAACTACTATGCTATTAAATTCTTATCTGCGCACACGCATAGCTTAAGTAGCACGTAAGTTGCATCAGAAAAACTTTTTTTATTCAACGCTCCTCTGTGATTATTGATGATAACACAAAAATATAGATAACAAATCTGTCATTATTAGGATAATAACTTTAATATTTCATTTTTATTAACTAGCTCTTAAAAAATAGAAACCAAGATTCCCAGGTACCTGTTAAAATTTTCGCGTCACAAATAAAAGAGAGCATTAATTAAAACTTAATAATCACCTATCTTCACGCCACGCTGCACTTCGCTCTCGGAGGCGACGGACTTCGGGAACTTCGGGTGGTGGTTATACGCATCCACAATCACCACCACTATCAATAACATCAAAAACCTAGCCATGGTCCTCTTTTCACTTCACTAAGTCACTTGGAACTAATTAAGCCGCACTCACTTTTCAACTGTCACACGTGTTGTACCTTTCGCGGTCCGTTGTATTATGGTTGGTAGCGCGACGATTTTCTATTATAAAGCCTGACTCAGTCTGGTAAGGTGCTATGTGACGTCACGAACCACCGCCGATAGACGTCGATATTTGCACAGCTGATGCCTACGTCACTACCACGAAATTCTGCGAACCTTTCAGGGATACGGGCCTTTCGCCGCTGCACTTGCATCCGTATGCGGCGAGGGATTACCGCGATCTCTATCTTGCTTCCGTTCTGTGCTTGCCCCGTGGCTCGCTTACTCACTCCTAATGCGTAAGACTTAGATCCTAATATATTTAAGGAAATTTATTAGGACCAGTTCATATAAAATAAGGCAGGACAGTGGAAAAGTAAAAAGATTTGCACGTAATATATAATAACTATGACTTACATTTGAAATCGGAATATACACATCAGTTGATGCAACTAGATTAATCCATATGAAGTCCTGTCAATCTGTGATTGAAATATATATTGGAAAACAAGAAGTAATTATATCAATTTTATACAAGTGTCTTAATATAGTAATATTTTGGAAATAATAGTTTTTGGAAGTCACATATAAAGTGGGAGACAATAAATTAATAACTCATGTCGTCATGTGACGAAATCACGTGAAATTATTAATATCGTTAGGCATAGCTTATTGAATGGGGCAATTATCCAACTACTCTGAAAACCGGTCACTGACCTACCTTTAAAAAATATGAATGTGCTGAAGTATTTTAGCATATGTTTAATATTTGAATTAAATATATCGACAACGTTTTGTGAGACGATATTTTACTAAAATTTAATTCAAAATATGGACATGACAATTAATATTTAAGACGATAAAAATACTGATTAAATTCTGCAGTATTTGTGAAAACCCCAATAAGATATGGGCGAGTAAATTAATTAATTATTTTAAGGAATCTAACGCTATAACGCAATCAGGATAGATATATAAAAAAAATATATTATCAAAAAGGTATCAAAAGAATCAATCTTAATACTTTGGAACTTGTCTAAATATGATTAATTATTATTATTGTCATAATCCTTCACCGAATATTGCTAATGTGTGTCAAAATAAGCTTACGTATTTAATTAGTCTGCACAGTTTTAATATTGTAATCGCCAAGACTAATTAAACTGGCGAAGTACTTAACATGATGTGTTTTAAATATAGTATGTAATGATTTGTTTATTAGGAATAATAAAAATGACGAGTTGAGTATATAATGGGCGACAATATTTAAGCATTATGTAGTTTATATATATATATATATATATATATATATATATATATATATATATATATATAGTCTCACGCTCACATTACTTTCAGTTAATGTCACTCTTTCTTTTTTCCTTAAGTGTGGCAAAGTGGTGTGGTGTGTGTATTAAATAAATACTAGATGCCCGTTAATTAACCTCGTAGCCATGGTATCCATAGTTCAGACGTAGCTCCTTCCGTAGCACGTTATTAATGCTACGGAAAACTTTTTTATTTATTTCAACAACTCTACGGTTGGGAAAAATATTACGTTACTTCGACACTGTTAATGTATTTGTATTATTTAACAGATTTCATTTGTTTTGTGATTATATAGAAATGAAAACTGTTAAAGATACATTTATACGTATATTTAACACTATGGTTAATACAGTTGTTAAATATATAAAAAATATTAACACTACTTACATACAGTGACAAATTTCGAGATACTTAAATCAAGGCAGTGAATTTTTTTATCAAGAAAAAGGTTGTGTATTCTTTAGTGTACACTTAACTAGACATAATCTAGGAAGATATAAAAATATTCAGAATTATATGTTTATTTTATAGTATAGACGAAAAATATGAATCAACTTTTACCTACTGGTTCTGAAGCCAAGTGCAATGCCAGGGTTATAAGTGTTTAAAACTTATCACGATGTAATGACTAACTTTGAAATAAATACTAATTAAAACTCATAAACCTTATTTTAACTTAGTCTGCAAAGTAAATAAATGTCGCAATGTCTCGTGCCAGTAACGTTCCGATAAGATAGCGGGTTTCAATTACGCCGAGATTACTCTAACCTTTGGTTTCAGCCGCCTCTTAGATTACATTATCTTCTTCTTTTCAATATATTTAAATTGACTAAACTATTAAAATATAGGCAAATCAAAGAAAGTATTTTCCAAATTAAAAACTTAACATAAATTTAATCGAAATTTATTGTTGCATTTCATTGAATGTTTCTCGGAAATTCATGACGCCATGGTTAAAAGACCCTTTGCTTATAAAATAACCGTATTGTTAGCGGTTTGGTGTTAGGTTGTGGTGCAATTCACAAGTTTATTAGAGGTTTAAATAACCTTACATTTGTATCAATTTACAGTCTCAGTCAATTTAGAATAAAGGAATTTAATATTATTAGGCCATTTTTTATGAAATAACCTCAACTCAATATATTTTTATTGCCATTGTCTTTTTTATTTACGCGAGTACGATTTTATGAGAAATCGTGCGATTCAATCACTAGAGGTCGAGTTATGTAAATATAATAAATTCCCGATTATTTCCATCTAAAAAGTTTTATTCAAATGCTATATTAGTTTAATAATTTACGACCCTCGCTTTTATCATTAAAACATTGTTACGATATCAGTGAGGTGAAGGAAAATTACTTTGATTATTTGTAAGACAAATATTTTATCTTTATTATTTAAATTGTATACTCGTAATTGGTTTCTTTATTGCTCCAAAAAATTATTTCTTCAATATTTTTTGAATTCATCAAATCCTAAGTCTAAATAGTCTTTCTAAATGGACCATAGCAAAGTATAGAAGACGACGTTCGAATTATATATATCAGGAAGGGATTTTACGTAATTTCAGGCGCAAACTTGCTAATTATTAGTCAAGACCAATAGAAGTATGAATCAATATAGTTTTTTAAAAGTATTGGTTAGTTATAGACGCAGGTAATACTTGTGGAATTTCGAACAAATTATAGATATGGATTTATTAATAATAAAAGTCCATCCAAGAATGTTATGTAGCTATAATATTGTAGTAGTAATGAGTTGAAATATTTAGCGAAAAAACAGTCGTAAACAGAAATAATACTTTTAGAAAATGAAAATTATTCAGATTATTACCGAATCTGAATGAAGATTTTTGTCAATTTATTTATTGTCTTATTAAAATAACAGAATACTACTCGTACGTTATAGAATGTTCGAGAAATCCTAAAATTAAAATTATGTGATTACACATAATTATTATCAATCTATCTAGGTAAGTTTTTTTGCACGTATCAAAAGGATTAAACTGGTATTAGCAGGTTTACATAAAATGCCACCCATATTGCCTATCATTTCCAATCGTGAAAATCTATGACAAATGTATGACACAGCATTTTGTGACCGGCCTCGGCGGTGACATCACAGCTATTCAACAAAACTTTCATGAAGTTTTGTTGAATAATTGATTTGTTCTACAAGAAATCCAATGTTACAGGAAAATAGGTACTACTTTGGACTTTGTTTCTTCGTTTCTGGAATACTGGTCAATATATTGTTTTACTGGGAATTCCCTCTCAGGTGCGAATCGCGTGGTCTGATAAGATTAAATAATGATAAGACGAATAATTTAAGTCACCGATTTTTTTGAAACGACTATTGAAAATCTTACCCACTGATAGTTGAAATATTTAAAAGAACTATCGCATTACAAAATATCAAGCGTAATAATAAATTTAACGAGTTGAAAGATTTCGTTTTATAAATAAAATTAATTGGAAATATCATTGGTCTAAATATTAAAGTACATACATTCATTTAGTACGTTTAACTTTCTACGCCGATAAAGTCGAAGGCTTGTTCCGTTGCTTCCCGTGAAAATTAATTATATACTTTTATTTATTGAAAAAGTTGCAAGACATACTTGAGAAATGCCTTTTTATATGATATAGTAGTTATTGAACAGCGTAACAATGTAATTTCTATGAGTCAAATTTCTGTGAATTTGACACTCCAATGAGTCATTGGAAAGCCTTCATGAAAGTAGGCCACCGAAACTTTCAGAAGCTTAACATCATGCTGACTAGTCGATTTTCACGAAAATTACAAGTATTTTCTAATGTTACGCAAAGTTTATAACATGAATGACTAATAAAAGTTATTATATTGTCATTAAGGAAAATTATATTCACACATATGTAACATAGCAATGGATTTTCATGTTTAATTATGGAGAAAGACAGATCATTGCAATATAAGCTTACAAAATAAAAAAACCACCAACCCCTCTATGTTGTTACAACCTGTTCTGAAAAAGAGAACAGAAATCAGAAAGGACAAGGGTTTTTTAATATTACAAACAACGTGGCAAACGTGCAGGACACCACGTGTTAAGTGACACAACCGCCATTTGACATTCTCAATGCCAGAGGGCTCACAGGTACGTTGCCGGCCTTTCAAGAATGGGTACGGTCTAACCGTCACTGAGACCTTCATTATCATTTAGATAACGAAGGTAATAAATTGGCTTTTCTAACATCATCTTCTAAAAGCCTTATGAATAAAAATATATGTGAAAAAAGAAATGATTTCGAACTAGTACAAATATAACCATAAAAATGTACTTAAAGTAATAAATATTTAACGGAATGCAGCCACGTTATGTTATTGTTTTCTGAAGAGGTGCTTTTCGAATGAATACATCTTTTCTGTAGGTAATCTGGTATAATTTTGACGGTTGAGATTATTTTTTACAATAGATAAAAAGGTCTTTTACAACGTTTACCAGCCTATTTCACAAAATGTGTATAGCCTTAGAAATCGGTTTAATTTAACGTAACTAAGAATAGTTTGACCTAGTTTCTGTAAACAAGTCGATAATTTCGGGTGTTTAGCGGATTACTTACGTGAAATGT